TGCCCGGGGATATAAGGTACCACCATGGAAAATTTCATTTAAATCGGTCCTATAGATGCGAAGATTAGCCCGTACAAACAGGAAAACAGACAAACAGCTCGCTCGGGTTCGTCCATACCTACGAATATGTTGTATTATCTCTTTAACTATTTGTCCAAATTATATGCAGTAAAAGGGAAAAGTCTTTTGTTTTAAACATTTTAGACGATAAATTTACTTATTTTGGTAAGAATTCATAATTGTTGATAATATGACCAATAAACATGACCTACCGATTTTAATTATTTTTTTAATATACTAATAACTACCTACTTTTTGTGACTTAAATATAAAAGTTAGACACATGCTGTCGCTGACTTTTTTGTAGGCATTATTAAGCTCTACAACTTTTCTCTACAACATAATCATATATATATATCTGTCATCGTTAAGGCAGCGTTCGTAAGAAACGTTTTCGTTCGTCCGTTTTTACTCCGACTTACGTTGCAAATCCGACTACCATGATAAAGCCTTTTCATTCTTCGGGTTAATGTATAGCCTATGACACTCAGAAAGAACGTGGCTTTCTAGTGGTAAAAGAATTTTGAAAATCGGTTCAGTAGATCCAGAGATTACCCCCTACAACGTCACAAACTCACAAGATCACAAACTTTACCTCTTTATAATATTATAGTATAGTATAGATTACATATTATGTACTTGTTGCATTTTTTAGAACGTTTTTTACTCAGTCGGATTTTTTAATTTAATTATATAATTTGTTAATTTCACAACATGAACTAATTAACCACAGGACCTGACATAAAATACAAATGTATGAAAACTAGTTCAACCAAGTGACGCATAACGCACACAAAGATTTTATTACATTATTATAAATACTAATACACAATACAATATTTCTAGTGCTTGAACGTAATCGATAAAATACATATATCGAATATCGATGAACAAATGAATGACATTTTAGACATTTGTTAGCATAGTCATCATAATTTTACATCTTTTAATTTAAAATATCTGTATTTATTATAATAAATTAAAATAAATGAATTAAAGAGGCAATAATAATTATGTATTAAATAATAATTATTTATTAATTTGATTTATATCAATACGATGGCATTGATGGCAACATTCTGTTGGCCTTTAATAATGTTAATGAACAAATGAATATCGGGTGTATATTCCATTTATATATAATTAATATTATTTTCTATAAATAATAATTATAAAGTTATTGATTAAAAAAATATTAAGCTAATTTAATTAAATAAAGTGATTTTGTTGATTCTGTTATTGAACTATTTTAGTCAATTGATTGTCTCGGGTAGTTTATAAAAATGTGACACTCTCCTAATATTGCTCAGTTCTTAATAAACATTTGTGAAATTAGGAAAAAGAAAAAGTGATTGCAAATAAGTGAGTGTTGGATCGTGAAAGAAAAATAATTAGTGCAAGTGGTAAAGTATTTTATTACAAATCGCCAACCCAGAAGTTTAGTGCTAAAACATTATTGTTTGATTTTGTGTAATTTATGTGTTGAAATAAAATAATCTTTATTATTATAACAATGGAATAATATTCCAAAGTGTATAAAATAAAATAAAATAAAAAATTAAGTACACATACTAATTATAATTTTTGCATTTATAATATTTTTATTCGATTTAGAAAATATTTTTATAAATTTAATGTCATCAGATTGTAGGATACTGTGATAAAAGTATTTCATGTTATTATACTATAGAAATAACATCATTCGTCCGGTCATTTCGTCAAATATCGATATATTTTTCGACATTGTCAAGCACTAGTCGATGTCAAATGGACTCACTCGACAGGTTTGTCATTTGTTCTGAATGGTATAATCCAGCCATTTTATGATGGTTGTTAGATGTCAACAATACATAGACATATCGACTATATTAAACATAGTTGGATAATATGACATTTTATTTTACGTTTAATTAAATTTTCACAGTAATTTTTTATAAAATAAAAAATTCGGTCGGTATCGTGGAAAACTCTGTAGAAATGAAGTTCATTTTCTTGTCTGCCCTTGGCTCATAAATTACGTCAAGGAAATTGTCACGAATCCCAGACATCAAGCAAAAAGTCCGTTATATATATATATATATATATATATATATATATATATGTCGGACCCTGTCATAAGAATGCATACTGTCATTCCATTAAATCTATATCTATACAAGTCTTTTATCTTTTAATATATATAAATAAATTGTGAAGCAGTCAGGAAAAATAAAAATAGTTTCTCACAAATCACTTTAATAATCACAGATTTTTTACAATTATAACTTATAAACTTTTTAAATCTATACACTGGTAATTATTTCACAACACTTTAACACTGCAGAATAATCAATCTAAATCCCGAGCAAGACATTTATATACCCCACGCAATCCCCATCTACTCTCCTCTACTCGCCTCACACTTCTCACCGCTACACTAGCGCCTCCTCTCCAACACCCGCTCCTCACTTCACTTTACTCGTTACAGTCGGCCATCCTGTAACAATTGCACCGCAATTGGTGCAAAAAAAATGCATTAGCTCTCTAATAAGTCAATTAAATCATCTCTAGTAACAATTTCCTCATCGCTACTGCTTTCACTACAACTTGGGACGCTACGATAAGATCGTAGTGAATCTGCAGGGACTATACCAGAAAGCTTTTTATATCCTCGCATTCCTTTGATACTTCGTATTTCATATCTGCCATTATTAAGAACCTTTGTTACTATGTATGGCCCTGAATAGACATCCCTTAATTTTGTATTTACGCTTTTTGCCTCACCACCCGTTGCAGATTGTTTCCACAAAACTAAATCACCTTTAGAGACCTTTCTTTCTGCCTTATGACGTTTATCATATCCCCTTTTCATAGCTACAGCCCTGTTTTGTAAGCGATCTGATGCTATCCTACGCTTCTCATTAACAGATTTACTCTCAGAATTACCTTCTAAATTTGGAAGCAGCCAACTTCTATGACTAAACATTAATTCATAAGGATGGAAACCTATGGACTCATTTAACGTATTATTGATGCCCCACACCACATCTGGTAAACATTCTGTCCACATATTTTGATCAATACAACGGGTACGCATGGCATTTAGTAAGGTGCGATTATAGCGCTCAACCTGTCCATTTGCCCTTGGGCAGGCTATTGCATTTAATGTATGATGAATGTGATGACTCTGTATAAATTGCTTAAATATTCTACTAGTAAATGCTAAATTCCTATCAGACACTATCCTCCTAGGGTACACAAATAAACTAAATACATCCTTCAAAATCTCAAGGGTCTCTACAGAATTAATAGTTCTAGTTGGCCTTGCTAATAAAAATTTTGAAAATGCATTTACAATAACCAATATGTACTGATAACCTTTTCTAGTTTTACTAAAAGGGCCTAAGTGATCAATATGAACCGTGTCCATAGGCACAGTAGGCTTTGGTATAGGATGTAGTTCCCCAGAAGGTTTTCCATATTCTCCTTTGCTATATGCACACGAAAGGCATGAATTTACGTATTTTTTTATAAAACGTGTCATTTTCGGAAACCAATAATCAGATTTAATTAGCTCATCACAACGTTTTAGTCCTACATGACCAATTTGATCATGAAATTTCTGCATAACTTGCCATCTGGCTGACGAGGGAACTACTAACTTCTCGCCTTTGAGAGTTTTTCTATATAACCTATTGTTTTTTATTATATAATTATTTTTCACATCACTACAAGCATTTTCACTGGTTAATTGATCTATAATATTTTTAAGTCTTGGATCTTGTATTTGAACTGTTAAAAACCAATCGTCATTAGAGATACTATTGATATTAACAATAACATTTTGGCTTAAAGAATTAGTAGTATTTTGAGTTTCACAAAGACTACTAGATAATAAGTTTGGGTTACGACTTAAAGCGTCTACGTGCTTCATTCTATCCCCAGGACGATGTTCAATTTGAATATCATATTCTTGTATTGATAACCACCATCGAGCTATCCGAGGAATTAAATCCTTCTTTTCTAAAGTATAACGAACAGCTGAGCAGTCTGTCACTATTTTAGTAGTTTTACCTAATATATATATTCTGAACCGCTTTAAAGACTCAACAACTGCCAGGGTTTCTAATTCATAGCTATGATAAAACGATTCTTCACGACTAGTTACTCTGCTGAAATAAAACACGGGCTTTAATTGTCCGTTACGCTGAGTTTGCATTAAGATACCAGCTAATCCCTGCTTGCTCGCATCTGTATGAATTTCACAAGCTTGTGAAGGATCAAACAACGCAAGTACCGGTTGTGAACAGAGTTTATTTTTAAGTGTATTAAAACTCTTAACTTGTTCTTCGCCCCAAACCCATTCACAATTTTTTTTTGTTAAGTTCGTTAAAGGCTTAGCTATTGTAGCAAATTGGGCAACGAATTTACGAAAATAACTACATAGTCCTAAAAATTGTCGTAACTCATGCAAACTAGATGGTGTTTTAAAGTTAGCCACTGCTTCAACTTTATGATTTCCTGGTTTTATACCTTCAGAACTTATTTCATGGCCTAAAAACGTTATTTCAGATTTTAAAAAAGAACACTTTTTCATGTTAAGTTTAAAATTTACTTTTCGTAACTTACTAAGAACATTTTCTAACAAACATAATCCTTCGTTAACACTCGCGGTAAATAGCAAAATGTCATCCATAAATGCAACTAATTCGTCACTACCTACTAATTTTACTAATTTTTGAATTACCCGCATAAAGACAGACGGAGCATTAGCCAGACCAAACGGTACTCTTAAATATTCGTAATGCCCGTCTGGTGTTATAAACGCAGTTTTATCTATGGAATCAGAATGAACTTTAATATTATGATAGCCTGCATATAAATCTAAACTAGTAAAAACAGTTTTCCTCGCCAATTTAGAAAGCTGGTCCTCGATATGAGGCAGTGGAAATCTCTCTTTAACTGTAATAGCATTAAGTGCTCTGTAGTCTATGCATAATCTGAAATCACCATTTTTTTTTCGTACTAAATATATTGGAGAAGCGTATTCTGAAGTTGATTCCCTAATTATGTTGCTTTCTAACATTTCCTCTATTTTATCAGCTACTATCTTTCTTTCTGAATGAGCTAGTCTATATGGCTTTCTATTAATAGGTTTATCAGTAGTTGTTTTAATGTGCATTTCACCTAAATTAGTACAGCCTAACTCATGTGGGGAAGAAGCAAAACAATCCGAATGGGAGTCTAATAATTCAATTAACCTAGTCTTTTCAGTTTTACTTATATTCCCAACATTTATCTGGTCCAAAGGCACTCCTCCAATATGAATTGAAGAACACTCAGTAATCTCATCTCCCCTCATAAATAATAAATTCGCACTCACCTCACCACAGACGTTACAGAGCTCTGCCCTTGTCACAGTTTCCCCCTTTTTCCATTTCAAAGGGACCTCTCCAATGTTGCAGACACGTAAATATCCGTCGCCCCCTCTGAGTAATGTACTGGCTACTGCATAATGCTCTGCACCGATGCTGTGTTGGCGTGGTTTCGTGCAAAGCTCGCCTGGTGGCGCGCCCTCCACAAACACCTTCACCAAACTGTCTCCGACTGGAACTTCTATATTTGCGTCTACCTGCACTTTAAAAGAACTCGCTTCTTCAATGGTATTAATAGAATTTATGTCGTTACCATATTCTGTCGTACAAAGTTCAGCGCCTGTCCGCGTTACTGTCAATGACACAGTATTATCATTAATAACTTGCTGACCAATAAGTAACACGATATCTCCTAAATCAGTATTAGTTGTAACGGCTGTAGTGTGAATTTTGACTTTATCCACGTATAAATCAAACTCTACGTGTCCTACAGCCGGCGTAGCGATACCTCCAAAGCCTTTTAATTGTACGTTGGTAGGCAAGACTTTTAACTTTAGAGCACGTGCTGCAGTGTCGGCCATTACATTTAACTCGCTGCCCGTATCTATATATGCTTTAACATAGGTGTTATTTACTTTTGCCGTTTTTTTTTATAAACTTCATTTAAATTTGACAAGATTTGAATTTGCTTTGTTTGGGATAGACACGAACTAGCGACGTGTCCAATCTTACCACATCTAAAACATTTACGCTTATCGGGTAGTGAACAATTAGGAGCCACGTGCCCCGTCTCATTACAGCGATAACATATGGGAGGTTTTCTTACCAGAGTTTCCTTACTAGCACTAGGTTCTACTCGTGTCTTTGCACTGCTTACTCGAACGGGCGTTGTAGGCTGATAATTATCAAATGCGGACAAAAACCCTTCATATAATGCATCTGGATTGCTACATTGATAAGCTTGTGCATTAGCCTGCAGTTCGAGAGGCAAGCCTCGTATAATACATGAAACAGCGGCTCACTTAGTTGACATCTAAAACACATAGCTAACTTTTCCTGGTAATACTTTGTCATAGTTTCATTTGATGATTTCTTTCTAGAAGTAAGTTCATCAAGAAGTGTAGCATAGTCATGATATCGTGGAAAAGCCTTTGTTAACATGGATTTCCACTCTTCCCAGCTATGATCGTATGAATCCAAGCGATTATACCAAATACGTGCCTGGCCTTGTAATTTTGATTGCAAATTAAAAGATTTGGTTAGTTCAGTCCACGGTGACATTTACACACCGAGTTGATCAATTTTTCGTATCCAGCTTTTTACATTCATATCTCGATTTTCAGGATCAAAATCCGGTATTAATTTATCAGTATTCATTAATTTGATCACGCCATTTTCACGATTACCCTCATTAAGAAATGAATTTACCTTTGTGTCAATCATCGATTGTACATCCTCTCTAGAAATATTATTTTCATTCGCGTCATTTAATCGGGTCTTCTTTGATTTTACATACTGTCCTGGCTGTCTTCGCTTCATAATGTGGGCTTTATATCCCAATTCTGACTGTGAAGCAGTCAGGAAAAATAAAAATAGTTTCTCACAAATCACTTTAATAATCACAGATTTTTTACAATTATAACTTATAAACTTTTTAAATCTATACACTGGTAATTATTTCACAACACTTAAACACTGCAGAATAATCAATCTAAATCCCGAGCAAGACATTTATATACCCCACGCAATCCCCATCTACTCTCCTCTACTCGCCTCACACTTCTCACCGCTACACTAGCGCCTCCTCTCCAACACCCGCTCCTCACTTCACTTTACTCGTTACAAAATATTAAAAGAGGACAGATAAGTTTGTATGTTTGTAGTAGATTCTGAAACAAATCGTCATTGAATAATGAAGAATGATAATAACATGATTTATTACTTGCGCGTAAAGAAATCTAGCTACACCATAATATGATCGATCGGTAAAATAGTCTGCAATAATGTCATAAGTACAAGTTGTCTAGCGATTAGAGAATTGCTTTTTCTTCTTTTGGTGTAAGTCGTCGACCCGCGCTCCGAATGCAGGTCACGAAGATCGAAAATGTTCGTGGGCCAGCGATTAAATCGCTTTTATTGCTACTTAAATAGATCGCACCTATTCATTATCTGAACTTTGATAAAACGATAAAACATTCCTTTAAGCATCGGTCAAGTAACTGCGGCGAGGGACGCCTACTACTCGTATAAGTTCTCCTAAGTACGTACTCGCGCATCTTATCGTAATTACTTCAAACTTTTTAAAGAAGTAGATAGATATCAATAAATTAAAATTTTATCAACAATAATAAAGTAAAGTAGCACAATAACACGGAGACAAAAAAGACGACGTAAACTCCCACCACATGCAATTTTCATATTTTTGATACTTAATTATTATTCAAATTAAAATTATAAGTTACTAGCGACTCACCCTCGCTTCGCTCTGGTTCGTCCCTAGGTTGATTCAACATACAAACTTTCACCCCCTTTAGGAATGACTTCCGGAATAAAAAGTATCCTATGTCCTTCCCAGGGTCTCAAACTATCTTCTTACCAAATTTCATCTAAATCGGTTTAGTACATCCAGAGATTACCCCGTCAAACTAACAAACTCACAAACGTAAAGTTTGTGAGTTTATAATATTAGTATAGAAATAAATAGAAGTATAGATTATCTTATACTCGGCGTTCAATAATATTAAAATAAATAAAACGAGCGCAAACAAGCTTATAATAAGGCCTTAATGTTGACATGAGCTGCAGGCGTAGGTAATTAATAATTATTTTAAATTACATACCTTAGTGGGAATTTCTTGCATCAGTTCTGACGTTGGTCCCACGGAATTTCCTTTTGTCGGACCTCGAGATATACGTACCAATTATATGTTAAATGCATTTGCATCTTAAATGTTGATTTAAGTTTTAAATAATATTCAAACTAATTTAGATCACCATCGTCACCCGGACTCCGATTTCACCCTCTGCTGGGTGTAGACTTCTACACGCTCGTCCGGGTCCAACGATCGTTGCCTTGTTGTGTCGTCAGTCCGTACGGTTATTGGGCGCCACTCAGCTGACTACCGTTTCCATCTGTCTTCATCTTAGGTGTCCCGCGCGTGTCCATTTTAATTACATGATTCGAATTCAAACACCTTTTAGGAATTCTTTCTCCAAGATGGTTAGATCAAAATAAAAAAATATTCAATAACATTAATCATATATCGTGTAGGCGCGAGCGACGACGCCGCGGGGTGCGCCGTGGCGCTGGAGACGCTGCGCGCGCTGGCCGCCGCACCGCGCCCGCTGCGCCACGACGTGCTCGTGCTGCTCAACGGCGCAGAGGAGAACATCCTGCAGGCCTCGCATGCCTTCGTCACGCGCCACCCCTGGGCGCGCACGGCGCGCGCCTTCATCAACATCGAGGCGTGCGGCGCTGGCGGTCGCGAGGTGCTGTTCCAGGCGGGCCCGCACGACCCCTGGATCGTGGAGGTGTACGCGGCTGCCGTGCCGCACCCCTTCGCCTCCTCGCTGGCGCAGGAGCTCTTCGAGAGCGGCCTCATCCCCGCCGACACCGACTTCCGCATCTTCCGCGACTACGGCAACCTGTCGGGCGTCGACCTCGCCTGGAGCAGCAACGGCTACGTGTACCACACGCGCCTGGACACCGCAGAGCGCGTGCCGCCCGCCGTGCTGCAGCGCACCGGTGACAACGTGCTGGCGCTCGCGCGCGGCCTGCTGGCCGGCGAGCGCCTGCGCGCCGCCACCGAGCGCGCGCGCCAGCCCGTGTTCTTCGACGTGCTGGGCGCGTGCGTGGTGGCGGCGCGCGCGCCCGCCGCCGCCCTGGCCGCGCTGCTGGCGGCGCTGGCGGTGGCGGCCGCGCTAGCGCGCTCGGCGTGCGACGCAACGCGCGAGCTGCACGTGGGCGTGCGCGTGTGGGGCGGTGCCGTGGGACGCGCGGCAGTGGGCGCGGCGCTGGCGGCGGGCGCGGGCGCGGCAGCGTCGGCGGCTGCGGCGCTGGCGCTGCACGCGGCGGGCGCGCGCCTCTCCTTCTACGCGCGGCCCTGGCTGCTGCTGCCGCTCTACGCGCTGCCTGGTTGGTCTGAGCCTCTAAGGGGTTGATGATTAGTCATAAATATTAGCTACGATCTAATAATATGAAAAAGTAAATTGTACGTTGGTATTTCTTTTTGCAGCGTTGGTGGGCGCGTGGGTGGCGGCGCGCTACCTGTGGCGGCGCTGGGCGACACAGAGCGGCGTGGTGGCGCTGGCGCGTGGCTGGTGGGCGTGGCGCGCCTGGCGCGACGGGCAGCTGCTGTGCGCGCTGCTGCTGCTGATGACCGGCACAGCGCTGCGGCTGCGCTCCGCCTTCCTGCCCGCGCTGTGGACGCTGCCGGCGCTGGGCGTGTGGGCGCGGCGGCGCAGCGACGGGAAGTCGGCGGCGCTCGGCGCGGCGCTGGCGGCGCTGCCGGCGCTGCAGAGCGCGTACCTGGCGTTGGGCTCCATCAACATGTTCGTGCCCATGATGGGGCGCGCGGGCACGGCGCCGCTGCCGCCGGACGTGCTGATGGCGCTGGTGGTGTCGCAGCTGACGCTGCTGACGTGCAGCTGGGCGCTGCCGCTGGTGGTGGCGGCGCGGCGGCCGGCGCCGCTGCTGCGCGCGGGCGTGGCGCTGGCGGCGCTGGCGGCGGTGCTGGTGCTGGCCACGCCGCTGGGCGCGCCCTACAGCGCGGAGCGGCCGCAGCGCTTCATGGTGTTCCACACGCGGCGCTCCGTGCACGCGGCGTCGGCGGCGGCCGCGGCCGCGCTCGACACCGACGCCTCCAACGCCACGCACGAGGACTTCTACTGGATCCCGGAGCTCGACGTCAACACGCCGCACTCGATGGACCCCTACGGTACAAAAACATTATACGATATACATGTATACCTGTGTTGTGTATTTAATCTTATTAATATTTCTCACATTCGGTGTTGGTACCTACAATAACAGGTATTAAATAATATAATATGTTGGGACATTAACGCACAGCATTATCTAGTTCCATGATAGGTTACGAGACACAAACGAATGCCCCTAGCGAAACTGGAACACGCGACCGCTAGCACAGGAAGTAGGGTCACTACAAACTGAGCCACATGTGTCGTCAATGACGATGTCTTAAAAAAATAAGCAATATATTAAGCTATTGCATAGCTTCTATCGCGGGCCTTGAGCGTGGGAACCGAATCCAGAAATTCCGTAACGAAAAAAACCTGACACCCCCCCACTCCAACCGGCACACCGGTGATACTTCCATCTATCTAGATAAATACCAGAACTTTTAATGACTTTTTGAAATATCACGCTTGTCTCTTTAGTTCAGCAACCCGCCTTTAGGTGGCATTGGTTGTATTGGAAAACTACCGTAATCAGCTGTTTGTGACAAAGTATATAGGTGTATAGGTATTTATCATCTATGTACAACAGTGAATATCTGTACTCGTATAATTTGTGTACAAAGTGTTTTAAATATGAATAAACAAAGTGCATTTATTAATAGAAGAAAGTCAAGGAAAAAAAATACTGCATTAATAAAATAAATAAATAATTATAATTGCATAAGTTGATAAAAAATGCTATGCAATGGCTTTACCGCGGCAGTCTCCGAGTGCCACACGTCTTTTTTGTTGTACTTTTCATTTTGTTAAATATAATTTCAAGTTATGCAATATAGTATCGTGATTTTGAATAATTAGGAATAATTCATGCGACACAAGATAACGTCTAGATGAAAATAATGCTTCAACTTATGTATTTTTCTTTACGGGTTAGTGGGAAGATTAAGTAATAGTTAAACGGTTAATTTTGGTTAATTTTAATTTAATTTTGGCGATTTTGTTTTCGTACTAAAATTATTGAAAGCGGAGTCTTTTGATCAAAAACTGCGATTGACAATCGCTTCAATTGTACTACTTGTGAACGATCAATGGCAATCGACAATAAGGTAAAATTGACAATTGCGATTGCGGTCTCGGGTGGTCTTCTTGTCGGTGCTCATTTAATTCGTTCGGACGCCGCCAGTGCCCGAGATGCGCGCGGCGCAGGCGACGCTGGCGGCAGAGTGCGAGCGCTGGCCCTACTGCGGCGCGCCCTACTTCCTGCCCGTGCTGTCGCTGGTGGCGCGCGGCCACCGCCTGCCCGCACCCGCGCCGCCGCTCGCCGTGCTGCGCCTCGCCGCGCGCCTGCTGCCCGCCGGGGACGGGGACGGCGGCGCCCGGACGCTCGAGCTCGAGCTGCGCGAGGCGCCGGCGCATGTCGTGCTGGTGCTGGCGCCGGCGCCGGGCGCGCGCGTGGCGCACTGCGAGGGGCTCGGCGCGCCGCAGGAGGGGCCGCGATGGGGCGCGCGCCGCACGTATTTCGTGGCCTTGCACCAGGCGCGGCGACCGCGCGCGTGGCGCCTGGCGTGCCGGCTGGCCGCGCCGCCGGGCGCCGCGCCCGCGCGCTGGCTGCGCGTGGCGGCGGCGGGGCACGCCATGGCGGGCGCGGCGCGACGTGCGCCGACGCACGCACGGCTGCTGGCCGCGCTGCCGCCGCACGCCGCGGCCACGGGCTGGGGCGTGCACCTGCACGTGTTCGAGCTGTAGCCGCCATAGACGCCTCGCAGGCGACGCTCGACGCGTCCCGGCTGAACGTGTTCTGTATGCGTATGGTGTGATTGAGACTTATCTATGTCTAAATAAATCCGTTTATAATATATGAGTCATCGTTCAGAGAGGGTTATGAATGCTTCTCCATCTTAAGAGACGCTCCCGGGACGTGTCCTTGTCGTACGTCGATGGTAGTTAGTAAAAATTAGCATATCGTGTTTTTCATTTCTTTAATGATTTCATTTCACGTCGTCCTATCCATATAATAAACCATAATAAAGAGACAACCAAAAATGGTTAAATCAATAATGGCATAGAGTAGTCGCTGCCGCACCGCTGCGCTGCCGCACCGCTGCGCCGCCGCGCCGTGACGATGAAATTTAGTAATATTACATTACCAAAACATAAAAATACATTATTTTAATATGTACATTTTCATTACATAGAAGATTACGATTAGCACAATTATATAACCACACGTAAGCAATAAAGTGCCTAAGACTAAAGAAGATGTTGTGACCATTAAATGTTTTTCAACGTAGGGATTATCTATACTAATATTATAAAGAGGTAAAGTTTGTGAGTTTATGAGGTTGTAGGGGGTAATGTCTGGATCTATTAACCGATTTAAATGAAATTTGGTAAGGAGATAATTGGAGACCGTGGGAAGGACATAGAATACTTTTCCGGAAATCATCTCATAAGGGGGTGAAAATTGGGATGAAAGTTTGTATTAATAAACAAGCTAGGGACGAATTCGAGCGAAGCGACGGTGAGTCGCTAGTACATATTGTTATAAAAATTGCGATAATTATTAATTAGATACGTGTTAAATATTATACATATAATATTTAAAACGGACGGCCTTATTTATTGTTATATAAATGTATGATTTTATTTCCTTAAAATAAATGATTTACTCCAATATGTACAAATGATCGGTATTGGTGCTAATTGGTATGATTGCAACAGCAATCTCCACACTGAGTCGAGTTCCGATTGCGGGCTAAGATATATGGTTGCGTACCGATCAATTTTATTTGAATTGTTTTAAATGAAACTAACAAAATCAATATGACATGACTTTATTTATTAGGAATATAAAAAATTACGATTGTATTCTGTGATCTACCATATTTAAAGAATTTGTTATGTGATATGCATTTAAACATTGTGTTGTTACAAAAATAAAAAAAATTATATACCTTGTGTTTTATCTATTTAGTGCCGTAAGTTGTAACACATAGTACTTTTTTAGATTTACGCGAATATTTGACCTTTTAAATAAAACTATCTTTTCGGATTTTTTCGCGGATTTATTTGGATTTTTGGTTCCCGACCTTTCGAATGCTTTACAGCATCAGTGTTGCCAACAGCTTATGACCAGGTGTCGCCATTTTTCGCAGCTTGAGTAGCCTAAAGTAGCCTAATTTGAGCTGAAGTAGCCTAAATGGAAAAACTAAAAAAAACTCATTTATTTAACAAAAAAATTATTCACTGAGAATGTACTTAAAAACGAAATTAATTTATAAATTCTCTGACACTTTGTCATCTACTGCAATAACAAAGATTCCGAGTTCCGCAATACCGCCGTCAACATTGACTGTGGTTGCTGTACTAGTACTGGCTCCTTACATTTAAATGATGATCAAAATGACAGCATATCAGATTAATATTTTTCATTCTTCATTTGTAAAAGTAGGCCTATATAGTAATAGTGTTGCTTAGTAATTTGTCTCTTTTTAAATAATAGCAAACTAAATTAAAATTATTATCCTTAATTAATTTTAACTTTTTAAATTACACATAGAACAATTATATGGCTTAAATAATTAATACTATATTTTATATTTTTCTTTATGGTTATAAATATAATAATGGCAACACTTAATATAGATTACTAATTATTATTTTTAAAATTGTAATAATTATAATAATGACAGTAAAAATTAAATAAATAATTTTCTATATTCAATTATAAAACTAATTAAAATTATATAAAAATGTTTAAAGTTAAAAAATATTGTAAGGTAATTGGTGCAATTTCATTTTGTTATTTGTGGGTAGGCTGTCTGTAACAACTATAGTTGTTACAGACAGCCTACCCACAAATAACAGCCTTCGAGACATCTAACGCCTCAGTCTCTCCCGTGACCATGATTGCTGTAAAGAATTCGAAACGTCGGGAAACAAAAATCTAAATAAATCCGCGAAAAAATCCGAAAAAATAGTTTTATTTAAAATTACACAAGAAGTCAAATATAATCTATATATATAATAAAACTATAGAGGTCGAATGTCTGTACTTAAAAAAAATGCTAACAACCGAGTCAGGGGGATGTAAGAAAAGATATAAAACAAATCCAGTTGCTTTATTCAAATTTTTTGTTTCTCTGTCTGTTTGTACGGGCTAATCTCCGAAACTGTTGGACCGATTTAAATGAAATTTTGCATGGTGGTACCTTATATTCCCGCTTAACATTTTAGAGACATTTCATCCCAGAAAATTAAAGAATTCCCGTAGGATGTTTAAAAAACTATAGTAACTTATACTTATTGGATTTTAATGAAACTTTACAATAATATAGTTCATACATCAGAATAATAAATAGACTACTTTTTATCCCGGAAAAATTTACGGTTCACGTGGGATAGGTTTGTTTTTGCGTGTCTAGAGGCGAACCCGAGCGAAGCGAGGGTGTGCCGCTAGTACTGATTAATATGTTATCACTACATAGTATAAAACAAAGACGCTTTCTCTGTCCCTATATCCCTATGTATGCTTAAATCTTTAAAACTACGCATCGGATTTTGATGCGGTTTTTTTAATAGATAGAGTGATTCAAGAGGAAGGTTTTAATATATAATTTGTTAAGTTTTTGTATACACTGGCTAAAATATAACGATATTTGTTGGAGGTGTTGAAAAAAAAAAGACGTCTGGGAGCTTTCAACGAAAACGCTGCCTAAACCCTTTGAGATATAACAAAATAATGAATGGTGGAATTGTGTATCTTATATAGGTCTACAGAAAAGTCCGCGATGACATATGTCTATCTCTTAAGGATAACATACTATATCCATTTTAATTTAAAACGTACGTAGTTATGTAATACATGTTAAATAAAATGTAAAATAACTTTTAAACTTTGTAAAAAAAACGACACAACGAAAACTGATTACTTATAATAAAAATGAGTATTTATTATATTGTGAGATGAATGTGCTTATAATTAAATAGAAGCTATTATGACTTATTTTGCCATGGTAACCGTTGTTATTGTCTGACATCCATATTATTATTTTTTTTTACATTAACACACACCATCTATGTACGGGCTGAGACGAAAACCCCTACAGTCTTTGGTTGATAGTGATTAACGCTGATAGGAATTATTGATATAGTAAATGATAGTCCAAAATTAACTTAATTGTATATTAACCGTACTTTTATGATAGAATGATAGAATGATATTATTGATAGAACGACCCGTGAGCGCGCACGACGGCGACCGCGACAACTCGTGCGACACTGCTTTCGGATTCATTAATTGAAATATATATAGCCTCTATCCACGTAGTATGGCGTAATGTGCTTATGCGACAAATATTATGTACTGGCCCGTACATGCTCCCGGGCCGAAAGATAGGAACGTTGATGAGGTGCACTTAATCTAATACAAGATGATGGGCATTTTCACTTAATCTTATATGATAATAAAATATAGATAACAATTAAATCTTAAACTAAACCCCGGTGTCAGTTATAGAGAAAACTGACTGACGCACTGGCGAAGTGCCCCTATTTTTACGGAACACACGCTCACTGATAGCTTGGTCACTCACTTCACTTTTTACTAAATTGCTCTTACACTGCCCTACGTCACTTAATACTTTTAACTTTACACTGTTCACTTCACTGTCACACGGCTCTTCTACTCGAGCGCTAGGCGCTAGTCGGCGACGCGCGCGTCTGACGCGCCGCCATCCATATACCGCCGCGACCGCTGCGGCTACCGCCACAACTAGGTAGGTCACGGTGTAATGATGAATATGATGGTATGATACTCCTTCTATACTTGGTTCACTTCTTTTTATGGTATCCAATTGCTCTTGGATTGCAAGTAACTGTTTCTGATTGACTACAGTCTCTAAACTAGTACTGGAGGGCGAATCGGGTACCGAAATATTAATTAAGTAGTTGATCGGTGCAATTTCTGGTAATTTAAAATCGAGTTTCGTGTTCATTTTACTAAAATATTGATTTTGAGAATAAAAAGAGAAATCAGCTGATTTTATATGACAGCCCGGATCCACTGTCAGCAGTCCAGTATTGTTTAATTGTATGGCTGTAACATGATCCATGCATAGTAATCGGACGTAGCATTTATTACAGCAGAAATAAAGATATGTATTTAGTTTGTTTGTTTGAGTAAAAATATTTTTGCAGGGACTAATAATAGTTTTACATGTATTTGAATTTTGTCCCTTCTCACACAAACTTTGGTCATTTCTCATATGGTAAATCGGTTTCTTAACCGAACACAAAACAGTATCAATCTCTTGTTCAATACATAAGTTTAAATCAGTTTCCGTTAAAGATAAAAATAAATCCTTGTTTAAGTTTAAAGCCAGCATTTCACTTATAGGTAAAATGCTGACCATGTTCTTTACTGCCTGTTTTGGAATAGAAAAAAGAAACTTTAAATATTTCGAAAGAATCTCTTGTGATTAATGGAATCCGAATTTCAAATATGAGGAACTCTTTTGATAGGTGTGCTTTAACCTTTAATATTTTGTATAATTTAGATAGGTCCGCGTGGTCATTTGGTAAGCACAGATCTCTGGGCAGATTTGTAGATATGATACTCAATTCTTGTTGTAATTGCTCGGGATGGAGAAGATGTACACTGAATTTTCCGTGAAACACGTCGGTGATAGTGTCCAGGAGATAATCTTGAATGCTCCTAAGATCATGTAATATGTTATTTGTGATCATTGCTGATAAAGTAAAATCTGTAATATACGAATTATTTTGAAGCTCAGATCTGAGAATATTCACAGAGGAATTTAGCTCCATAATCTTTTGTTAATTGTTTTATGATACTTGTTCATGATAAATTCAGCCCTTTTGATAAGGTTAAATTCCGCTTCAATGATCGACGTTTGATTTTTCCATAGCTTAATCAGATGTTTTTCATTCTCTCTAATTAAACCAATGTCTTGTTCGTATTTATTTGCAAAATTACTATCCAATATTCCAAACAATGAATTTGCTATATTACCTATACCGTTAATAAGACCCCGGCGTCGCCGGCGCTGACGCGTGTTTACGTCAAATTGCTGACCTAGCCACTTGCTATTGTATTGTTGTAGGTCGGAATACTGGTGATTTAATTGATACATGACACCGTCGCAAGGTGAATGATCCTTTATCGTAGCGCATATGGTTTGTAGATATTGTATGTACTTATTTGCCGCCTTAGTGCCTTCCCAGTATGGATTGATGTCGTAATAGACGACCAGTCGCCAATCATCTTGAATTAAATGCATGTTTGCAATTTTATCAAAAAACAGACCGCAATTATTTTGTAAAGACGTGTTATTATATAACCCATAGGCGTTTGTCATTAAAGTCATAAAAAATAATATTATCGTAGTAGCAACCGTCGCAAAATTTAGTTTTTCTTAATACATCTCGGATTTCTTTCACGTATACATTTTTTATCTTCCACTGCGGGTTTTTCTTGTTGTACGGGCAGAATTGACAGTTTTATAACAGGCCTCTTCATAAGTCCATTTTTAGTTTTTAATGTTACTACTCGTACACGACCGTCCTTTCCGGGATGTAACGCCAGTACGCGGCCGAGCGCCCATTTTCCCGGGGGAAGATTCGCGTCATTTATGATGACGATGTCATTTAATTTGATATTTTCTTGTGGTTGTCGCCACTTGCTTCGCGCTGATAGGTTGGTGAGGTACTCTTGCTGCCATCTCTTCCAGATGTCCTGGAATATTTTTTGTTTGAGGTGCCACCTAGTCCTTAGGTCCCATTCAGTTTCATAAATTGATAGTATTGGTCCACTTGATAAAAAATGAGATGGAGTTAAATAATTTAAATCTTCAGGGTCCTCAGTGAGCGGACACAATGGTCTAGAATTTAAGCACGCTTCTAGTTGAGCCAGGAGAGTAGTGAATTCCTCATATGTAAGCCTTTGTTCCCCAACTACTCTCTTCAAATGAAATTTCAGGCTTTTAACAGCTGCTTCACAAAGACCATTCGCTGATGGCCAGGAAGGGGCATTGAAATGCCATTCGATTCCCATGTCGGCAACTTCTGAATGAAACTCTGGGGTAAATATTTTCATTAGATCCTCGTATTCATGTTGTAATATCTTGTTTGCTCCGATGAAATTGGTACCATTGTCACTGTAAATATGACGCGGGGTCCCACGGCGAGCTGACATTCGCCGTAAGGCTGCTATAAATGCGGTACTCGTCAAGTCTGATACCAGCTCTAGATGTACAGCCTTGGTTGCCATACATGTAAATACTGCTACATACCCCTTAGTGGTTTTAATACCACGACCTGAGTTTGCCTTTAAATATAAGTGACCGGTATAATCCACTGCTACATGATAGAAAGGTCTAGAAGGATTTGTTCTAGCACTGGGAAGGTCACCCATAATCTGATAGTGTTTGCTAGGTCCTTGCTTCCTACACTGGATACAAAGGCGTAGTCTCTTCTTGGTAGTTCTGTTGCCACCTACAACCCAATATTTCCGTCGTAAATATGCTGATGTCAATCGAGGACCTCCATGATAAGTTAGCTTATGTGATTGATCAATTAGTAACTCCGCAATACGATTTTTGCCAGGTATAATGATAGGATTTTTCATGTCCGGGTCCAAGTTCGCGTTCCTCAACCTACCGCCGACTCTAAGTATCTCATTTTTATCTAGATATGGATTTAACTCACAAATTTTGCTTCTGCTATTTATCTTATTACCGCTTTGTAAATCCGTAATTTCTTGATAATACTCAATTTGTTGAATTTTCTTAATAATGAACGAAGTTGCTTGTTTGAGTTCTTCTACGGACAAGAAACTACCGTATTGTTTTTTCTTGATATAAATAAATCGTCGTACCCATGCTATTATTCGAACTAATTTATTAAATGAACTACAATTTGATAAACATTTTTCTATGATATCGTCGCGTTTTTGCGTAACTGAAACAACTTGTTTTGATAATTTAAGTTCTTGATCCGTTGAATACATAATATTATTATCATCCTCTTTAAAAACTGCTAGCCAAGTTGGACCCTGCCACCACAAATGATGTTCTTTTAATTCTGATGCTGTGATACCGCGGCTAGCGCAGTCCGCCGGGTTCTCTTTTGATTTGACGTATCTCCAACATTCGGATGGTACTGAGTTTGTAATAGTTTTAACTCGATTGGCAACGAATGGCTTCCATTTTTCTGCTTTTCCATTGAGCCACCCTAACACAACTTGAGAGTCAACCCAACAATAAGTTTTTATTTCATAATAGTTTAGGCATTGTTTTAATTTTAAAATTAATTTAGACAGTAACAGTGCCCCACTTAATTCAAGTCGAGGTAAAGTAAGTTTTTTGCTGATGGGCGCTAATTTTGTTTTCGCGGCGACTAACACGATTGTAGGTGATTGACCCGTTGTTTTGCAATACACAACGCAAGCGTAGGCTTTCGTACTTGCGTCACAAAATCCATGCAATTCTATTTCTTGATTTTCTTTTGTATGGAGCCACCTTGGCACACGACATTGATTTATATCTTGAATACAGTTTTTAGCCAAATTCCACTCTCTGAAAATAGTATCTGTAATAGGGTCATCCCATTGCAACTTTGTTTCCCAAACCATTTGAAAAATAATTTTAAACTTTGTAGTAACTGGTGACAACCAACCCAAAGGGTCGAATATTTGAGAAATTTCCGAGAGTAAATTTCTTTTAGTAGGCCGTGTTGAAGAAAAAGTTGTTTGTATTTGAAAAGTAAAATCATCATTTTCTGGGTCCCACCGAAGTCCCAAAGTTTTCGTTGATTCTGTATGTTTAAATTCGAATTTTTCTTGATTATTGTCATTGCTCTCTGTGGCGCTCTCCACCAAGTGTGGCAAGTTTGATTTCCATTTACGCAGATTAAAACCTCCGGAATGCAATAAACGGATTAAATCCTCTTTTAATTGTTTCGCAGTTGTTTCCGAGTGGGTGCCGTGAAGCAAATCATCCATATAAAATGACTGCTCTATGACTTCTGGTGCGCAACTATTTTTATAATTAATTTTTTCGTCATAAAGCTAGCTGTCGCAATGTCATCATCGCGAGGAATGGAGCCGCCTTTGTACCGTATGTGACGGTGGTTAACTGATATTCCTGCAAGGGCTCGCAGGGGCTTTTTCGCCAAATGATTTTTTGCAGAACTTGATCATCTGGGTGTATCCAGATTTGCCGGAACATTTTCTCAATGTCGGCTGTGAACGCGAATTCAAACTGTCTCCACTTGATAAGAAGGTTTTGCAGGTCCTTTTGTAAAGTAGGCCCTTTACACATAACGTCATTCAAACTGTGACCGCTCGATGTTTTTTTCGAAGCATTGAAAACTGTTCTTAGTTTCGTTGTAGTAGAGTCGTTTCGAATCACACAGTGGTGAGGTAGATAACAATGGGGTTTCGAATTACCGTTTGTCAATATCATATGATTGAGTGACTTATATTCCTCCATAAATGCTATATACATGTTCGCCATATCTGTTTGTCTACATAATTTTTTTTCCAAATTATAAAACTGCGCTATACATTTATTTTTTGACTCTCCTAATTTTTCTTGATAATTTGATTTCATCGGCAGCCTCACTTCGTATCGTCCGTCGCTTCGTCGTATTGTGGTAGATTTATAAAAATTGACGCATTCCTGATCTTCTAATGATAAATTTGGTGTTTCTGATATATCCTCGATCTCCCAAAATGTTTGTATTTCTTGTAAATTATTAATAACAACGTTACACTGTAGAGTTTTCACGTTTCCCGTTAATATCCAGCCCAAACGTGTATTTTGTGCTATTGGTATATGATTATCGGCCTTACGAATTCCTTTTAATAAAATTAACGAATAAATATCCGCACCTAAAAGTAGATCAATCGGACGACTTACGTAGAACTCGGGGTCTGCTAAGGTAATGTTCTCTAATAAATGCCACGATGGTTTGGAAAATGTATAATTAGGTAGATTCTTGATAAGGCTTTTCATGATATAAACTTCGGTCTTAAATTCAAAATGGCTATTCTTCGATGCACATTTAATAGATATGACGCCCTTACAGTTGCTCTCTTTCGCACCTACCCCTGATATCACCCCTTGACATCTTGATCTAGGTTGACCGAGTACTTGAGCTGCATTTTCGGTGATAAGCGAAGTTTGGGAGCCCTGGTCTATAAGAGCTCGCATGTTAACGAAAGTTCCATCATATTTTTGTACTTTAATAATGGCTGTAGCTAAAAGTACCTCAGGCATGCCGCGTTGCAACGACACGTGCGAGTTGCTTTGAATTTGCTGAGGAGACTCTAAACTATTTGTTTGACCTGATTGCGTAAATGATTCGTGTAAAATCGTATTATGAGTTTCGTTACATTTAATACATCGTTTTTCGGAAATACATGGTTTGCCGTTATGCGAATAAAGACAGTTTTCACATACATTAAGTTTTGATACAGTTCGGCGTTTTAGCTGCGGTGTCATATTTAAAAATTGGCGACAATAAAATAATGCATGTTCGTTGGTTTTGCATACTCCGCACTTGTAAAATTTCAATGAACTGTTGTTTTTGATATTAGCTTGTTGCGAAATTAGCCTACTGTGTGCCGGAAATGCTTGCTTGTTAAAACTTTTATTATATTTATTAAATTGTTGCGGCGCCAAATTATTCGTCTTATGCATTTTATTCATATATTGATATTCTGGTTTCTTACGAGCTGACTCTAAACTAGTAAATTTACTCTCTAAAAATGACAAAAATTCCTGCAAATTAGGTATCTCCCTTGGTTGTTTTACGATTGATAGGTATTCATGGTATGTGTCTGTATCCAATTTTTGAGAAAGAATATGAACAAGTAGGGGATCCCAGGATTCGACGTCGACACCCAAGTTCTTTATAGCGTTTAATGTCTCTAAAGTTGTATCGTGAATACGCTTAATATGATTTAATGAAGTTTGTTGTACTACAGGGATGTTTAACAATATTTCAATGTGCGAACGGAAAATTAAGCGCTTATTGCTATACCTGTTATTTAAGATATCCCAACTGATTGTATAGTTATCAGAGGTAATAGGCAAGTGCTGTATGAGCCTTTCTGCTTCGCCCTTTACTTTTGTTTTTAGAAATTGCATCTTTTGTGCATTAGATAATGACGGACTTCTATGAATTGTTTCGATGAACAAGTCTTTAAATGAGCTCCACTGATGGTAACTACCGCTGAAAGTTGGTATCTCTACGTGTGGCGTCAACTGGTCCCTATGTGATACGGACCACAGCTTCCGGTTGATAGATTTTACTATATCATTATACGTTTTTTCGTATTTAAAAAATAATGATTCGTACTCTGGGTTTCTATTCCCAATTTCGCTGTCTAATTCCCAGTGTAAGGTGTCAATTAAGGACCAACGCGATTGTACTGCTCGTAATAAATGATCGAACTCCCATTTCTCTGATACCGATTGTAAGTCAATATTTGATACTGTGTGCTCAAACGCTTTAAAATTGCTGCTCTGTTTACGTAACATTTCGTCAGTCTTGCTGTTCGTCCCCTGAGACTGAGATGACAACTGACGAGACGGACCGGGTACAGTTAATGGACTAGCTGATTTTTGAATAAATTTTTCGGGCTTCTCTTCCTTACTTTGATAGTTAGAAATTGCTAATCTAATATTATCGTACCTTTGTTTAATAATCTCAAATTGATTGCCCGTAAAATAGGAATGAGACTTGGCGTATTCCATTCCGCCTAATAAAAAATGGTTTGATTGTAGTTCCTGCCAGTACTTATCTAAGGTATCCAACCTCCGCCTGATGTAGTCAGGCGTCTTTCGGTCGGCACCATCCTTTTTAAAGTTCGTGTAAACTTGCTCGATTGCCTCAAATAGCTGTTGCTGATTAGCTAATATGTCTTCCATACTCGACATGCTGATAGTAATGATAGTGATAATTTAATAAGGAAAGATCTTACTTGATAAATCTGGATAGCTGCACACGTTGCGTTACGATGTGTTGGTGAGCCGTTTATACCCACCAAATCCAAAGTGATAGGCAATGGTTATAAATCCACGCGCCGGAACTGTTGTTAATTCACGTTATTCGTCTCCTGATACGTATGTCCTCACTTGTGATACACAGAACTAATAAAACTAGCTATGAACACACGCGAGGTCCACTCGAAGGATTGATTACAAAGTCATATAAAATAAGTTCTCGGTTCTCGAAGGACCACAAAGATGTACGGGCTGAGACGAAAACCCCTTCAGTCTTTGGTTGATAGTGATTAACGCTGATAGGAATTATTGATATAGTAAATGATAGTCCAAAATTAACTTAATTGTATATTAACCGTACTTTTATGATAGAATGATAGAATGATATTATTGATAGAACGACCCGTGAGCGCGCACGACGGCGACCGCGACAACTCGTGCGACACTGCTTTCGGATTCATTAATTGAAATATATATAGCCTCTATCCACGTAGTATGGCGTAATGTGCTTATGCGACAAATATTATGTACTGGCCCGTACAATCTAGTTCCATGGTAAGTTACGAGGCTTGTGTTATGGATACAAGATAGTTGATACATTATATATATAACTTTAAATACATACATATTATAAATATAAACATCCATGACTAGAGTACAAACATTCGTGCTCATCACACAAACGAATGCCCCCAGCGGAACTCGAACCCGCGACCGCTGGCGCAGCAAGTAGGGTCACTACAAACTGACCCAAACGTGTCGTCAAATTATAAATGTGAAAATGTGTTTGCTTGTTTGTTTGTCCTTCTTTCACGTCGAAACAGAGTGATGAATTGGCGTGGTTTTTTGTATAGAGGTAGTTGGAGGGCTGGAGAGTGACATAGGCTACTTTTTACCGCGGGAAATTATCTCATTCCCACGGGAAAACACGTTATAATACAACCCCAAAAATATTTATGATCAGAATTACTTGAAACTTAGTAATAATGCTTTTCAGTATAAATAAATACGTGTTTTAGCATTTTTCGAAATTAACCCCTAAGGGGGTATTATAGGGGATGAAAGTTTGTATGAAATCTACCTTTTTAGTTTTTTTATATTTTTAGCGCGAGAGAAGCCGTTTCTGCTAGTATAATATATATTCTTTCCGTTTAAGATGTACTATAAATATATTATTGTCCTTGCCTTATTAAATTATTGATTTGTTTTAATTTAATTGCGATATTTTCCAAAAAAGTTTCACTTCTACCGTGAGTGAATTGCAACAACACACACACACACACCAATTTTTTTTTATTTATTCACCGATTGAAATAAAACAAACACTAAATGTTATGTGAAACTTACAACGATACATTAGTGAAAACCGGCAACCGCATCGAAATCGGTTAAGCCCTTTTTGAGATTAGTGCGCACAAACACAAGGACAAACAGTCGAAAATTCTAAAAATTATTATTTTGGATTCTATTGCGTTAATAAAGGCCCCCAAGAATAGTTTTTCTCCAATATTTTTCATCGTTACAATTTTATTATATGTACAGATTTGATATTGGTGCGTCTGCTTAATTTGTAAAATTATTATAAGTGTTTAGTGGGCTGTTTTCAGACCTAACGAAAAGCGGCTGGTGCGTTATGATATTATGTGTTTGCTCGGCGTTTATAAGGGTCTATCCACACAGCAACTTTTTACCCGACTGCGCGACGCAAAGGTGGGGTGTTTTTTTTAACAGCCTATGTTATACATACATTTATGTATGTATATATGGGTTTGTAACTTTGTGGCACTATTTAGACTAAACGCATGGGCCGATTTTAATAAATGACACGTCGTTTGATTCGTCATGACGGTGCGAATGCTATAGAAAGCATAAAAATTTGGAAAACTGAAAATGGCCGATTTTGGACGCCATAATGTGGAAAAGAAAAAAATGAAAATCGACGGACTATATCAAGTGGGGTATCGTTGAATAAGTATTTAAAAATTATTTTTAACTTCTCTTATCATTTTTCATTTTAAATAACAGCTTAGGATATATAATGATTTAAAGTTAGTTAACTACCAATATATTCTCACTAATTTTCTACTTAAAATACTTAAAAAGCTGTAAATAAATAAATATATTATAAAAATAAAAAAACCCAACTTGCATAAAAGTTAACTAAAAAGATGAAAACAAGTTCACGAAGGAATATAGTATTATGTAATCGGAGACATACACGTTTCATCCTTGCCGCGAGATGTACATATTATGTATGTATGTCTCCGACTGCAGTTAACTATGCATCATGGCATGCAGTCGGGTTTTTTTTATTTTTATAATACGAGTATATTTTTTTTCTATTTGTATCGATACTGATGTACATAGGTATGTAATCTGCATTTTTTTTAGTTTATAGTGCGCGTCATCCGCCCGCTTAAAAATGTGGTGTGCTTAGGTCCTAAATGCGCTTGAATGAAGTTGGCCTCTTGAAATTGCGCAATATCAAATGCAAAATTTTATTGCGGTATATTTTATATGATTTTGTGCCAACACTGCACTCCTAGAAGCTACAAAAAACACATGGAATTGAATTTTATATAATTAATTAGTTTTTTTTAGCGACTTTATTAGCGACTTCTCTCGCTGTGCTGGGATTTATTCGTAGGTACCTATTATATTTTATCCAAACTCATCGAGTTGTTACTACTATAGCGCGGCGTGAAGAAGTAAAATATGTACAAATTATTAGAGGCCAAAGGCCAAAGCCCTTGCGTACCATACGTCATCTTACATCTGTGGCCAAGTTATTCATTTATGGTAGTTGTCTACTTAGTCTGTGTATTTGGTTTACTTTGACAATCAACATTAAAGTTTTAACCTGTGGTTTCAATCCTGATCTGTGGACTGTGACAGCCCGCAGTCGACAGGTGACTAAGAAGTAAGAATAAACAATTTCGCCGCCAAAATTCCTATGAGTGAATACTGAATAGAATAAGAATTACCTTCTAAAATAACACTCAGATCAGATGTATTACTTGACATTCATCCTTTATCGATAACATGTAAGTTTTGTTTATATTCAATAATCAATTATTTCATTAAATGTTTGTCGATAGTAAGGTTATGTTTACTGTTTTTTTTTAGGTCTTCTAGTCCAAATTCAAAACTACTTCAAAGAACTATTGATTTAAATTATACTAACAAGAAACGCTCTAATTCATTTAAATGGATAATTGTGAATGCTGTTTTCCTGCTGATTTTTGTTTATGATTTGTAAGTGTTAATATTATATTTTATTCATATTTTTTTTATAAAATATGTTTTAGAAATGATATAAGTTTAAATTATATAAAGCTTTTGACCATTTAAACATTACCAACTTTAAATTCTCAAAAAAATAAATCATACTAAATAAATTATTGTTCATATATTTTTAAGGTCTTGTAAATGTCCTGGATACACTACAATATTGCATTATGTTGAACTGATTTGTGCGGGAGTTATGGCAGCTAACTTGGTGCAGTATGCAATACGCCTGCTACCCAGTAGGGCTCCAAAGCTGCCACTGTCACCTGATCAACAAAAATTACTAGGCTTGTCAAATGCAGATATAGGTAAGAATTAATTTTTATTTTAATAAATCAAATAATTGGAAGTAGAAAATATTAGATATGACTGTTGTGGATTTGGAACACATATAAAAATACCACATGGCTTTTCACCAACGAGTAAAACGAACAAAGATTTTTGAAACTAATTAAATTAATATCAAGATTAAGTTATAAAAAAATTGATGTTAAGTGTACTTAATAAGAGTACATAATTTTTATTAATATTAAACAATGTATTTAAAAATGATACATCTTTCAAGGCATGAAATGTTTTAATAGAAGTGTAAAAAAAACATATGGTAATTTATTGTGGACTGTTTTGGTGAAGTTTTACTGATAATCATATAAAAGTCTACACATGGGCCGTACATTGCTTTAATTTATTTACTACTGTAGTGGTGACACTTGCAATTAAATTTGTCAGAAGCAACTTTTTTCCATCTTACAAGATTAAATTCAATAATCGTGATAGTTCAGCTAACTAACACACACGCAAGACATATTTTATAGCCTTCAGCAGTCAGGGATAATTTAGGTATTTATTAACACCTGTATGTCTGTTTTGTGAAAATTATTCCATATTTCATATAATAGGTTATAATAACTTTCAGAGTATGATGCTTTTATGTGATTTGTCTTTGCAATAATTTCCAGACTCTTCATTCATCCTGACAAAAAGCAACAGTTCCCCCGTGCAAGCGAGCGACAGCGAGGGGGAGAGCTGGCGCGTGTCAGACGCCGAGTTGTCGCTGTCACCGCGTGCGTGGCGCTCTGCCCCGTCCTCACCGCCCTCCCCACCCTCGCCTACCTCGCCGCCCTCGCCGCCCTCGCCTCCCACCTCATCACTGGACACCACACATGATCAGTTCATTGCTGATCAGAGTTCTTTAACTGACTATCTCAAGTGAGACTCTGTTCTATACTGATGTACATAATAGATATTACCAAAACTCCTGCAAATATTGCGGATTTGATTCCCAGACACGGTGTGCATATTCAACAAAATGTATAAACAATGAAACCTCCCCGTCGCCCGCAGACGCTGCGAGGAGCGCACGCGCGCCGCCGAGCCCGCGCCCGCCTTGCCGCCCGCCCTGGCGCCTGCGCGCGCGCCGCCGCCCTACCAGCTCGCCGTCACAGACAGCGGTCAGTAGCAGCCTGTTTCAGAAACTAATTAAACCTTTGTGCTTCAATGAGTTTGTTCAGACCTGGCCTGGCATAGGCCTCCACTTATACGAATGGGACCAGGCCTTAATCCTCTACGACGGCAAGTGCTGTTAGTAGACTTTTGTAACATATGTTGTTAACATTACAATGTTTTCCTAGTATAAAGCAAGTGGTATCGTGTTGATGAGGATTTGCAGGTGATGTGTCAAAAATTTGAACCCTACACTAATTTGTTTTTTTAAGGACGCGCCTTACTCTGCACTGCCTTCTTAAGGGGTTGCATTTTAATAATTACTAATGATTGATATTTTTTACAATTGATATTGATGGTTTCCTTGTTGAGTTAAAGGTTTAGGTTTACAATTAGTGCAGATACCGTGTATTACACGATCACATTATCTCTGCACCTCGTTGGAATGCGATGCCCCTCTCGCTTTCCCCTTCTCCCCGCGCTCGCTCCATCGGTAGTTTGCATGCTCATTGCCGATACGCGTCTCTTGGTTTTTGGATTTTCTTGATTTATTGTTAGGTTTAGACTGTTTTTTAATTGTCTCTCGAAGTTCAGTAATTAGACTTAATCTAAAGACATGGGAGAAGATACAATGCCAGGCATAGAATTATTTATAGTGACTAACAACTCACTCGCTTCGCTCAGGTTCGTCCCTAGGTTGATTCCCCATACAAACTTTCATCCCCATTTTCACCCCCTTAAGGGATAAAAAGTATCCTATATCCTTCTCAGGGTCTCAAACTATCTTCTTACCAAATTTCATCTAAATCGGTTCAGTAGATCCAGAGATTACCCCCTACAACGTCACAAACTCATAATTCACAAACTTCACCTCTTTATAATATTAATATAGAAATATAGATAATAAGTCTTAGCTTAATTAGTAAGAAAATTTTGTACTGATTTTAAATAATAAATATGTTTTACATTCAACATATTTTTAACCCCCGACGAAAGAGGGGTGTCATAATATAGGCACGGTAATGTAATATGTAACATTACCGTGATATAGGGTTTGACGTTGATGTCTCTCTGTGGCATCGTAATTCACAAACGGATGGACTGATTTCGATGCGATTTTTTTCATTTGAAAGCCAGTTTCCTTGTGTTGGTTCTTAGCTATGTTTGGTTAATATTGGTCCAGCAGTGTAAGAGTATCAGCTCTTTTCCAAAACGATGTAAGGCATTTTAGCGTATGATTACTCGATTAAGTACCTACTTCACGCGTGCCAGTGTAATCGTTAAATGACAATTATTTTGCGTACGGTTTTTTTTTAATTATTATTTATTTTTCATCGCTAATTCTTTATTTTTTTTATTACTAGTAGAACCCGCGACTTCGCTCGCGCTAAAACTACAAAAAAAACTAAAAATCTCTAAAAAGGTAGTTTCATACAAAGTTTCATCCCCTATTATACCTTCTTATAAGATAAATTTCGAAAAATGCTAAGACACGTATTTATTTAATTTTATTGAAGTGCATTAAAACCAAGGTTCAAGTAATTCTGATCATAAATATTTTTTTGAATTGTATTATAACGTTTTCGCGTGGGAATGAGATAATCTCCCGCGGTATAAAGTAACCTATGTCACTCTATAGCATTCCAACTATCTCCACACAAAAATTCACGCCAATCCGTCACACCGTCTCGACGTAAAAGAAGGACAAACAAACAAACACACTTTCACATTTATAATATTACTATGGAATTATTTAATTCAGTCATTATACAAAAAGTTTAATTTCTGTTGATGCTTGTTTATCACACTGTACGAGGGCGCCGATGTGACCTCATCAATGCCAGGTGCACAGGTAATGTGACAGGGTTGTAGTGTTTATGTATTCTTCACATATAAGACTAAAAATTAATAAGGTTGAAGTACTCGAGTACAATATTCTTAAGTACCTCAGTCTTATTCATTTCGTAAAAGAGATATGATATATATATATATATATATATATATATATATATATATATATATATGAATTTAATTCGGTAGCTATTATGCAATAAATTTTTTGTTCATAGCCGGTGGTAACAAACTGGAGGAGAGCTCCGAGCCGGGCGCCGGCCGCGTGTGGCGCCGCCTCGACCTCGACCCGCAGCGCCTCACGCAGTGGAATCTCAACCTGCGGCTCGTGAGTCACCTTCGTAATGTTCGTATTTCGATTCTTTCGTTCGAATAACACGAAGCGACGCTCCGTCCGCAGTGGATCCACGTGACCATCCTGGAGCGGCTGGTGCGCGAGATCCGCGCCGTGGACGAGGCGTTGGCGCGCGCGGCGCTATGCGAGGCGGGCGCGCTGCGCGAGGGCCGCCTGCCGCCCGCCCGCCTGCGCGCGCTGGCCGCCGCGCAGCCCGCACTCGCCGCGCTGCTGCCCTTCCTCGAGCCCTTCCCCGACCAGCGCTACGTGGTGCGGCGCGTGGCGCAACTAGCGCGCGGCGGCTGCCTCAGCGCCTACCGCTGGGCGGGCGGCGGCCCCGACTGGCGGCCCGGCGCGCCCACCGACGCCGAGCTGCTGCTACACCTGGTGGCCGCCTATCTGGACGCGCAGCTGCCGGGCGGCTTCAGCGCGGAACGCGTGGGAGAGGCGGGCGCGGATGCGCTGCGCGTGGTGCGCGTGCGCGGCGCGGCGGGCGCGGCGCCGCACTACGCACTGGTGCGCGGCGACGAGACGCTGGACGTGGGGCGCGGCCGCAATAACCTGCTGCACACGCTGCTGCTGCTGCTGGCGGCGGCGGCGCGCCGCGACCCGCCCGCGCTCGCGCGCACGCACCTCGGCCCCGCCGGACTCAACATGCTGTGGATCATCGGCCGGTAGCCGCTGCCCACCTACCTATCGCCTTTGTCATTTGTATCCAAATAAACTACATCATTTTCCCTCGATACTTATTTCATAACATTTTGCAACTGCATTAAATTACGTACAGACTATATCATATATGTAGATTAAATAAAAGTAATATTACTTATAAGTGATTGTCATTATTGTATCCCAATTATCTACTAAATAGAATTTATAAGTAGCACTCGATTCCAGATACTAGAGCATTAGATATCTAGCTTACTATATTTGAGAAAATAAAGTATTGTTATTATTACTAAATAATTAATTTCTTTTAATTTTTAATCATGCTATTGTACCCAGTGGAGGATATACAAAAGTGCTGCTTATATGTTATAAGAAACTATCCCTAGAGACAGGCGTGCATGGTCATTTTTGGCCTGCAGCTCAGGGCCCCGAGAACATAAAGTGCCCCCCAATCCCTGTTAAAAACAATGGACAACATTGTATTTATATGATTCAAAATTATCTAAAGGTTTTAATTTAGACTGTTATCGTAACTTTTGACTAATGTCCCTGAAATCACTCGACCAGAAATAAACAAAAGTATTTTCTAATCTCTAAAGTGCCATGTAACAGATTTTATTTAAGATTTGAAGAAAATCTGTGTTAAATACTAGTTATGGATTTTGATCAAATTTTGAAAATAATGTGCGGCAACATCATGATGCCTCATGAGTCTCATCATGAACAAAAAAAATTAGTTCAAATAAATGTCAGTAGATGACGTTACATGTATCAATTTGTTATTAAAATTGTGAAAAGATAAAAAAGTAGATTCCAAAAAGATGTATTGTTTAAAAAAATTCTAATAGATGGAAAACGGAATAATGCGCTCGTAAATAAAATTTGCGTAATTTTACTGATTATTAAAATATTAGCAATCAGATGATGGGTTGTAGTGCATATTCACAGATAGAGCTTTTATATTTTACAAGCATTGCCCGCGGCTCCGCCCGCGTTCAGATGACCAAAAACCCAAATTCTTAGGTTTACATATTAGTATACTCTTACAAAGCAGTTTTTGTATTTTTTCTGAGAAATGAGATATTATTCCGCGGTAAAAAGTATCCTATATGTTGACCGGGATAACCAGCTATTATCATACCAAATTTCATCAAAATCTGTCAAGTGGTTTTCTCGTGATGCAGTAACAGACAGACAGACAAAAATTCTAGAAACTATAGATTCGGACTCTGTATCGATAATAATGTCTATTTCAATTAGATTTTCCAAAAAATATTTAATGCACAGATTCAACTTAGTTTATTATATGTATAGATGAATTGTTAATCATGGTTGAAAATTGTAAAAATCACTCATACTTCTCATTCGAATGCAGTTTGCTGTTGTGTGTATAAATTTTATTGATTACTGTCATTATAATGATTATATCAGGAAAAGTGTTTCATTGTTTTACATTATTTTATTAATAATATTTTCATATTTGAATAGCTAAAAAGTTAAATAATAATTTACACCTTTTCACTTAGTCCTTAAAGGTGGCTCACCATTTGCAGTATCATTGGATAAAACGGTTTCGTTCATTAAATCCTTAGCATCACGGAGCTGCTGCTGCACGGCAGCATGCAGAGCGTCTATGAATTGTGCCAGTGTGGGCTCGTGACGCGTGTGCAAGGCGCGCGCGAGGAAAGGCAGGCGGCGCAGCGCGCGGCCCGACAGCGTCGCCGCTGCCGCCGCGCGCGCCACCGCCCACAGCCGCAGCGACGCGCGCGATCCCTCCGTGTCGGCGAATCGCGCTGCCTCCAGCACGCGCAGAGCGAACAGCTGCTCGCGCGGCGCCACTACGCCGCGCGCCATCAACTCCGCGCAGCACCCGCGCAGGATCTCGTACGCGGCGCGCTCCGACGGCGGCCCTACGAGCCGCTTGATGTCCGCCCGGTCCACGAACGCGATGTCGATGGCGCCCGTCACGTTGGAAGTGGTCAGGACGAGGGCGTTCGGGTGGCGCTTCAACCGATCTAATTGCGTCAATATAGCATTCACGGCTCTTATCGAATCGGAAGGCTCAAGTCCAGCGAGCGCCGCGTGCCGTGCGTGCGCCAGTGATTCCACTTCATCAACGAGCACGCACGCGAGGAGACGTCGATCTTCAACGATTTCACGTATTCGATCAAAAAGCTTCGCTACGAGTTTCCCGCTTTCCGAGAACCACTTTGAAAACAAACCATGGGCGTTTATTTCGAGAAGACGCGCGCGCGGGAATCTATCTCCTAATCGCACGGCTAACTTTTGTGCTAGAGCTCGACATAAACTAGTTTTTCCAGTACCTGGTGGCCCATGTAACAACACCACTCGATTCCAGCCTATAACATTAGGATCTACACCTCGATCGGCGAATTCAAATGCAGTCTCGACAAAACGAAGTGTATCTTCTTTCAGTTTTGAATCATATACCAGATTTTCCCATAAACCATGAAATTCTTCAGTCGGAAGAGCCCATACGTCTGCTGCTGCTATTTCTTCCCCAGACGCTGCATCTGTCATAGTATCTGTTTCCGCACCGAAACGGTCCAAGGTATAGACGTGATAAATCAGTTCACATTCTGCTACATTTATGTCGGAATCGTGTTCGATATCACAGAAAGTAATACATTGTACGTGCTCTTTTAAGTCTAGATTCTCTTCCAATTCATTATTATTGATTGTTGTGCCGGGAGATAATAAAACAAAATGAGCGAGGTAAGAGTGGACAATATCTTTGATAAATTCTTTACTTGCAAGACTTTGTCTCTTTTGCACAACTTCTATGTGAAGAGGAGTATTCATTTTATTTATAGCGCTGTTGCTTTAATTCAAACAATAAAAATAACATAAAATAACACCACAAGTTCAACGAAACTTTCAAAATTGAAATATGTAAGACGGTTGCTTACACGTCAAATATTTAAAGGGGCACAGATGATTAGGAAAAAAAGACTTACAACAGTACAGACTAAGTAGAAAAACTAACTATTTTGATATATTTATGTATTATTAATTTAAGTCTTAAAATTTGCCCGTATTAAATAAACAGAAACATCTATTTTAAAGCTATATTTATTACTTAATACGAAAATATAATTGAAATTTATGTCACAATAATGTCGAAGTTTTTCAAAGTTTTAAAGCCATAAAACTTAAGGTCTTGATTTTTTTTTAAAGTTAATGTTTTATAAAAATATTTAGTGTACAGATTTTGCTAAGTTACTATTTTATTATTATGTACATTTTAGGCTGTGACCACCCCCAAAATTTAAGGCTATGTGGACATAATTTTAAAGAAAGCGATTTTAAAACTCTTACATCGTCTACAGGTGAATGTTTTTGAAGTTATATTTCTTTTTGGACGTTTGGAAAAAAATATGAGAGTAAAATTTTGACGATGCGCACGCACACCGACAGCCAACAAGCGACATGATGAAGTTAGCTGATAACTATTTGTTGCCATGGTAACGTTGTTATTGTCTGACAAATGTTAAACAATGTTATATACTTTCCTTAAATGATATTCTATAAATATATGATTGTAATATGCTTAATATGCCTTATATAATTATTTGCCTTATATAACTGCCTCGGTGGTGTAGTGGCTAGCATGTACGGCTGCACACCCGGAGGTCCTGGGTTCGAGTCCCGGGTCGGGCCCAGTTTAGTTATTGAGTCTTTCTGTATAGTAAGTCTCAGTAACAGCCCGGAGTTGGGAAGTTGGCGGTGTTTCACCCCCGTGCCTCGGAGAGCACGTAAAGCCGTCGGTCCTGCGCCTTAACTCTCACCGGTCGTGTCGAGTGGTCGTCCCACCGGAGTATGAGAGTGATAGGAATAGAGAGTGCACTTGTGTCTGCGCGTACTCTTGAGCACTATAATATCTCCTGCGCAGTTGGCTCATCTCAATGAGATTGGCCGACGTAGCCGGAATCGGCTAGGAGAACATCATATAATTATTTTATTAATTCAAAATTACTTTTAATAACAGAGTTGTGACATACGGGATGAAATCTTTTGCTGTTTTTGTTCTGTTACGCCAAAAAAGTATAACTTCTTACGTGCGTACATAAAATAACTTCAGTACACAAAATCATAAGACATTTTTATTAGCATAAAGATATGAATGAATGACATACATAAGAATCGAACATAAGAATATTTTTTAAAATTACAAAAGAATGTACATGTAAAGAGTATTTATAACATTCCTCCGGGGCTACTTTTTTTTAACATCCTTCCTTAATCACATTTCTTCAATCAACCTTCGTGGCGGTTTTATAGTACGTTTACTACGTCGTTGTATCGCTTTATATTCTCTATCCTTATTCGATTCATTGGTTAGCCTGTCTTGTTCGATTGTTTCTCCTATTAGGCTTCCGGGTCTAGGTGTTGATTGTATCGTTATCGTTTCTGTGGGTGTAATATTAGGAATCGAGGCTTTTATCAGAGTCACTGGTTCCGTAGATTTTTCAGATGAATTTGGTTGTTTTCTGTCTGGTGCTTTGTGTTCAAACCATGTTGAGCTGATTGGTGTATGTTCAGCTTTTGTATCATTTTCTCTATCCATGGCTCTTGGCCTAATATGATCTGCATGCATTCGCCTTTCTGTTCCATCGGGTGTATTGACTTTATATGAGTATTTATGTGTTCTCTGCTTAATAACACCCGGCTTCCACTGTTTCATCACTTTATCTCGAATATAAACGTTATCTCCGGGTCTAAAAGCTTTTATATTTTCGTTCAGAATGTCTGCTTGTAATTGCTTAAATCTCATTTGATGCTTTAGATTCGGGCGGGCATTGTCTAACTCACATGTAAGTCTGCGTCCAAACATCATTTGAGCTGGTGATTTTCCTGTCGTCGTGTGAGGTGTATTGCGATACGTAAATAGGAACTTTCTTAGGCGATTTCTTTGGCAGTCATTGTCACCTTTACTTGCCGCCATTCGAGTTTTAAAAGTTCGAACTAGCCGTTCTGCCAATCCATTTGTTCGTGGATGGTAAGGTGACGATTTGATATGTACAATGTTCTTAAGCTTGCAATATGTTTGAAACTGCGATGATGTGAATTGTGGTCCATTATCAGAAACTATAATTTGTGGTAATCCGAATGTAGTAAAAATATCGTCTAGTTTATTGCAAAGTTTATCTGTAGAAATTTTGTCCATTGGAACAATTTCTATCCATTTCGATAGAGCATCCGCCAATACTAGCCAATACTTTCCCTCAAACAGTCCTGCAAAGTCAATGTGTATTCTCTCCCATACATTGTCTGGGATTGACCATGAAAATATAGGAAGTTCTGTGTTATTTGGTCGATTCTCTTGACACATATGACATTTTTTAACGTAAACATCAATATCTTCTTCGATTGTTGGCCACCATACATAAAATCGTGCTAAAGCTCTCATTGCCGAAATACCTGGATGACCTCTGTGTAAATATTTTAACGTGGGCAGGCGCAATGTGCACGGCATCACAATTCTACCCTGCCACATAACTAAATTGTTTTCTATTGCATGTTCTTCACGTTTGCGTAAATAAGGTTGTAGTTCTGCTTTCTTTACTAAATTTATCCATCCTGTTTTAATGAATTGCATTACTTGTTTAAGGCTATTATCTTTCGCGGTTTCTTCCTTAATATGTTGTTGAGTTAGTGATAAATCATTTATTTTGTCGTATTGTGTAATTTCGTCAATTTTATGAATTCTTAATTCAGCTCTTGTAGGTTCCTCTTTAGGATTTGGCATACGTGATAAATAATCAGCGACTGTATTATTCTCGCCCTTTCTATATAAAATTTCATAATCATAGCTGCCTATTAATAAAGCCCATCTCACGAGTCTGTTGTTTACTATTTTTGGTAAGTTACGTTGGTGTCCTAGAATGTGTATTAAAGGTTTGTGATCAGTTACCAAAGTAAATTTAGTTCCTCTTAAATATTGGTCAAATTTTTTAATGCCATAAAATATGGCAAGTGTTTCCCGATCTATTACTGAATATCTGGATTCTGCTAATTTAAGTTTTCTTGATGCATATGCTATAGGTTGTTCAAGTTTGTTTGCTTTATGAAATAATACGGCGCCTATGCCTTTCTCTGAAGCATCGCATGCTAAATATAGAGGGCGTGTCTTATCGAAAGCTATTAATGATTTGGACGTTGTTATACTGTGTTTAATTTCATCAAAAATTTCATTTTCATAAGATCTCCATTGCCATTTGCTTTTACTTCCAGTTAACTTATGGAGATCTGCACAAATGCTATGTAAATTTGGAATAAATCTCTCATAGAAATTAACTAAACCTAGAAAAAATCTTAATTCTTTTATATTAGTGGGCGGTGGCGCATTAAGGATAGCTTCAATTTTTGATTTTGTTGGCCGCACACCAAATCTATCAATTGTATGTCCTAAGTATTCTATTTCTGGTTGTAAAAATGAACATTTTTTTAAGTTTACTTTGAGACCTGCCTTCTCCAATCGAGTAAATACTGTGGAAAGTGCTTTTAAGTGTTCGCTGTCATTTCTTCCAGTCACAGTTATGTCATCAAAATAAACAGCTACATTTGGTATATCTTCTAAAAGTTTGTCTAAATAATGTTGAAAAATAGATGGCGCAGTTGCGATACCAAATGGCATTCTGTTGTATTGAAAATAACCTTTGTGGGTCGAAATTGTTAGATATTTTTTTGATGCTTCGGCTATTTCAAATTGTCGGTATGCGTCTTTTAAATCAATTTTTGAATATTTCTCTCCATTTGATAGTCGTTGACGTAAGTGGTCGAAAAGAGGAACGGGGTGTGCATGTTTTATAAGTGCTGAGTTAATTGTTATACGGTAATCACCACATATTCTTATTTGACCATTGGATTTAAGAACATTAACTGTAGGTGTTGTCCATTCTACTGGAGTTATGTTTGGGTCTATTGGAGTAATAATGCCTTCATTAACCAAACGCTCTAATTCAATATCTACGTTTCTTTTAATACTAAATTTTATAGGACGAGCAGGAAGATGTTTTGGTTCTACTCCTTCTTTAATGTGGATGTTTACTTGATAATTGTTTACTCTTCCTAGTTTACCGTCGAAGAGCCTAGTGTGAGCATCTAATACACGTCTAAGTGACATGTTCGTTGTCATTGCAATATTTTTTATAGAGTAAACGGGTTCCGGAAAAATCATTTCAAAAGATTCACGCCACTGTAGGCTAAAGAGCATTGGCTCAGCATGCTTCATTACAATTACTGGTAATATTAAACTTCGGTTATCAACTTCTATAGTAATATCAGTTAAGCCTTTGGGTTTTAGTTTGAAGTTACAGTAAGCTTTTAATGTGGGTGCTTGCATTAGTGAGGGTGATCCAATTTTTCTCCACATTTTAGTATTAATGATGGAATATACGGAACCTGGATCCCAATCCATTGTACACTTAATACCATTAATTTTAACATCTATTTTTTTACACCTGCTTGTTTTTTTATTTTGTATTTTGTAGGTATTGCTCTCTTCCTCACTTTCTTCGCTACCTGAAAATGATGAAGTTGGTGTTTGTGATAGTCTGTTAGTTATATTTGCTCTTTCTGTAATTCTGTATAAGTGCCTATTTTTCTGAAACTTAGTTGATTTTTTAAACGTTTTATAGTTGTCAAGGTACGCTCCGCCAGTTTTAATGCAGCAACTTTCAAAGTGACCTATAACTCCACATTCTGTACATTCATGATTTCTGGCTTCACATTTGTCAAAGCTGTGTCTATTGTGCTTGCCGCATCTGCGACATTGGTCTAGGCGTAATTTGCGTGTTGGTTTCCGTATGTTTTCTTCTTTTCTGTTTCCAGTTTTGTTAGATATTCTGTTAATGTTACACTCTGTATTAATATCTGCTTCAGCTAGTTCCCTAGACTGAGCAATAGCAAATAACTGTAAAAATGTTACTTCTGTTTTTATTCCGTTTTGAGTATCTATAAGATCAGGCCATTTTTGTCTTAGTTCAATTTGTAATTGTTGATGATTTAGCCCTGTAGCGAAGCGATCTCGTAACTGTCGTTCTAATATAGTGTCATCATAACCGCAATCTTTCCTAAGTTCTTTTAACATATTGGCATAGTGTTCCATGCTTTCACAGGTATCTCTGATACAAGACCAAAATTCAGTCAATGCCTTGTATCTTGTTTTACGTGTTTTATATATATCTAGTAGTTTATTTTTAATATCATCGTAGGTAGAATTTTCGAATGAGGGTATTAGTGCTGTTTTAATTTCGTGATATGTTTCAGGTTTTAAACATGATAATAAAAGGTCTTTCTGTATATTTAAGTAACTTTCACCCCCTATTCTACATTTGGCTTCAAAATATTCGATAAAATTTTCAATTGACGAGTTACTTGACGGTTCAAATTTGTCTCCTCTAAAATTATTAATGATGGCTATTTTATTTATTTCTGTCGGTGTTGAGGTAGTTACCTGCAATTCCGTTCCATTGTTGTTCAATGGTGTGGGTGTGGTAATTCGTGTTTCAACTAAAAATTTCAGGATTTCTGTTATTTGTTGTTGCTGTGATACTTGATTTCGAAGTAATTGGTCTATTCGTTCAGGGTTCATTTTTATTTATTTCCTCGTCGCCAATAAAATAACTTCAGTACACAAAATCATAAGACATTTTTATTAGCATAAAAATATGAATGAATGACATACATAAGAATCGAACATAAGAATATTTTTTTAAATTACAAAAGAATGTACATGTAAAGAGTATTTATAACACGTACGTAGGTACACATACACGTTTTTTTGTACTTTTTTACATATTAATTACAGAGTTTCATACAAACTTTCATCCCTCATTTTACCTCTTAGATATGGGATTGAATTTCGAAAATTGCTAAAACACGTATTTTGTTAGTTTAGTATTAGTATTATTACCAAATTTTAAGTTAATCTAATTATAATTTATACTTTGCCCATTTAATCTTTATTACCCCCTTTTACCCCTTTTCTTCTTTATATTTTTTATCTTTAAGCTGAACACTACTTTCTGTGAATTTTACATTAAGATTGACAGAGTTGCATACAATCTTCAATCCCTTATTTTACCCACTTAGGGGATGAAATGTGAAAAATCCTTTCATTTCAGATGCCTACATTATATAAAAAATACGTCCTCCATGTCCTTCAGCTGGTCTTACTTCCAGGTACAATATATTGCATAGGTAAGTTGCGAATACAATAGAAGCAAAAACCAGAGATATCACAATAAATTGTTTAACCTCAGACTGAATGTAAATAGGCCATACGTATGGCGCCCTCCTTTCGAGAAAAAATTACTTTCAAGCTGATTTGACATTGCCGTTCGCACTGGTAATACATAATTTGATTTTGACGGATACTCCCGAGTTTTTACGCTGTCTACTAGTGTTATCGATTCTCAAATAGTTTCGAAAAAATTATCTCCTGTTTAGATATTTTTACATACAATGTTATTGATATAAGTTTTAATGGAATAGCGATATCAGCAGATGCTAGGAATTGCTTATTGTGATAGTTGAAGATGATTGTATAATTTTATAATAATGTGGTGACTGAAGTTAAAAAAGTCGAGGAACGATGGCGGCAGACACTGCAGTGTCTGCGAGTCCTGAAGAGACTCTGGAGTCACTGTTACGTGAAGCAGAGGCTCTCAAGCAGAAGTTAGAGGAGGAGCGCCAAAAACTCAATGATGTTACTTGTAAGTACCTAATTTTTTTATGTATCTTACAGATAAGGCAGTGGTAGCCCAGTGGTAACGCGCTCGCTTGAGAAACCGAGTGATGCGGGTTCAAATCCCGGGTCTCGCACCTCTGATATTTTCATGTGCGAATCATTTCTAGCATGATTATCACTTGCCTTACGGTGAAGGAAAACATCGTGAGGAAACCTGCATGTCTAAGGGAACTGAGCAAGTTTTCGAAAGATATGTGAAGTCCGCCAACCCGCACTTGGCCAGCGTGGTGGACTATGGCCTGATCCCTCTCATATTGAAAGGAGGCCCGTGCCCAGCAGTGGGACGTTAAAAAAGGGCTGATTACATACATCTTGCAGATTTGTTTATTTTATTGTTTTCGTTTTAGTAGTTTACTACTTAATATTTTTGGTTGAAAAGTCAAACTTGGCCCTTTCATGTTATTTTTTTCATATTACTTTTGAATAGTTAAAAGCAATGTCATTTCCATAATTTTCAATTGTTATAATGATACTTATGTTCCAACAACTTCCTAAATTTGATTTCTCTGACTAGATTAATTATATACATTGTAAGTATCGTAAGGAACATGTATTTCTAGTGTCATGTGTTGCTGAAAGGTTGGAGCCCATTAATTTTCCTACTCTAAAACTGCGTAGAGTGCTCAAGGGTCATCAAGCCAAGGTTCTTTGCTCAGATTGGTCTCCAGATAAACGTCATATTGTTTCTTCTTCTCAGGTTAGTCTTAACAATGTTACATACATTTTTAATGTTCTGCATATCTAATGTAAAAACTGAATACTTAGAATAGACTACTGGTATATTTGTCTTTCTGTATGTCCATCTTTTTGCCACAGTTTTATTTAACTACTAGAAGGTATATTTCAAGCACTCATCATTTACCAGGAAAAATATATTTAAAATTAAGTCTTTTTCACACAAGCCAGACTTGCACTGTACAAATTTTTAAATGTAACTTTTCTTCCAGGATGGGAAATTGATTATTTGGGATGCATTTACCGCCACTAAAGAACTTACAATTTCTATGCCCAGCACCTGGGTCATGGCATGTGCATATGCTCCTTCTGGGAACATGGTTGCTGCTGGGTGAGTGGTATATTTGATTTGATATACCTATAAAACACTGTTCATACACAAATAATTTCTTTTGAAAATTATAATGATCACATTAAATAGTTCATACAATATACAAAATTGAATAACTTATTAATTTTACATACTGTAATATGAAAGTAAATGAAATATTTAATCTGATCATTATAATTTTGAAAAGAAATTATTTGTGTATTATAAATAAACAAATATACCTATTCATGGTAAATAAATTTTATGTAACATTCTAGGGGCTTGGACAACAAGGTGACGGTATTCCCACTGGCGTCTGGTGGCGCAGAGGAGGAGCCGACGGCGCGCAAGCGCACTGTGGCCACGCACACCTCCTACATGTCGGCATGCCTGTTCCCTAACACCGACCGCCAGCTGCTTACGGGTAGCGGCGACGGCACCTGCGCGCTGTGGGACGTGGAGTCTGGCCAGCTGCTGCAGAGCTTCCAAGCGCACGCCGCCGACGTGATGGCGCTCGACCTGGCGCCCAGCGACATGGGCGACACGTTCGTGTCAGGTGGCTGCGACCGCGCCGTGCTCGTGTGGGACATGCGCTCGGGCCACGCCGTGCAGGCCTTCGACACGCACTTGTCCGACGTGAACAGCGTGCGCTTTCATCCGTCGGGCGACTCGCTGGCGTCGGGCTCCGACGACTCGTGCTGCCGCCTGTTCGACCTGCGAGCCGACCGCGAGGTGGCGCGCTACGGCAAGGACAGCCTGCTGTTTGGCGTCAACTCGGTGGAATGGTCGCTGAGCGGGCGTCTGCTGTTCGCGGGCTACAGCGACTACACGGCGTGCGCGTGGGATGCGCTGCGCGCCGCGCGCGTGTGCGTGCTGTGCGGGCACGAGCACCGCGTGGCGCGCGTGCAGCTCGCGCCTGACGGCACGGCGCTGTCCACCGCCTCGTGGGACACCACACTGCGCGTGTGGGCCTGACCGCCGCGCCCTCGCCCCGCGACCCCGACGCCCCCACGTACCTATCGTTTATATTAGCGAGTGTTGAGTAGGCATGTATCACCCGTTGAGTAGAGACGTATCCGTTCATGAGTTTCGACGGCGACAAGTACTGATCCTTTGTTACTGCCACTGAATTGTGACTTGTAATAATAATTATGTGACTCCAAAAACTTATTTAAAAATTGATAATAAAGATGTTAGTGAGAATTAATCTTAACGCGGCGTTACGCTCCAACTCCGCCGTCTTTTACCAATAAACTCAATGTTTATTACTTGTTTCATTTGCAGCGACATAACCTGACGATCTAGGACTCATCCACACTTAAAATAATTTTAAAGTTAAGAGATGTGAATTTTATGACAAAGTCAAATTCAAAAAGTAATTGGAATTAAAATATATATTTTTACTGAACTTCATCAAACTGGTGCAAAAAGAAAAATTATCATTATCATGAGAAAAGTTGGCGAAAGAAACTCAGCGGGATTTGAGTTACTAATTTTTTTTTGTAAACAAAATAAAAATAATTTATTATATAATCATATTTAGGACACAAAAAAATTGTTTTTAATATAAACGTTCCAACTTTTTTCCAGATATTGTATTAAAAGTGTACTTGTGTCTATGTTCATAATTTTCTTGTGACATGGGAGGAGGGACATGACAAAATTATAATGGTTCCATTTTTAAGGAATTATAAAAATGCGTCTCAGAAAAAAAATAGCTTTAGATGAGAATATAAAATATCCTATATATGGGAATATAAATATATAAAATAAAAATTAAGCTGCCAAATTGCTATATAAGATGACTATGAGTAATAAAAGAGTGGCCCGACATTTAACTCACTCAAATCAGACTAATCTATCCCTGTTTTCCAATTAGAACACTAAAGCGCATTGTGCGGCATAATGCAAACTTTGAATGTTCTAACTATAGCAACGCTCCCAACAATCGAGCGTTTTAAAAAGTACTGCTTAGTGCTTTGGTATAATGCGCGCAAGGATACCAATTACCATCTCAGTAGCAGAAAATATTAGAAGTGTTTTTTATTCAAGGCGGCATGGGCATTGATTATAATTTTATTTACATTATCGTTAGTAATATTTGTTTATATTTTATTTATATTATTATATATTTATTTAATAATATTTATTATATAATTTATACACATTTATTATTATTATAATATATTTATTAGTTAGTATTTTTTATTCAACACAGTGAACCTAGTGCACTTAAAAACTAATTCACGTTCCAATTAAGAATTAGCACATTTATTCCGCATTGTGCGCCAAAGTGCGACATTATCTCTGTAATTGGAAAACAGGGTATATATTTTTATATATAGTCTGTGATGTCAATCTTAGGTTTGACAGTGACTGTGGCAAGATCCAGAATACCTACTGCTACTGCGCCATTTTGCCCACCATTGTCTTCTGGTGCCTGGTGGCCTCTATTATAAAATTCAGTATTCAGTTTAGTTGCCCCGCCTTAGGACCGCGTTCGCTTAAAGTCGGACTCTCGTTTTTACTTCTTCATAATCTGCTCGTCGCAACGATGACGGGACGGACTGCTTTGTGTTTGCCACTGGCGCTTCTATTTTTAGCAAGTGTAATTCCATCAAAGGCACAAAGTAAGTAATTTTGATTTCATTGTATCTTTTGTTTAAAACTCGGTTGAAAAGAATGTTTACTGTTTATTTATGATCGTGGAAGTGCTCCTGCATGCGTCAGTATTTTGTAGGTCAATGCAAAATGTCCTAGTTGAGGGTGTTGAGCTGCTGGGTGATGTCATGGTAGTGTCGCTTCTCTCATAACTATAAATCGCACCCGAGGCCATGCAGTAGAGTATCATTTTTACCTCATTAGAATATTAAAAATAGTTTTGACTATTACAATATCACTAATTGAATTATGAAATAATTGAAGCTAGAAATTCTCTACATTTGATTAGCAACTCTATATTATCAATGATAATTCTATTTTTGATTGAAATGAGATTGTCTCATAATTAGGAATAATTTATGTCAACTATTACAAATATGTACAACTAAATTATTTAAAGTAGAAGAGACTAAGTAAACTGTAAAAATGTTTTTTAACATTGTCAAATGTTATTCAACCTTGTTTTGGTATAAAACCTAGAAAGTTGTATTTTGTGTAACCATGATCATTGTTTATTATTTTAATTTTGTTTCCTTTCTTTTAAATAATGTTACTTTAAGAATTGTATTTTAACATTATGTTTTTCAAAACCATTCCAATTTATTCTCCACCCTTAGGGTACTGCATATTATGTAACTAGGGTAGTTGTTGTTATTACACTGTTAGAAAATGAATTACTGCAAGAGATAGACAGCTTATTTTATTATACTTATAAAGGAGTATGATTACAGAGCTTAAATTATAATACACTAAAAGGTACCAAACAATTTACATGAAGAGGTTTTTCTTTTCAGTGATTATCTAAAAATAATGTATTATAAAAGTTAAGCATGCGCCAGTTATCAGGCTGGTGTTGAGATAGTCTTATCTTGTATATCAGTCTTTACAAATACACAGCTAGCTTTATTTGTTAGGTTTGCTATTACATTATGACTGCATGGAGTATTTACATTGGAGGGTTTTTACTTTGTTGTTTTTGTGAGATAATTATTCTCACTGTTTTTATAACTACTGTGAGTTAAAAAAATTTTGCTCTGAATATAATTTAACAACAGGAATTATGAATTTATTTAATTGGTTCCTCTAAGTTTATTGCATATTTTTTTTAGTTCAAGTTATTAGGTCTTATGTTTTATCAATCAATGATTTATTAGAATATGTATACATGGTTACTTATTTAAAGTAAAATTAATTTTTAATAATAATAAGTTTAATCAAATATTTAAAAAAATTATTGATCACTATTGTATTGTACTTAATTAATGTTAATGGAAATAGGACAAGGCATTATTAAATGACTTGAAACAGTTTGATGAATTAATTGCTCATTGTCAGTAGTGGACCAATGAGAGGAAAGTCTTACGGTGCTGTGTGTGTTTAGTATAAGTAAAAAAATTACAATCGAGACTTTTTCCCAAGAAACCATAGAATCTGTCTTTCCTAAAGATATATGAGCATACCATGGAAAGGTCGCATTTGCGGAGTGTTAGTATCGAGGAGACTGATGCGCAGAGACGGAGGGCGAGGAGAGTCGAGTGACGGTGGCGGCGGGCGCGCCGCTGACGGTGGAGTGCCGGCTGCGGCCCGAGCAGCCCGCGGAGTGGCGGCGCGACGGCCAGGCGCCGCCGCCCGACCTGCTGGCGGGCGAAGAGGCTGGGCCCGACGCGCGCCTGGCCGCCCGCCTGCGCGCACCCGCCGCCCGCGCGCACCACGCCGGCCTCTACACCTGCAGCCGCGAGCGCGACCACCGCGTGCGCGTCGTCGTGCTGCCGCCCGCCCCCGCGCCCGCGCCCGCCGGTACCCGCCCGCAGCATGCCCGCCGCCGCCCGCAGCTAGCCTCGTATACTCACTCTCGCGCCCGGTAGTCCGGCCTCTCATGTAGCGATGCCAGTCGGTGGTCTCTCTGTAGAAGTACTGCCCGGTAGAGCCTGTGTTATCTTTATTTTCTGTTACTTTATCGTCGTATTTAGATGTAGCGCTTTGTTGTTAGGTGGTCTATGTTGACGTTCGTAGTTTTGCCTTGAGAAATCATTATATTAATTTCGAAGTATGCACTCGTTCTGTAGCGACGCGCGTCTGCGGCGCTGTGAGTTTCAGCGTGGTTATGCAATTAACCATCGCAATCGTCACACTGAAATTCTCAGAATTATACATTTTCTAACTCTAATGTAATCTTCTAATTTGGCTTATATTTATATATTAATATTAAATTGTTCATGATAAAAACAGTAAAGGGTCTTGACTAGTAAGTAAGTGATTGATCGTGGATAGTTTACTTGCTAACTCTACGATTGGTGACGAGCGAAGAAAACGAGGACGATCGATAAGCTCAGAAAGCCCGAAATAGTTGACATTAGCCGTCCACTCTCTAAAGCACCGTCCTTGCGATCACAAGGAGTGTTTGCTATTATATCTTTACTAGCATTGCCCGCGTCTCCGCCCGCGTTCAGATGACCAAGAACCAAATTCTTAGGTATTACATATTACTCGTAGTATTATCTTATAATACAGTTTTTATATTTTTTCTCAGAAATTAGATATTTTCCCGAGGAAAAAGTATCCTATATGTTGACCTGGATAACCAGCTATCATCATACCAAATTTCATCAAAATCTGTCCAGTGGTTTTTTCGTGATGCGGTAACAGACAGACAGACAAAAATTCTAAAAACAATAGATTTGGTCTCTGTATCGATAATAATGTCTATTACATTTAGATTTTCCAAAAATTTTTTAATGTACAGGTTCGACTTAGTTACAATTTTATTATATGTATAGACAACTGTTTGCGATCGATCACTTGGCAACTAGCTGTCACGTCGTCCTCGTTTGAGTAAAAGACTCATTTACTATAACGCACAATCATTATATTATCTACAATATGTATAATCGATGAAATTGAAAAGATTAGTTACTTTTATTTGCGTTGTATCTTTGTCGGTAGGTACATTATTATAATCTTACAGAATAGGATTCTCTTTCAGCCGAAGTCTCATGTAAAAAATATAGGTCCTGAATAAATGTGTACACTTCATGCTACCAAATACATTATATTTTTAATACAACATTATAATTATATAAGTAAATTAAATTAAAATATTGTACCATAATTATGTTATATTTGTGATTGCCCTTGATGAAATACTACTTTTATGAGAGAAACTGGTTGTCACATTCTTGCTACAATTGCGTTTACGTCAGCCACTTATAATAATTATAATTAGATAGTAATATCAACATCCTTCATCGCATTCGGTTAGCTAGTTAGTCCCAGACTCCCAGCTAAGTGTTTGGTCCCTCAACAGTCAACACATACTGATACTACCACCACTTTTCTCGTGTTATCGCCAATGCCAATAGCGAACGCTTTTCTTGTGTATGACAAAAATAAACACCTCTCCGATTTTATTTATTTATTAAAAACCTTCATCATTTAATTATTAACATGCACGTTAACTTTATTAACCAGTTGTGCTCGTTTTTCTATGTATATTTATTATTAAAATAAGGAAATATGTTCGCTTTGACGGCCTCTCGTCGAAATAATTACATAAAGTGGGACATCTACGTAATATTCATCATCTAATTAGTGATCCCTAATTTATCTGTTAGCGTTAGAGAGTTCACTTCCAACATCCGACGCACGTAAAGCGATAGTTGGCCGTTTTCATCATAAGTGATCACAGGTTACATGTCTATTATAGCAATTAGTTGAAAAAGCTGTACTGCATACATAAATATTATTATAATGTACATAACATAGTAGCGAGTGGTAGATAGTGGAGACGCGATGTGGCACGGTGAGTGACGGACGGTCGCGTGTTGCAGGCGAGGCACCTGCGGCGGCGCCCGAGGCGGCGGCGGCGCCCGCGCTCGACGCCGCCGACACGCTCTACTACGACGTACGCGGCAACCTGTCGCTGCTCTGCCGGCTGCCCAACGACGACAACCTCGGCTATGTCTGGTAAGTTCATGCTGCCTCATCAGGCTCACGTATCTCATATGTATTTGCAAACTCTGCATTGATCTCACACCGACTTGGAAAAATAAGGCTGGAATTAAGTCATGTAATTTAAGATCTAATTAAAAATATTTGTTTACATTATAGTATTTTATCTTCCAAGAATGACGCACTATGTAAAATTTTATCTATACTAATATTATAAAGAGGTAAACTTTGTGAGTTTGTTAAGGTTTAGGGGGTAATCTCTGGATCTATTGAACCGATTTAGCTGAAATTTGGTAAGATAGTTTGAGACTGGGAAGTGCATAGGATACTTTTTATGCCGGAAATCATCCCTTAAGGGGGTGAAAATGGGAATGGAACCCACTTGTATTTGGACTTTTATAACCTTATTTTAAATCTAAGACGATCGCTTAAGACCTGAGAGCTTTCGGCAACTTACTGTTTATTTCTTATGAAATGAGCAATTATATTATCTCTTGCTTGTATTGGATACGAAATTCATTTTTATTTTGATAGATTTCGGGAAATATTACGACTTTAATAATAGTCAAATTGTTTAACGAGGGTTAGAAAATCTGCTGTGTCATATGAAAATCATAGTTTTATCGCATAAATGTCTAAACGTTTACGATATTTAGATTACTTGCACGACAGGACAGGACGTACGGATAGAAGCTAGTCTTTGCTGCGGTAAAAAGATATTCTAGGTGATTAGGCATATATATATGCATTGCATTGGTGTGTAATTTGTATATTTTGCGTAAACAGCTTGGCCTTAAAGAAAAAGATTAACGGAGAGTGGAAAAAGCTATTTACAGTGCCGACCAATGTTTAGGACATAGTGTGGTATTGACAAAAACTTCCCAGTCTTTTGTCACAGGCATGGTAATGATTACGTCGTCAACGAATCAAAACTGATGGTCATATCGCCCCTGGAGCAGCCCCCGGAGCAGACGACGTCTCGGCACGATTATTCGTACTAGTCGGATATACACGGAATCCCAACTAATTATTACACAAAGATTCTTTCATATTCTGGTGTACGACAAATAATAAACTTGCACTAGCGAAATGCAAAACTTAATATCTGGTGGGGTTCAGACCGCCGTACTAATTAGAATGGCCCACCGTGTCACACCGTCGATATGTTTAATTTTTGTTCATTTTATTATTGATCCTAATTGTTATTGTAATGTATAGAGTAATCCCTCGCATCAACAACCGCGCCGAGACTAAATCCTTGCTATCATTCTCGTATTTGTTTTTTCTCAGTTATAAGACTTAGTTATCATCTCGTCGTTTTTAATTATTATGTTTAACATTAATAATAAGATAACTGGCGACGCGTTTATGACTGTTTCCGCATGTGTAATTGCTTGACGTCAGCACGGCGGCGCGCGGCGGTCGCGGGGCGCACTATCAACAGATATATTTTGTATCTTATTACTGTTCCTCTTTAGTTTATCATTTAATATTTCTCCGAATTTTATGTAAATTTAGTATGTACTAGATATCATCTTATGATGCTATCTAGTGCCTTTTATCAAATAGGACGAGCTTAAATGATGTCGACTGCGCGAGACAGTAGCGGCCCGGAGATAACTATGCATTCATTGATTAGAAAATGTAAATACCCCAACTTCATAGTATTTTTAACATCCTTTTATTAGTTCAGGTGTACCTACAGGTGTAACAGAATCTTTGAACGTAATTTTCACCCACTTCAAAACTTCAGATTGAACTGAACTGACCGATGACTATACCGACCGTATGTAAAATTAAAAACTTATGCCAAATTTACCGACTCTCTCTCTCTCTTAACATTTATAAGAAGTATTATAATTATTAATAAAAAAAACTCACACGTGTGTCCGCCGTCTGTTTGCCTGTTATATCCTATTTTCACGCAATGAACTGCATAGAATATTTTTTTTACTCGATACATATTATTATACATTTAAAACATGTGAAATTATAAAAATGAATTTTAAAATTAAACTGTAAAATTGCAAGCATCTAACATACGAACTTACTTCATTACAGGAAGAAAAATGGCAGTGATATCGAGCAAGTGTCGGACCTGAAGGGACGCTACGTGATGGAGAAGGGGGGCGCGCTGTTCTTCGTGAAGCACTCTGTGGAGGACGACTTCGGCAACTACTCGTGCGCGGTGGGCGCGGGCGAGCAGCGCTGGGAGGTACGCGGCCGCCCCTACCTCAAGCTGCCCGCCAACTCCAACGTGGTGGAGGGGCAGAAGCTGAAGCTGGTGTGCAAGGTGGTGGGCAAGCCCTACCCCGAGGTGTCGTGGGGCTACACCAACAGCAGCGAGCCCGACGCCAACTTCACGGACGTGGCGGAGGCGCTGGGCGGGCGCGCGGCGCTGGCGGCCAGCGAGCAGGGAGTGCCGCGCGGCGCACTCGTGCTGGAGGCGGCGGCGCGCGCGGACGCGGGCCGCTTCCGCTGCGCCGCGCCCGGCGTGCCGGTGCCCGCCGGCGCCGCGCCCGCCGTCACCGTGCTGCGCGTCAAGGACATGTACGCCGCGCTCTGGCCCTTCCTCGGCATCTGCGCCGAGGTGTTCGTGCTCTGCGCCATCATCCTCGTCTACGAGAAGCGCCGCACCAAGCCCGAGCTCGACGACTCCGACACCGACAACCACGACCAGAAGAAGTCGTAGGCGTTTGTGAGGAGTTTACCAAAAAGTTATTTGTTATTTAGTTAAGAGAATCGCTCGAAATTTTAGTACACTCGTTCGGACGGAGGCGGCGCCCGCCTCCGCTCCCTTTTTTTATTGGCTCGTCGATAACTTTGTATCTATTTCGTTTAATGAGAATTTATTTGTATTATATATTGGTATTGTTTCTTTCTACTCGCTATACGATTAAATGCTTTTATTATATTTTGCTGTTACCGCTTAACATGGTCTTATTAGAGTACTTAAGTGTTATTATCGAATTAATATAATTTATCGTCTGTTTGCGCGGTACTATTATTATTATTATATTAATACAACTAGCGAGGCCATATACAAATTGATTACTAATATATAATTGCGAACCTGTACATAGAGTGTATCGAGATGTAGCGGCGTGCTGCGTGCGACGTGATATCACGTGGATTGTACCTACATAATAAATTATTCCGTTTAATCTTGTTTCTTTATTTCTCCCTCTTAAGTACCTTATCTTTTTCAAGACAACCGACGCGGTAGAGTCGTTAAATACATGTATAATTCTGCATATAAAAATACCATTCATATTATCTATACTATAATAAAACAGTAGAGGTCGAATGTCTGTACATAGCAAAAAAATGCTAAAAACCGAGTCAGGAGGATGTAATAAAACAAAACAAATCCAGATTTTTTTCAAATTTTTGTTTCTCTGTTTGTACGGGCTAATCTCCGAATCTATTGGACCGATTTAAATGAAATTTTGCATGGTGGTACCTTATATCCCCGGGCAACATCTTAGATACTTTTTATCCCGGAAAATGAAATAGTTCCCGAGGGATAGTTAAAAAAATATAATAACTTATACAGCTTAGTACACAAAAACTACTGACTCGATTTTAATAAAACTTTACAATAATATACACTCGCGTGCAACTGAATCGACTCGAGCCGTATATTGGTATAAAAGTTCGATTTTTAGGAAAATGGTTTATTCGATTTTCTTGTTTTTTTTTGTTTGAAAGCCTAATCTTTTCTTCTCTAATGAGAAAAATCGGTTGAGTATTTATTGATAAAATTTAATTTGATAATAATGCATAAAAAATGAAAACAACATAATGAATAAAAAAAATATTTTTGATAAAAGTAAAGAAAATTAAAATTTTCAATACTTTGTTTTGCCTCCCCTAGCTTTTATAACGGCCTGCATGCGATTTTTCATTGATTGTATCAATTTTTTGATAAAATCTTGAGGTATCATATTCCATTCTTCCTCTAGCGCAGTTTTGAGCTCGACGATGCTTGATGGGGCCGTATCTCTAGCTCGCACCCTCCGTTTGAGCTCGTCCTATAAATGCTCAATGCAATTCAGATCAGGACTGAGGGCTGGCCACATCATCGTCTCAATTTGCACCTCTTGAAGAAACTGGCGAGTAACACTTACTGTATGGCACCGAGCATTATCATGCATCAATAGAAAATCTTCTCCTATGTACCCTGCATAAGGTACAACATAATCGAGGAGAATGTTTTCCCCGTACTATTGAGCTGTTAGACCACCACTCCGACCACCACCAGGCACGAAAACAAGCTCGGTCTTCCCCCCTGTTGTTCCCCTGGACGCCTGTATACTCGGTCTCTTCTGTCGTTGCCATGGAGACACATTCTGCTCTCGTCATTGAACAGGATGGAGCTCCATTGCTCAATAGTCCAATTGAGGTGTTCACGAGCAAATTGAAGTCGGGCTTGACGGTGAGCTGTGCTCAATTTCGGGCCTCTGGCTGGCCGTTTAGGAGTTAAATTGGCTTTCTTCAGGCGTCTTCTAATTGTCCACTGATTGACAGCCACTCCTCGAACCCTTCTGAGCTCCTGGTGCACATCAACGCCCGTGAGATGACGATTTCTCAACGAAATTGAGACAATGAAGCGGTCGTCCGTCTCAGATGTGCTCCGGTGTCTATTGGTTTGTGGTCTCCGAACGAAGCCACCAGTCTCTTGAAACCTTTTGTATACTTGTGAAACAGCTGATTGGCTCATGTTAAGTTCACGAGCGACTTGCCGTTGATTATGGCCGACCGTAACATATAAATCGGATGTATTTTCAGTTTTTAAAGATTTTGTTGCAAAAAGTGAAGCAAAGTTTAATTGTAAATTAATTAATTTTTATAGTGATAACGGTAGGGAGTATTTATCTACTGAAATGAAAAAAAAATGTATTGGAAAAGGGATTACTTATCATTTAACTGTACCAGGAACCCCACAACAGAATGGTGTTTCAGAAAGAATGGTTAGAACTATAACTGAAAAGGCTCGTACTATATTAAATGGTACTAAATTAGATAAAGTTTTTTGGGGTGATGCAGTTTTAACTGCCGTTTATTTAATTAATATAACACCGACTAAAGCTTTAAAAGAGTCTCAAACACCATTCGAGCCATGACATAATAGGAAACCTAGTATAAAATATTTAAAAGTTTTTGGTTCTACTGTATATGTCCACAATAAAACCAGTACGTCAAAATTTGACGAAAAGTCTTGGAAAGGAGTACTGGTGGGCTATGAACCAAATGTTTATAGAGTGTGCATTGTAGAATGCGAAAAATATGTTATAGTAAGGGATGCTAAATCGCTAAAAATGTTTAATAAACGTATAAAGGACCACTTCCATACGCTTTAAAGAAGATTCTTTATGAAATGTATTGTTATTAGTATGTATATATTAATTATTGTTATCAATATGAACTTTAGTATAATTCTTCCTAAACTTGCCTTTTTATTTTTTATATTTATACAGGTCATTTTTAATTTACTAAAAACCTTTTGGGAATATACTATTTACATCAGAACAACATCAGTAACAAGAAAAAAAAAATTCTTAAATTTTTATTTTCATACACAAATAAAAATATTTTTATTGCACCTTCTAAACGGTAAAGTTCTAGCATCTGGCCAAGTTTAAATGAGTAAGGGCCACTTCCTACACCCCTCCCCCTCCACTTTCTTTGCTAATTGCTGGACTCATGAACGAAGTCTCTAATTCGTCCATGGCTGGACTATTACCGTTTAGAAGGAGCAATAAAAATACTTTCATTTTTGTAAAGTGTAAGAATTTTTTTTTTCTTGTTACAGATGTTGTTGTTCTGATGTAAATAGTATATTCCCAAAAGATTTTCAGTAAATTAAAAATAACCCTGTATATGTATAACATAGGTATAGTATTTATATACTCGTATGTAGATGTAGTTATAGTATTTAGGTATTGGTTAATTATATTTTACTTGTATTTTTTGTATATATTATATATTTGTATGATACGTATATGTATAAATATATAATCTTTCTACTGTCTCTTTATTTGTCTTTCGCGCCCCTTCTATCTTAGTACTATTTCCTACACACCTAAAGGTTGCCTGGAAGAAATCGCTCTTTTAGCGATAAGGCCGCCTCTTGTACATTCTTCTTTATTATGTATATTTTCTTATTCTCTTTTTGAGTGTACAATAAAGAGTAATTCAATTCAATACGATGTTATTGTTGATGAGACAACTTTCATGAAAACCAGGCCCGCAAAGTCTTAAAAATGAATGACGCCATATTGGAATGATCAGTAAAAATTAAGAATGAAACAATTTAGTATGACTGTATGAACACGGTAAGCTAAAATAATACGTCTTATCATCGCATTTCTATAAAGAAACGTCTTATCAAAAAAAATACATTTTGCGCTCCAAGCCCGACATTGCTTTTTCATTTTTGTAGGCATTATATTATTTTCAGGAATAGACGTAGTAATAATATGTTAATTATATAATTATTAATTATTTCTATTAATAAGTTAATTCAAAAAATAAATATTTATAAAATGAATGATGGATTATTGGATTTCTAAAAGGTAAGACGTTGGGAAACGTCTTGTATGGACCCTTCGCCACTGCTATATAGATGATATAGCGGGATTGTTTAAGTTTTAACTTGGTGTATTATCAAAATAACAATAACCTGGTTATATTTTATGGTTCATAGTTTATTTATACTAGCTTATTAGATTAAGTCTTAAAAGTATTTAGTAACTCACACACATTTACATTCACTCTTAACTTAATATAAAACAAAAATAACTAAGGTTTCCATAATTTGAGCAGACCATCTTCACTGTAGGTGGCGAGCAAGTTCTGATGCGGGTGATGCGACATCCCAATAACTGATTTCTCATGGATCTGCAAATGAAAAACATATATGAATAAATATATACGTGTGTGTGTGATGTGATCAGAGAATGCAATCTCGATCTCGCGAGATCACGATCATCCGAGATCTCGCCTCAATTTTTCGAGATTGACGAGATTGAGCGACAGTACTCAGCGACGCATGACGCCTGTTCTCTGCGCGCGAGCGAGTCGCTGACTGTCTAAGCACTATTTGTTTTTTAAGAAGCTATTTCCAAAATCATTCCTACTTTAGAAGTGATTTTGGAAATAGCAATTTTTTAAGTTTTTGTTTTCACTATCATTATCTTTGTTAATATAAGTATTTTCTTTATAAGAGATTTTACGGGTCTGAATTTTTATGTCTATTAAGTCTTTATTTTAAAGATTTTTTTTTCAATAATTCATGTTGTATCTTACTCGCATCACAACAGCTACTAAGCATTTTCAATCATCTTTCAGTTATCTAATTAGAACAATACTTTTAAAAATCCATTCGAGATCTTGAAAATGCCGAGATCTCGTCTCGAGATTGCATTCCCTGGATGTGACGAGGGACACTCACGTTGATGGTGCGCTCGAGCTTGCCGCTGGCGGCGCAGAAGGCGTACAGCACGAGGTCCTCGCCAGCGCAGTACACGAGGCGGCCGCGCGCGCCCAGCGCCGCGCACACCAGCGCGCCGCCCTCCTCCTCGCGCCGCCCGCTCGAGAACGAGCGCACGATCTGCCCCTGCATGTTCATGATCACCACGGTGTTGGTGCGGTTGCACACCACGAAGTGGTCGGGGTTCTTGGGCGTGAGCAGCAGCGAGTTGACGGGCGGCTCGCCCGAGCCCAGCGGCTTCAGCGTAGCCGTGCACTCGCCCGAGCGCACCGCCCACACCTTCACCGTGCCGTCCGACGACGCGCTTAGCACGCTGTGCCCGTCCGGCGTGAACACCGCCTCGTTCACGAACGAGCTGTGCCCGCGGAACTCCTTCAGGATCTTACCAGATTTCAACCCGTGAATCCTGCAAAACTAAAGTCATGAATTGTGTCGCCAGAAGCGAAACCAATATCGTCGGGATCGATGCATCGGTTTTACCTTATAGTTCGATCAAAAGAGGCAGACAATATCTGGGTGTTGTCGCGAGTGAACTGCAAGCACGTAACACCCTTGGAGTGAGCGCGCTCCAGCTTGCGTTGCACCTGCCCCGTGGACACCTTCCACACCTGCGGCAGGGGCACACGGTGAGTAGGCGCGGGGGAGCGGAGGGGGAGCGGAGAGGGGAGGGGGGGAGGCGCACCTTGATCTTGCCGTCGTTGGAGCCGGCGGCGAGCGTGTCGCTGTCGCGCGCGAAGGCGAGGCTGAGCACGGCCTCCTCCATGCTCATGTACTCGTCGTGCGCCTGGTAGCGGAGGTCCTTGCGGATCTTGCCCGTCGTGAAGTTCCACACCTCCACCAGCCCGTCCACCGACCCCGTCACCAAGTACTGACCGTCCGGAGAGAACCTACAAGTAACCACAATTCTCATAATAATACATTATTATTTGCTTTTAATCTTTCATATTTACTTACTGAGCATTATTTATTTATTTATTTATTTATTTATTTATTAGCTTTTCAAGGGAAACAAACAGTACAATAAAAAAAATTTACATTCTAAAACATATAAAAGTTATGCTAAAAACCAACCAAGTTTCCACAGATTCACAACACATAAACAAAAGCTTACCACCACGATAAGATGATACATTATTATGTAAAAATTTTGAATTTAAAAAAAAAAAAACTAAATGTTACCACTTAATAAAACATCAAGTAATTATGCAGTTAAAAGTTAGAAGTAACAATATACATACAACCTACAGCAAAACTACCTATTATAAATTAAGATTTACAATATTTTTTTTAAAACTATTATATTTAAGATGAAAGATATCTAATTTACTATATTTTAAATTAAACTTGTTACATGCACGAGATACAAAATTATTTGAAGCATACTTCGTTTTAGCCTTACGTATTGCGAAAAGCGGTTTATTTCGTGCACCTAATCTGTGACACGCAAGATTCACTTTGCTTAAAAGTAGGGGAGAGTCGATTATATTATGTAGTAATTTATACAACAACATTTGATCTCTTATATCACGGCGTTTTTCGAGGGTATTACTGTTTAAGTTTTTAATAATGGAATCTACGGATGAATTATAATGTTTTAAGTGACGCAGAATTTTTTTATTAATTGCTTCAATCATTTTAATATAAACTTTGTATTGAGGATTCCAACATGAAGAACAATACTCAAGAATAGACCGCACCAGAGAGTTAAATAGTAAAATAAAAGTTGTGGACTGTTTAAAATCTTTCGAGATACGCATAACAAAACCTAGCATTTTGTAAGCTCTTTGAGTTATAATACTAATATGTGACCCCAGTACCAGCTTACTATCCAACTGAACACCAAGATCACGCAATTCATTTACTCTTACTAGTAAATTGTCATTAAGCTTATAATTAACGAGGATGGGATTCTTTTTTCTAGTAAATGAGATGACGTTACATTTCCTGATGTTCAGGTAAAGATCATTTGCTTGACAATATGAACTTAGCCTACACAGATCTTCTTGAAGTAGATTGCAGTCCTCTAAAGTTTTAATAGACCTAAAAATTTTCATATCATCTGCGAAAAGGAGAACTTTGGAATTATGGAAGCAAGATATGACATCATTTATAAATAATATAAACAGCAACGGACCAAGATGCGAACCCTGAGGAACACCTGAAGAAACAGGGAGGAATGATGAACAGTATCCTTTTATTGCAACCGCCTGACTGCGATTTCTAAGATAAGAGGATATCCATCGAAGTAAATCACCATGTACACCGATTTGTTCTAGTTTGTGTACCAGAATACCATGTGAAATTTTATCGAAGGCTTTTGTATAATCGGTGTACACTGCATCTACCTGCAGTCCACTATCCATAGCGATATAGAGATGGTCAAGAAACTCGCAAAGATTACTTTCTGTAGATTTACGACCTACAAAACCATGCTGTTCGGGGATTATAATTGGTCTAACTATTTGAGAGAGCGTATCGTAAATAATTTTCTCAAATAATTTAGGAATTGAGCTTAATTTTGAAATAGGACGGTAATTTGAAATGTCATGTTTATTACCACTTTTAAATATGGGAGTTATAAACGATCTTTTCCATTGTAAAGGCATTTCACCCAACTTCATGGAATTTCTGAACAAAATTACTAATGGTTCACCTAATTCATGGTAACATCTCTGTAAAAAACAAGGGTGGAATGCCATCAGGTCCTGGTCCCTTACTGACATCCAAACGTTTTAAATACCCAGAAACTTGAGGGATTGTAAAAGTGATTGAATCGATACTTATCGACTGCGCCGAGGTAGAACTCTGACCGTTATGATTTGGATTATTATTAACATTAAAAGCTGAGCAAAAGTGATTATTAAATAAGTCACAAATTTCCACTGGATCAGAAGTCGTATAATCATCTAGAAGCATCATGTCTGGAAGATCATTACCTTTTCGTTTAGATTTTACGAAAGACCAAAAGAATTTACTATTAATACCAATCCTGTATTCAGCATTATTGATAAATTTATTATAACAATCTTCCTCCATAAGTTTTTGTCTTTCTCTTAATACGGCAAAAGATACGTAATCACTATCTCGTTGATACACCTTCCACTTGCGATGAAATTTTAATTTTTCATTTATAGTTTTAATCAATGCCCTATTATACCATGTCGGGTACTTAGTGTTAAATTTAATAGTTTTAGTGGGTACGTGTTTCTCTATTATATTATTTAAAATTTTATAAAAATTCGATACAGAGACATTAATATTACCGTCACTTAAATTAGATTTCCAGTCTATTTGCGAGAGACTTATATTAATTGCCTCATAATCAGCATCCCTATACAACTTGACTGTATGAGCCCGGGCCCCTAGCAGTTTCTCATGTGATTTTAAAATCGTAAACTCAAATGCTGGATGGTGCGAGTCTTCGGAAACTATTGGAGTAGATACTAAACTGACTTTGCAATTAATATTAGCTATTAAAAGATCCAATATACGATCATTAATATTTTTAAATATATTGTACTGATTAAAATTATTAAAAGAAAGAAAATTTGCTAGTTCATTAACTGTATCTAACGAAAAGTCTCCATATAAGGTCACATCATCATAACTATTATTCGACCAGACTGCGTTAGGTATATTAAAGTCTCCTAGTATAATGAAGTAGTCATCAGGATACGAAAGAACTTCATCAGAGATATTTTCGTAAAAATTTGACAACACATCTTTGTGAATTCGACATTGTGGAAAATAGCAGCAGTATATGTTGCATCGTTTAAGTCGTTCAAAAGAGATAGATACACGAATTACGTCAGCAGCTGAATTTGTTGATGGGATGCACTCAACGTTTGTGACTTTTAGCTCACGTCTCATTGCAATTAGAACCCCTCCACCCATAGTATCACCCCTGACTGTATAGTTACGATCACTTCTGTACACGTAATACCGTGCGTCAAATAATTCTAAGTCGAATATACCCGAATGTAACCAAGTTTCAGTGAAGCATATTATATCATATTCATGACATAAGACCTTTCTAAAAAGCAAGCCAGTCTTAGTACGTAGACCCCGAACGTTTTGGTAATAAATTTTTAAATTAGAACCGAATCGTATAAAACAATGTAAACATATATATGTCATACATATACAGATTGTAAAAAAGTGATTTAACAAAGGTGTTATCAAATGTTGTTGTAAAGGTATAAATTAAATTATATAAAATGGTAAATATCACAGAATGTGTCAAGATCACGTGCACCATAAAAGTAAGTTTGTTATACATTATTACAGAATAGATCACATTTAAAACAAAATAAATAACTACCAAGAGTGATACAAAAAATACATTATAAGCTAAAATATAGTTAAGATAATGATTAATAAAATTATTTAAAATACTAATTCCTATTTTATTTTGAATAAATCCGCCGTATTATTTATGTGTAAAATAGGACTAGATTCAGACTTTCTAACCATAATACTACAGTTTTTAACCCATACAAATCTATAGTTATTATCTTTCGCCTTAATTTTCACCTGGCGTAACAAAGACTTATTTAAACTGGTTAAATGGTCGTTGAAAAATATCAACGATTGACTACTAGGAAAACCAAGATCACACGCTTTTAGGCTTTTAAGTTGCTTTGTTTTGCTCAAAAAGTCGTCTTTATTATATCTCGATAAAAACCGAACAATAATAGGCTTAGGTTTTTTAGAGTCCTTATTAGAGGGTGCAACGCGAGTTATAAAATCTATATCGGATTTGTTACTTATTATACTTTTATTTATTACCAGTAAAGTTATTTATTTATTATAGGCTACCTTGCACATTCGACGTGAGACTTTTGTCCAAACTTAATAATTTTAGAGAGTTGAGTTGGACACTGGTCATCTTCTTCATCCCTGATGGCCGCTTTGCCTCGGAAAAGATCGATTGTAGTTCCTAAATCATATAAAAGAAATTGTGTAAATTTCAACATAATATTACACAACATTTCCATTAATATGAAAAACATTAGTAACAAAAACGGTGGTGACCTGGAGGCAAGAGCCCCTGATGCTGTTGCCACTTGAGAGCCTGACCGAGCAGCGCGAGCAGGCGCGAGGAGGGCACCACGGACACCTCGCCCGCCAGCGCCGCCGCCAGCGCCGCGCGCCGCCACTCCTTGCCGCCGCCCGCCGCGCCGCCCGCGCCGCGCGCGCCGCCGTACGCCTCGCGCGGGTCGAAGTATGACCGCGTCAGCATATTTTCTGTCAAATGACGTTAGCAACTTCATACACTGAATCTAAAGTAGGCTTGACAAAACACATAATCACAGAAAATTTTTGAGTACAAAATTCTAACCGAGATGCATGTATCTATCCGTTTCTTGTTGCTTCATGAGTAAGCATGGCTGTGTCTGCCGCAGTAAGGTACGTGCTGCACCGAGCTCCCTCAATTCTATAAGCTCTAATACCACTTGTTCATATAAATCCATCAATTTTTTATCAGGTAATTTCAATGATGCTGTTGCTTTCAAAACTGTATCCCAATGTCCATTATTGATGTCAGCACAAAATCCATCGACACTGTCCACTGTATTGAGAGAAACTCCAGTTTCTTCCTGAAATATTTAACTGATAATATAATATAGCATATAGGATAGTCTTAAAGTCCATACTAATATTATAAATGTACCATTACATTACCGAAATAAACCGTTCTTTTTTAAACCGGTTCCGAACCTTGGTTTGTATGAAACCTACCTTTTTAGTTTTTTTCTAGTTTTAGAGCCAGCAAAACCGCGGGTTCTGCTAGTACTTTATATAGTATTAATTCTTATATTTTTACTGGTATCCCAAAACAGCTAATACTGTTACTTCAGGAATTTAAAAACATTTTTGTATTTATTCAAGTTTTTCGTTTTTTACTAAAAGAAAATTGTACATTTGACAAAAAACTCAGAGCAAAGCCTAGTAGCCCAGGTACTGTTTAGTTGATGTGCGTTCGCTATGCAGTGTCTAATGTATACTCTATGTGATGACTGTTATTATTATTATATATTTTTATGAATTATTGTCAATAGAATAAAAGTATTAAGATAATTTTGTAAAATAGTTTTTGATTTTTGTTAATAAAAAAATCATCATCAAAAATTTATACCCGAATAATTATTTTCTTTTTACCTCGACTAGAATTTGAAATTAATATTTATATAATAAGGAACTTCGTTCCTATCTCGTGTCCACCATAGCTTGAATTGGGAAAGAATATGAAGATGTTTTATATCATACTATCATAGTGTAATAAAGAATCCCTAAAAATTAATTAAGCAATTGCATGGGTAAAAAATATTATGTTGCTTATTGTGTAAAATAACTTAATAAATAAATGTTTACCTGTAATGTCTGCAATGTTTTCGTGAGGTTAGATTCTTTAAGATATTGTTGGATAAGCCGAATAACGCTGAAAAAAGAATATGTTTTTATCAATTTAATTACTATTCACCAAAAATATTTTTAAAAACTGAATATTTTATTAATATAGTATTTTTAGTCCTTACTCTGCAGACTCTATTTCTATCGACATTGTCTAAATATTATAATTCTCAACGAAACTTATAGTTTAAAGAAATAGTATGGCGTAAATGGAATAATTATACGAATAACTTTCCTGAGAAAGAAAAAATATTTAATTAGATATTATATGATACAAAAACTAAAATACTACAGCCCACAACAAACACACATGACACAACACAACTCAGGTATATATTAGAGCTGTAGCAAACCGTATGTATTCGTTACTGAGTAACGGGTACGCCATCTAGTACCGAGTACCGAAACGTTACTCACGAATGCATTTCGTTACTCGCATTTTCCGTACAAATTTTCGTACTAATGTTTTTATTGATTTTTTATCCAGCAAAATACAACTTTCAGTTAATACTTAATACCATTGATGAGTAAATTAGAGAGTTTATTTATTTATTTCGAGTTGCATGATTTCCAGATCTTAGAAATTTTGTTTAGAAACAATTTTCAATTAGAAACAACCATTACATTGAGAACACATTTTTGGTTTTTTTATTCAACAAAACTTATAATTTTTACTAAATGATTATGTCAAATGAAATCAAAATATACTTTATTCAAATAAACTTTTACAAGCTCTTTTGAATCGTCAATTTTACATTTTAAATTAAAATTAAATGTTAGTCCGTTAGGAACTACCGCCGGCTCGGAATAAAGTTTTCTGCTGAGAAGAACCGGCGAGAAACTCAACAACGGCTCTTTTAAAATAATAATTGTGTACAATATTGTAATACAATAATTATCTATTTATCCCACGTGAGACATGATCATGTGATTATGTGTAATACATACAGATTATGATTTGATAAATCATTCGCGCAATTGATTTTAAATAAAATATGCATTACGACGTCACACTAACGTGATAGATGCCGTTACTTATTCATTTTTAAATTACCTATTTTTATATTTATTATTTAATTTCAAAAATTATTAATAAAAAAATATTGTTAGTAAAGTTTTTAAAAATTATATAGATTTATAAATAATCAAAATTTACGGGTTCTGGATATCATGTAACTCTCCAATTGAAATGGTTTGTTGATCGTGCATTATTCCACAGAAAACAACGCGACGTCAACGATATACGGTAAAACGTATAATTTTACCGTACGCAATACATACGCAACACGACTCGATACGACGCTCTACGAGTATGTTATCGGGTATCAAAAGTAACGAGTAACGATTCAATAGTAACGAGTACTGATGCTATAGTAACGAATGCATACGGGTACGCTATTTGTCGTTACTTTTACACCTTGAGTATATATCTATACTCTTTGACACAACTTCAAAAGTCTAATTTACTATGAGTTTTGACTTTTGACCATGGATGACAAATAAAAGTTTTGACTCCGCTAGGACTTAGGCATACTCTTTGACTTAGGCCTAGGGGCTAGGAGTAAAGATGTGTCAACTCGATTTACTAACTCGAGTTGGACTTAACTCGAACTAATTCGAGTTAAATTCTCTCTGTCTCGAATTTCGATTGGCATTTGGCGTAGTAAATGAACGAATCAAGCGAGTACGCGATTGACGCGCTCTCAATCTTACGCAAGCGCGGCGATTCGTTCGATGTGTGCACGCTATGTACAGTCGTTAGCACTTCAGACACATACATTTATGTTGCAAAATCGCTCCTATTACAACCGAATAAGATGCCATAGTGTTTAACCTAAATCGCTGTCGTCCGTACTCCCGCCATAGCGTATCAACCGATGACAGCGTTATAATATCCATACTTAATATTATAAATGTGAAAGTGTGTTTGTTTGTTTGTCCTTCTTTCACGTCGAAACGGAGTGACGGATTGGGGTAATTTTTTTGGGTGAAGATAGTTGGAGGGCTGGAGGTAGTGATATAGGCTACTTTTTACCGCGGAAGATTATCTCATTCCCACGGAAAAACACATTATACTACAACCCAAAAAAATATTTATGATCAGAATTACTTGAAACTTGGTATTAACGCACTTCAATACAATTAAATAAATACATATTTTAGCATTCTTCGAAATTAATCCCGTAAGGGGGTAAAATAGGGGATAAAAGTTTGTATGAAACCTACCTTTTTAAAGTGTTCGGGTTCTGCTAGTAATAATTTAAATAAATATAAAAAACACATAAATAATTATAACTGTCCCAAGAAATATTTATTACGAATCCGTACCATTTTTTTAATATTGTTGCGAAGCCTAGTCATTAAATTGGCACAAACAAAACAAATCATTCACTTCATTATTGATCCAGTTAACTCGAGTTCAATTCGAGTTACGTAAATTTTAACTCGAGTTAAATCGAGTCATATTTTTTCCGAGCTGGACATTACTAGCTAGGAGTATTAAGTTCTGTGGTTTTGACGTATAAATTATTAAATTCGGTATTATACTCATGGATGACAAATAAACACAAATTATAAATAAATATTTAGAAGATAATCTAATTCTAAGATTTATTATTATTATTATATTCTAGCAAAACCCGCGGCTACGCCCGCGTTCAATTTACAAAAAAAACTCTTTAGCTTTATGTTATACAGTAGGTATGTATGTATTTACATAATATTGTTCATATAAAATACTGAAATCGCGATTAAAAAATGAGGGGTGTGGGTAGGAGATGAAATTTACTTTACGACCTCAGACCAATAAAAAAGTATAGACGGAGCCGTTGTAAACAAACGCGACGAAATAAGTGAGGCAAAGTTTTGGCTTTGTGTGCGTAACTCGGTGTAAGATCATAGATTATAGTTTATACACTTATATACTGTGTAAGAAGCGTAGATTTGAGCATGTGTGCTAGAGAAAAATGTTGCAAGCGTTGTGCTTACGACTCCCAAGTGCGAGAGATATACTTTAGTGAAGTTTTATTATAGGTCGTATTATTTTTTATTTGCTTTGGTTACATGAAATGAAAGGTAAATTAGTTTAATGAGTTATTTATTCTTATATAAAAATAATTAATAATTTAACAATAAGACCACACAAAACTCACATATATTAGAATAATTATAACTAATTTGACGCGTTTTTTTTAAGGCCTTTAACCTTCTGATTAAGTGTTTTGATTTTGCGTGCATGAATTTCATAACGTAATTTATACTTTCTAGCTTGTTGTCTGAGTTTATTTCTTTTGGGAGTGTCAGATATTTATATTCTCGCCCAGCGACGAGTTAACCGGCGTTAAAGTTACTCTCTATTAAAAAATACAAAATTATTATTTAGTGTTAATATTCATAACAATAAAGTTAAAAAATCATATTGCTATGCTAGACTATCAGTGCAAATGTTATCTTAACATATGAACTTCTCCTTCATAAATAAAATAGTGTACATTTATATGTATAAAACAGTTAGAACAAAATGCAATAATTGGTGAAGTGAAAGAGACTTAAATAACTGCAGAGTTTTTCTATCATGTTAAAGACGTTATTAAGTTGTAAATAACTAGTGCATATTAACAGTTAAACAGTGTTTATTGCATAAATCTTGGTTCGGTGTGTAAATTAGAGGTCAACATAAAATTACCTTGATACTAATACCCTCTCAATAAAATGCAATTGTAACTCTCATATAGTGATCACAACATTTCATTAGTCACATCATAGAACTCGTAGCTCATCCGTAAAAGGTGTGCCTTAAGCGTATACAATATTGCGAAACGAGGTTCAAATCTCAGCAAAAAATTTTTTTAATATTATAATTAAATGTAAATAACAATGTTTAGCTGTGCTGAATGAAAAAAAAGTTTACCTAAAAAGGAATTCATTTCTTGCTCAAAATGCAAGTTAAAATATGACTTGCAATGCGCTAACCTTTCTTCGAAAGAATTCAAACAACTAGAACCACAATTTAAAAATGTTTGGAAATGCCCCGAATGTCGTAGTAAGCAACCAAAAATAGACAATAGGAATACTCCTGTTCGGTCTTCTACTATAAATGCTAGTTGCAGTAAACTGTCATGTAATGATTCAATGGAACTGTCTAACATTACCTTGCGAAAGAAGCATAGTAAATCTTCTCCCGATGCTGCAAGTAATGAATATATTACAGTAGAAACATTGCGTGATATGCTAAAGCAAGAACTAGCTAATACAATTAAAACTCTAGTTTCTACCCAGCTTAATAATATTAATGACCAGATTGCCGGTTTCTGTGATTCACTGTCATTTATAAACGTACAATACGAAGAACTAAAAAACTTACTGCAAGAAAAAACCACTATTATTGATCAGTTAAAAAAAGACAATGATATTTTAAAATCTACTGTCAAGGATCTTAGTAACAGACTAAACACTATGGAAATGCATATGAGGGAAAATAATGTAGAAATAAATGGGATACCTGAACATAAATCTGAAAACTTAATCAGCACAGTAGTCCAACTAGCCCAAACTGTCAAGAGCCCGCTTAACTCTGAAGACATACAACAAGTGACCAGAGTTGCAAAAATAAATAGCAGTAGCGACAGGCCGCGCTCAGTTATTGTCAAACTTCGAAGTCCAAGGCATAGAGATACTCTTCTATCAGCAGTGGACCAATTTAATAAAAATAATACTCAAGACAAGTTAAGTTCTCAACATCTGGGTATTGGAGGTGTGCGCAGAGCAGTGTACGTCTCGGAGCACTTAACACCACTCATGAAATCGCTTCACGCAGCAACACGAACAAAGGCCAAGGAACTGAACTACCGCTACGTTTGGGTCCGCAACGGAAGAATTTATATCCGAAAGGATGAGTTTAGTCAAGCCAAAATTATAAAAAGTTTGGAACACCTGAATACAATCCAATAACAAGCGTTGCAGCTTGAACAAGAATGCTGTGGCTTTTGTAATATATTCCCTAATGCTTGAAATCTATTATCAGAACGTCAGAGGCTTAAGAACTAAAACCAATGATGTCTTCAAGAATATTGCTAATTCAAATTACAAAGTTATTGTATTCACGGAAACATGGCTAAACGATAACATCGAAAACAATGAATGGATTGATTCCCGTTACGTCGTCTACAGGAAGGATCGAATTCATTCTTCTTCATCAAAAAAAGATGGTGGAGGGGTAGCTATTGCAGTTGCAAAAGAAATTCCATCTTTTAGAGCTTCATATTTGGATAATGACCATGAAATCATATGGGTTATAATTGAAACGAAAATAAATAAAAATATAAGGAAACTTGCGGTATGTGCCGCCTATTTACCACCACCAGTTAAATTAGAAAACCTCAATAATATTCTTGAAAATATAGACTCGGCGTCAAATAAAGTGGATGATATAATAGTGCTTGGTGACTTTAATATGAGTTTTATAAGCTGGAGCTCTGATGCTCGGGGACATGCTAGTGCATCAAGTTTTAGTACACCACTAGGTTTTTCATTAATTGATTTTATGGCCTTAAATAATTTGCATCAATACAATAGTATCGGTAATCTTGATGGTAAGGTGTTAGATCTAGTAATTAGTAACGTACCCAATATATCGGTTTCGCGTCCCCTTGAGTTGTTAAGTAAGTTAGATTCCTTTCACCCTAATCTTTTGATAACAATTCCCTACACAGTTAAATCTTCCCTTCGTCCTTTAAGAAAAATTCAATATAATTACCATAAAGCTGATTATACTTCGATCATAGCGGAGCTAAAGAATATAGACTGGTCTCTACAGTGTGCTGAGTGTTCTAATGTCAACGATATGGTAAATAAATTCTATGAAGTGTTAATGGATATCATACAAAAATTTGTTCCTAACCGTAGAACCCAAAACAGTAAATATCCTCCCTGGTTTACATGTAAATTAATTAAACTCTTAAAAGAAAAAAATAGGACTCGAATGCGCTACCGTAAATATGGAAACCCGAGGGATAATCTTGAATTCCATATCCTGCGTTCTCGTTGCCACAAATTATATGACATTTGCGATAATTACAATAAAAATAACGTAGAAAACAGAATTTCGAAAGATCCAAATTATTTCTGGAAATATTTTAAAAACAAAAGCAAAAAAGATACATCTTTACCAGCATCCATGTATTTTGGTGAAACCACTGCAAGTACTGGAAGAGAAATAGTCGATCTTTTTGCAAGCCACTTCTCCTCAGTATATACCCCGAACAATGGAAACTGTACTCATTTATCCGAATATCCTACCTCATCAGCAATTTCAAGCATCACCCTACAAGAAAAGGATGTATTAAAAAAAATTAAAGCTCTAGATCCCAACATAGGTCCTGGTCCTGATTGTATTCCTCCTTTGTTTGTAAAGCGTTGTGGGACGGCACTGTCCCTGCCACTGTGTTTAATATTCAATCGTTCGCTCAGGGAAGGCATTTTCCCAGACAAATGGAAGAATGCACGAATCGTGCCAGTTTTTAAAAAAGCGATGAAATGAATGTTGAAAACTACCGGCCGATATCCATCCTATCATGTTTTTCTAAGCTATTCGAAAGCTCCCTTTTTCCAATGATTTCCTATCATTTAAATCGAGTTATTTCTAACCAACAACATGGTTTTCGAAGTGGGTTATCAGTTCAAACTAATCTTGTAAACTTTGTCGCTGACCTGTCACAAGGTGTTGACAAGGGAGACGAAATTGATGCAATTTATACCGATTTCAGTAGTGCATTCGATCCCCCCCAACGTGCGTTCACCTTGTCGTGGTGGGGGGGCTCAGTAGTGCCCGGCAATCCAACCGGGCGCGAAGCTAAGAAACGCACAGGGAGGTTGCCCACTTCGGTGGGCTGTGGGAGGTGGCCCTCCTCGGGGGGCGGTGTACCTTGCGGGTTGCTCCTGGTACTTCTCTGATAGCAGAGTGGACCTTGGAGCAACCCCATGGTTGTGGAGGTCTGCTTTGGCAGACCTGCCGTCGGGGCGTCGTAGTTGAATGCGTAAGCGATCCTGCGACGCCCCATTAAGACGGGGGAAGGTTTTGTTGGGTTTTAGTGAGTAGTACTGGCTGTATTACGCCGGTGAGTCCCACACGTCGTGCGTAAATGCATTTCCCAACGTTAAAAAAAAAAAGTTGTGCATTCGATAAAGTCGATCACACTATTCTTGCTGAAAAACTCAAACATAATGGTATTGACGGTTCTCTTTTGATGTGGTTCAGGTCATATTTACTGAATAGACAGCAAGTAGTCTCTGTTAACGGATTCGAATCAACATCTTATATCGCCCAATCTGGAGTATAAGGATCTCACCTAGGGCCCCTTCTATTCCTTGTATTTATTAACGACATCACTACTAATATTAAAACATGTAAAGTTTCTTTATTTGCTGATGACCTAAAAATTTATAAAACCGTGAAAAATTCGTCGGATACGCTGTCATTGCAGGAACTTTTAAATGAAATCAGTCTTTGGTGTAACGAAAATCGTATGTCTCTTAATGTGAAAAAATGCTTCTTTATAAAATATTCCAGAAAGCTAAAACCGCTTGTCTCAAACTACTCTATTGAAGGTACCCCGCTACAGAAAGTTAGTGAGATTAGAGATTTGGGTGTTATCATGGACGACAAATTAAAATTCGTTCAGCACATCACTAGATCCGTTAATAAAGCAGCTAAAACTCTCGGATTTATAAAACGTAACACCAGAGGCCTCTCTGCATCAACTAAAATATTATTATACAATGCTTTTGTTCGTAGCCAATTGGAGTATGCTTCTGTGGTTTGGAGTCCCTTCTATGGCATTCACTCGCAACGCATTGAGAGAGTGCAACGTAACTTCACAAAGCATTTGGCGTTTTTGTGTAAAGGAATTAGCCAAAGACAGCCTTACCAGAATCGTATCTCCTTCTTCAAAATGATGTCTGAGTAACAGGCGTGCAGTGCTCGATCTATGTTTTTTGCATAAAATCTTGAACGGTGTAGTTCAGAACAATGATTTACTCGAACGTATAAATTTAGCAGTTCCCTATAAGCCCCAAAGGCCCCGCAAATACAATACTTTCCATATCCCTTGTGTAAAAACTAACCTTGGTTCTTAATCTCCCATCGTCCGTATGTGTTCGCAATACAATATTATTTCTAAGGCCTTACCAGAATTAGATATTTTTCATGATACCTACAATAAATTTAAGTACAAACTATTAGAATATTATTTATCCAAACTGTGACTTAAATATAGATATAATAATTTTTATATAACTATTGATTACTTATTATCTAAAATCTAATTATTATTGTTTTTATCTTTACTTTATTTTATATTTTAAATTATGTTGTTTCTATTTTTTGTTAATTTTGTATTTTTTATCAATGACTAAATAATTTAATAATATTATAAATACTATGTACACTTGTTATTGATATGCATGTCTGATTCCTTTTTTTTTCACTTTAATTATTGTATTGAATTGTTTAACATGTGTATTGTAAGTGTGCTTAATAATAAATAAATAAATAAATATTGATTCTAGTTCGGCATTCTTATTTTATAAATACTTACGTTTAATAATAAACCTAATATACTCGAAAACTAAAATACAATAATAAGATTTAAAAAAATAAGTTGTAACGTGTACAAAAATCACAACTGCCTTACTTTTGGGAAAACATAATGTTCTTAACTTGCAATATTGACACCATTGAGTATATTGCTACATATATAAATTGACACAATGGCGTCTAGAATTCGTGTTCGGAGAATTATGTTAAATATTTTTGCGATTTTGTTTAAATTATACAGAAAATCAGTTACTTACTTGTAAAAAGTTATCCTAGAAGACTTTTTTTGAAAACATGAATTGTTTTTGCAGCAGTTTATGACACAGGATGGCTTAATTTCGCAATTATTATTTTACCAACAGCACGTCACGCACTCTCACTCACTCGCGGCCGTCTTCATATGGCTGAATCGTCTTTATATTACTTGCCTCATTCTTTGTGCGCAATGCTGTCTATACTTTATTATATTGGTCGGAGTTTGCGACCTATTCTCTTAATTACCAAATCTATATTATGTATAAAACTGTAGAGTTCAAATGTCTGTACATAGAAAAAAAATGCTAAAAACGGAGTCAGGGGGATGTAAGAAGAGAAATAGAACAAATCCAGATTTTTTGTTTGTTTCTCTGTCTGTTTGTACGGGCTAATCTCCGAAACTGTTGATCGATTGAAATGAAATTTTGCGTTGTGGTACCTTATATCCCCGGTCAACATCTTAGATACTTTTCATCCCGGAAAATTAAAGAGTTCCCGTGGGATAGTTAAGCAACTATAGTAACTTATATATCTTAGTAACCAACAACTTTTGCACCTAATTTAGTAAAATTTGGCATGCTGATACCTTACATTGCCGGTCGACCAACAGGTTACTTTTTATCCCGGAAAAATGAACGGTTCTCATGGGTTAGATCTGTTTGTGCTTGTCTAGTATAGAATAATTCTATTATTAACATGCATGTTTATTTTCATTTTCATCTTATATCTGCCGGACGTCTCGTGACGGCCAACCATTTTTATTATAAATTTGAAATCAATGTGTATTAAAACTCTAAAAGATAGATTCTTACTGGAACTTCTTGGAAGTGTTTTTATAGTATTCTAACGATCCAGCAATCCTGCCGGGCGTAAAACCAAGAAACACTTTGAGTAGTGGCCCACTTCGGTGGGCGGTATATCATGCCGCATGCGGGTTGCTCCTGGTACTTCTCTGATGGCAGAGTGGACTGTGGGAACAACCTCATGGTTGTTATGGTCTGCCTCAGATGAAAACTAACAATCGGTTATATTTTAATTTTGAGAGGGTGGAAGAAGGTATCTGTGAGAAATCTATTTTAGCCGTTAAAATGTATCTAAGGAACAACCCGAGCAGAGCGATGATGAGTCGCTAGTTAAAAATATAACTTAATATAATGATGATTTAAAATAATGATGACAATACTGTTTTAGTCTCTAACGAATTATTTAAGTACCAAATATGTGAATACTATAAAATATAAGAAGTAATTTACATTGAAATCGATAGTATTTTACTGCTTTTACATATTTAATGAAATTCACAAATATAAAAGATTCGCTAAAATAATGAAGTTACGGACATTTTCTCCGCAGATATCCAAGAATACGGTCTACGGATACAAATATTCGCGTACGGATATACCACTATTTGTAATAGATAGCTTATATCCTGGATTAATATTAAATAGGTATATTATGGAAGGTTGTCATGCGACCAAGTAAACACAATCACACTTTTTTTAATTATTTTATGATTTTGTCTAATAAATCGATAAATAAAAATATTTACAAAAATGATACGACACGAAACAAAACAGAGCGCTCGGGGTCAGAGATCATGGAAGCGTAGATCGGGCGGGGAGCAGGGTGTGGGGGTGGCGGGCGGCGAGGGCGCGGGCAGCGGCGGCGGCACGAGGCGCGCGTCCTGCAGGTAGGGGTGCAGCAGCGCGGCGCGCGCCGACACGCGCTCGCTGGGCTCGTAGCGCAGCATGGCTTCAAAGAACGCGGCGGCGTGCGGCGCGACGCGCGCGGGCGCCGGCAGCAGCAGGCGCGCGTCGCGCGGCGCCCAGCGCGGGAAGGCGGCGCGGTAGTCGGGCAGCAGGCGCGCGCCCGGCCACACGGCGTCGCCCGGCGTGCCCAGCGCGCGGAACACGCGGAACAGCTGGTCGATCTCGCTGTCGCCTGGGAACAGCGTGCGTCCGCTCGCCTGCAGATAGATACAACTCTATTATACATAAGAAAACACGAATTGTACAATGGTTTATTTAGAGTAATCATGTCACATACATTATTACATAATTATATTGCTAAACGGCTTACTGGCTAGTGTGAGTTACCATTTCTGCATATATGCAGGCCAAGCTCCAGACGTCGACGGCGGTGGAGTAGAACTTGGCGCCGAGCAGTATCTCGGGCGCGCGGTACCAGAGCGTAATGACCTCGTGCGTGTAGGCGCGCACGGGGATGCCGAAAGCGCGCGCGAGCCCAAAGTCGGCCAGCTTGATGTGGCCCTCCGTGTCCACTAGCAGGTTCTGCGGCTTGAGGTCGCGGTGCAGCACGCGGTGCGCGTGGCAGTACGCGATGCCCTCCAGCAGCTGCTTCAGGTAGCTCTGCAAGATGCAACACTGCTAATATATGTATCTTAATTCTGCAACATGGGGCATTTCATATGAAGGGGACAGGAAAAAAAAGTGAGGTTAGGAAATTTGTTCATATGCGGGTTATTTATACCTCTAGTAGGTATGAAAGTGGATACGTAATATTTTTTGTCTACGATGTTTATTTTGAAAATTATGGGCCTTTGAAAAAATTGTATTTTCAGTTTAATTATACATCAGTTTAACCCACGACAAAAAGAGGTGTTAAAGGTTTCTTGTGTCTGTCTGTCTGTAGTATGGCTTCGTATTGCTCAAACACGTGCATCCGAGTGCAGTTTGTTTTAATCGAAAGCTTTGACTGTTAAGATCAAAGTTAGCTATGTTTAAGGAACGTTGGACCGGGCATTGACTAGTAATACAAGCTTGTAAAAAATAGCAAGTAATAAACCCTAAGTTTTCAGAGCTTAAACTTGCTTGAATACAATGATACATCTGATTACACTTAAAATTTCGCCAAGTAACTGACATAAATTAGTATGATGCATCACGCTCAGAGCGACATGCATGTACATTAATTTACCCATCTTTCTAAGTAATAGAGATTCCACTATAAAACTTTTAGTGTGTTTTAATAATACTATAGGGGCTATATTTGGGTGTAAAAAAATTAAAAAAAAATGGTTGAAGTGATCAAAAAATTATTTTGAAATTTTCACTTCCAGTTTTGTACATACATAATTTTATTTTTAATTTCAAAAAAATATTTCTTTATTAAAAAGAGCAACCAAAAACCTATACAAAACGCCAAGTTTAATAGTTGTTTGTATATTTTCTCTATTCGAAACTAAATCTAAAACATCAAAATTTGGATTATGATTATATTTCAAAGGACCATAATTTTAAAAATAAACATTGTAGAAAAAAAAAATTACATATATACTTTCATACCTTTTTTTTTTTTTAACGTTAACGGAAATGCATTTATGCACGACGTGTGGGACTCACCGGCGTAATACAGCCAGTACTACCCACTAAAACCCAACAAAACCTTCCCCCGTCTTAATGGGGCGTCGCAGGATCGCTTACGCATTCAACTACGACGTCCCGACGGCAGGTCTGCCAAAGCAGACCACCACAACCATGGGGTTGCTCCACAGTCCACTCTGCTATCAGAGAAGTACCAGGAGCAACCCGCATGGTACACCGCCCCCCGAAGAGGGCCACCTCCTACCGCCCACCGAAGTGGGCAACCTCTCTGTGCGTTTCTTAGCTTCGCGCCCGGTTGGATTGCCGGGCACTACTGAGCCCCCCCACCACGACAAGGTGAACGCACGTTGGGGGGGTATATACTTTCATACCTACTAGAGGTATAAATAACCCGCATATGAACAAATTTCCTAAGCTCACTTTTTTTTCCTGTCCGCTTCATATGAAATGCCCCACATGTGTTTTTATAAACAAATCAAAACATTACCCAATGTACAGTTCAACCGTAACATACTGGATGATAAAGATGATGTTATATTATTGATTTTTATTTTTTTCCCATAGGACATAAAGGCAATATAAAAACACAGCAGTTCCTATAAACTAATGGAATTTGATTTTAGTTTTTATATAAAAAATCCCTTAGTTTATAGTAACTGGTCTATAATACCTACATAATACATAAGTAAAAGTGGTAATAGTTTTTTTATATAAATAATGCAAATGGGTAGATTTCAACTTACTGGCTTAACCAAACAATAAATTCTCAATGTTGATACTCACACTAATTTAAGTAACTTTTAGTTTTATTAAGAAATTTATATTATTTATATTGAAAGCCCTAATAGCAATGCAAATTTAAAGTAAATATCATTATTCATTAATTTTATAATAGTAAGCATTACTTTCTTAAAAATAAATGCTACCTTGACTAGATCTAATTTAAGGGGACCTTTTGTTAGATCCATTAGTCTCTTGAGGTCCATATGAAGGAACTCAAACACTAGGAATAACTTTGTATCAGCAAGCAGTACATCTAGTAGACGTACTACTGCTGGATGATTTAGCTCGCGCAATACTGAAATTTCGCGTAAAGCCGTTGATGGTACTCCTTCTGGCTCACTGTAAAATGAAACACAATTTATCAAAAAAACAATTATATGTACAAATTTTAATATACTCAAAACTGCAATATTGACTTAAAAGAATACTCATATTTCTTAAAATAACACTTTTTATTAAAAAAAACTCAATACTAATGATGAAAACATATTTGTAATATATAAAACCAACAAAATTCAAGACACTAAAGTTGTTATTTCTCTTAATTAAATGAAATTTTGCATATAAATTCCAGAAATAATATAGAGAACGATTCCATTTGGAATGTTAAATAATTATTAACACATATTTTACTATATAAATAAAAAATTCTTTACGCCGCTCTAGTAAACATAACCTAGATTTTCAACATCTAAAATTGCTGCATCTCTACAAGATTGCACAAAAAGGTGTAAGGGATAAATATTGAATCATCTTCATGATATATAAAATTTGATTTAATGTAAGGAACATAATGAATAACAATGTAATAAATAAATATTATATTGTAAAGTAAATGTCAATTTTCGCGCCAAATCTTACTTTTCAAGTTTAATTTTTTTCAATGCTATTTCTTTCCCAGTAATTCTATCTCTAGCTTTATACACAACACCATATGTTCCTTCTCCGATTTTTTGGACACTTGAAAAGTTTTCCATTAGTAAATACTACAATCGTTCATAACAAAAGCTTAGATAAATGAAATTTCAAATTTAATTAAAATAAATAATAAAGTGGTTAGTGTTCTTATGGTCTATGACAATTTGACAATTGACTTGACAGCAGATGCGGAACCACCAGTATCCACTGTACAGTATAAAGATGTGTCAACTCGATTTACTAACTCGAGTTAACTCTAGTTGGGCTTAACTCGAACTAACTCGAGTTGAATTCTCCCTGACTCGAATTTGGATTGGCGTGGTAAATGAACGAATCAAGCGAGTACGCGATTGACGCACTCTCAATCTTATGCAAGCGCGGCGATTCGTTCGTTGTGTGCATGCTTTTTACAGTCATCAGCACTTCAGACTATATATTTATATTGCTAAATCGCTCCTATTACAACCGAATAAGATGCCACAGTGTTTCACTTAAATGGCTGTCATCCGTACTCCCGCCATAGCGTTTCAACCGAATGACAGTGTCATAATATCCATACTCCATACTAATATTATAAATGTGAAAATGTGTTTGTTTGTTTGTCCTTCTTTCATGTCGAAACGGAGTGACGGATTGGGGTAATTTTTTGGGTGAAAATAGTTGGAGGGCTGGAGAGTGATAAAGGCTACTTTTTACCGCGGAAGATTATCTCATTCCTACGGGAAAACATGTTATAATACAACCCAAAAAAATATTTATGATGATAAATACTTGAAACTTGGTATTAACGCTCTTCAATACAAATAAATAAGAAGGCACATGTTTTAGCTTTCTTCAAAATTTATCCCGTAAGGGAGTAAAATAGGGGATGAAAGTTTGTATGAAACCTACCATTTTAGCGTTTTTTTTTTCGTAGTTTTAGCGCAAGCGAAGCCGCGGACTCTACTAGTAACAATATAAATAAATAAATATAAAAAATATAAATAATTATAATTGTCCCAATAAATATTTATTACGAATCTGTACCATTTTTTTTATATTGTTGCAAAGCCGAGTCATTAAATTGGTACAAACAAAACAAATCATTCACTTCATTTTTCATCCAGTTAACTCGAGTTCAATTCGAGTTACGTGAATTTCAACTCGAGTTAAATCGAGTCATATTTTTTCCGAGTTGGCACATCACTAGTCCAGTATCACTGGCTTTTGAGTTTCAGTTTTGAGTTTTGACATTTGAATTTTTAATATTTCACACTTCACTCTTCAGTTGTACCTAGTATAGTATTATATTATCTGTGGTTGTTCCAAAGTATGGTGTGTAGAGCCCTCCATTTACCGAACACTGTACCTGAAGATAAATTGTAATAAATGTTTATTAAAATATGAATGAAATATTAAATTAAACAAATTATAAATTTATAAAAGTGGGTAATTTAAATGAAAAAGATAAAATTGCTTAGCAATGCTTGTTGAAATGTCAGGCACCTCACTGTCTGTCATCTGTCTATTGTCAATGTGACAGTTTATATACGTAGCAATATACTCTGTGTAGTTCCTGCTTCCTTCTAAAAATGATAGACTTAGACGACTGTTGTTTAAATGTTTTATTTTAATAATAAACGCCAACACGTTCCATAAAATACAACGTAGTTTTTTATTTAACATGGTAGCAGAGCGTAGTTGGTGCTAAAAGAAAAAGGAATCATCATCACTGGGTTGCGATCCACGTGGATGAATTAAAATGAGAAAAAATCAAGACAACGCAAACATGTCGTCGGGGGCTGCGGTCTCGTCAATGTCGTTGTTGCCGTGCTTGGGTGAGAAGTCAAACTTCAGCACGTGGAAGTTTCGCCTTAAACTGATGTTAGAAGATAAACAAGTTGCATACGTATTAAAAGAAGGAGACAATGAAAAAGAAAAATCCGCCGAATTTATCAAAGACGATTCGAGGGCAAAGTCTTTAATTGCAATGTGCGTTTCCGACCGCTACATTGAAATAATAAAGGATGGGAAAACAGCGAGAGAGATGATTACGTTATTGGAAAATACATTTGAGAGAAAAAGTGTCTACAACAGGTTCTACCTAAAACGCAAATTAATAACTCTAAAGTGCAATGAGCCATTAGAAACATACCTCATAAAGTTCTCATCAATTGTTAATGATCTCCAGGCGATTGAAGTCAAAATTGATGATGAAGATAAGATTTGTTACCTGCTGTCATCGCTGCCTAAGGAATATGATCCTGTAATTACATCCATCGAGACCATGGCTACAGAGAAGAGACTGACATTTGATTTTGTAAAAGCCAGATTGCTGGACGCTGAGACAAAAATCATCACAAACAAGGACACGACCGATCAAGAGAGTGCATTCATCACATGTTTTACTTGTGGTAAGCCGGGACACAAAAGCTATGAGTGTAAAGATAGGACTAATGAAAAAGAGCCACATCGAGGCAGGGGCCGTGGGAGAGCTGCTGGCCGAGGTCGCAGAGCTGCACGAGGACAACCCACACGAGGTCGAGGACAACGTGGTCAAGCCCAAGAGACGTCCCTAGCTGGTAAGGCGGAAGTTGGATTTTTTGCCAGTGAATACATGTTTGGATCAGTTGATAATTCTAATATTACATTTATCGTAGATTCAGGTTGTACCCAACATATTATAAGTGATCAATATGAACAATATTTAACTGATATTAAAACATTGCAAAAAAGTGTTAAAATATATGTTGCTAATGGTCAATATATAGAGAGTAATAAAAAGGGAAAGTTGAAGTTCATGTATAAACATATAAAAATAAATATAGAGGCATTGATTGTAAAGAATATTTCATATAATTTATTGTCAGTAAATAAAATAACTGAAGCAGGATTTCATATAAAGTTTAATAAAACAAAAGCTGTAATAAGAAATAAAAATATATATGTTATTTGTTATGCTGAGGGAATGTTATATAAATTAAATGCTCAATTATGTAGTGAAATATGTAATATCAGTAATAACAAGAGTGATGATGTTCTTTCTAACATTTGGCATAGACGGTTAGGTCATTTAAATAAAAAAGGATTAGGTATTATGAATTTACAGGTTTCTGAAAAAGTTTGCGGCCCATGCATAGAAGGTAAAGCTACGAGAACACCATTTAAGCTGACGCCGAGACCTAGATCTAGGAGAGTAGCAGAGTTGTTGCATACAGACATTGCAGGTCCTACCAAGAACTGTGGTTTAAACGGTGAGAAATATTTTATGACTGTAATTGACGACTACTCCCATTTCTGTGTTGTATATCCATTGGTGCATAAGTCAGAAGCGACAGAGAAACTTATTAACTACATAATTAAATTAGAAAATGAAACTGGAAATAAAGTGCAAAGAATAAGATGCGATAATGGTACAGAGTATACAGCAAATAGACTGAAGAATTTTTGTAACAATAAAGGAATAAATATAGAATATACTCTACCTTATACGCCACAACAAAATGGAGTTGCAGAGCGCTTGAACAGGACTTTGTGTGATAAAACTAGAACTTTGTTTGCAGAGACGAACTTACCAAAATTCTTATGGTGTGAAGCCATTCAGTGTGCTGCATACCAGTTGAACAGATCTCCATCCTGGGCTATCAACTTTAATACTCCATGCTTTATGAAAAATGGACATAATGATTTATCAAGACTGCGAGTCTTTGGATCAAAAGCTTGGACAACTATAATACCGAAACAGGATAAGTTAAGTAAAAGAGCAAAACCTACAAGAATGGTTGGTTACAATACTGTGGGCTATAGATTATGGAATCCAGAAGATAATACAATAATAATATCAAGAGATGTCATATTCGATGAAAGCGATTTTAAATATATCGAAGACAAAGAAAGTGAAGAAGAACAGCTTATTCAAGAAGAAATAGACTATCAAGTACAGAAAACTGCAGAAGTCAGAGACAAGGAAATTAGAAGCACAGAACCTGAGACTACAGAATGTCAAGATATTCAAATAGAAGCAGAAAAAGAAAAGAACTTAAATAGAGAAAGTGAACTAGTAAAGAAGTCAAGATCAGGTAGAATAGTAAAACGACCAGCGCATTTAGAAGATTATGCATCAAACATAGTCACATGTTTGAGTGCAAATACACCAAACTCATTTGAAGAGGCAGTGAGTAATACAGAGTGGAAACAAGCTATTCAAAAGGAACTACAAGCACTGGAAAAACTAGATACATGGGAAGAAAAGGAGCTGCCTACAGGAAAGAAAGCCATAGACACAAAATGGATTTTTAAACAAAAAGAAGAAGGAACTAAAAAGGCAAGATTAGTTGTAAGGGGCTTTCAACAGAAGAAAGAAGATATTTTTGACAGCAATTATGCTCCAGTTGCAAGACACTCTACAGTTAGGATGTTCATATCTAAAGCTCTACAAGAAGATTTAATGATAAATCAACTAGATATACCTACCGCTTTTTTGAATGGAAAATTGAAGTCAGAAGTTTATATTAAAGTGCCACAAGGATTAAAGGTGAAAAATTCTAATTCTAAAACAGTATTAAAACTTAAAAGAGCACTTTATGGATTAACAGAATCTCCAAAATGCTGGAATGAGACAATAGATGATTTTGCGAAGAACAATGGATTTCAACGTTCAGAATATGATTATTGTATGTACTACAAAAATGACTGTTGGATGTTAATATATGTAGATGATATTCTTATAATTGGAAATGGAGATGACATAATAAAGGAATTGAAACAAAAGTTCAATGCGAAAAATCTAGGAAAAATGGAAAGATTTTTAGGTATGGAAATACAAAGAAGTGAAGACACTATAATCATAAAACAAACTAACATGATAGAGAAAATATTACAGAAGTTCAATATGAGTGATTGTAAAGGAATGAAAACACCTATGGAGATAAATTATAATATACAGATATATGATGATGAAGAAATATTGGATGTACCTTATCGTGAACTGATTGGTAGTTTAATCTACTTAACTGTAACATCAAGACCGGATTTGACATTTGCAGTATCTTATCTAAGCAGATACCTGGACAAACCAACTGAACAATTATGGAAAGCTAGTAAGAGAGTTATACGCTACCTAAAAGAAACTAAATATAAAGGACTAGTATTTAGAAGAACTACAGATAATAATTTGTATGGATTCTCTGATGCAGATTGGGCCGGAGATAGAAATGATAGAAAAAGTGTAAGTGGTGGCATAATTTTACATGGAGTGAATCCCATAGCTTGGTTTTCAAAGAAACAGTCATGTGTTGCTCTTTCAACAGCAGAGTCAGAGTACATTGCTGCTGCTGCCACAGCTCAAGAGTTGGTGAATCTTAAAGGTCTCAGTCAACATTTAAAGTTCAAAAATGATGCCATCTTACTCGTGGATAATATAGGAGCAATTTCTATGTCTAAAAGTTATGAAAATTCAAAAAGAACTAAACACATAGATATTAGGGCTCATTTTCTTAAAGATATTGTTGAAAAGGGCATCATTGCTATTGAATATATTAATTCTAATGATAACTTAGCTGACATAATGACTAAAAGTTTATGTAAAGACAAATTTTTAAAATTTAGAGATCAATTTATGTGTTAGAAAGTATTATGATAGGAGGAGTACTACTGTAAACTCATATTGTATGATTGTTGTTATTATTATGTAATATTAAGTAGCTATTTGTTGTGTAAAACTTAAGTTATTAAGAAAAATTTTTAAGTTCAGGTTAATGTAAGTTAGTGAATATTTTTAAGTTGAAATTGTTTTGTAAGAAGTAAATATATTTGATAAGTGATGTGCTTGATACCAAATTTAAATTTGAGAAATGTTAAATTCGAGGAGGAGTGTTGAAATGTCAGGCACCTCACTGTCTGTCATCTGTCTATTGTCAATGTGACAGTTTATATACGTAGCAATATACTCTGTGTAGTTCCTGCTTCCTTCTAAAAATGATAGACTTAGACGACTGTTGTTTAAATGTTTTATTTTAATAATAAACGCCAACACGTTCCATAAAATACAACGTAGTTTTTTATTTAACAATGCTCTTATTTTTGTTTGTTTTATTATTTCATTTGATGAAATTTTTTTATGAATAAATAGTGCTGCCAACTCAGTAGATTTTCCACTAGATATGGTGGTTTAGACTTGCCTTTCAGCGGACAAATATTGGTTTTAGTGGCTAGTGGATTGTCTAGTGGTTTAAATTGCTTCAGTTAGTGGTAAGGTGTGATATTTAACCACTAGTACGATTTATATGAATACTCTAGTTATGAATGAGCATTTGAAACAAGTGTATAATTTTTTTGTGTATAAACAATACTATAGAACTAACATGATTTATTATCAGGGATTCCCTGAAAATTGACAATTTCAAGAATAATAGTGATTGTGGACTTTATTTGCATGACTACTGAGTATAATATTATGATTTAACTCAAAGGGTTTGTTTAAGTTTTATTCGCTATTCTATTAAGTCACACTTAAGACCATACATATTATTTTTTTGCTTTAGACAGTACAGTTCTAGTGTTTTGTGAGTTTGAGTCGGTATCGATAAAAGATTCTGAATTGTCTTATTTTAATTATTAATTTTGTTAAATTAATAAGCCCAAACCACGGTATACCCAAAAGTTTCGAGATTGTTAGTTACGTGACCCAGAATTAAATGACACAAAAATATTACAATATTAAAATGTTACAAGTGGAGTGGAGAGCAAACAGGTCCAGTATATAAATGCAAATTATGTGGTCAGTTTTAAGAAATCATTACGGAGACACAAAGATCTCTTTATTTTTTATATTATTATATTTTTTGGATGATCTAAAAAGCACTTGCAAAATTCAAAGGTACGTAATCTTAGAGTATACATAAGCTATAGAGCGCGCGCTAGCAAGTATGAACTGTAAGCATGGGTATGACCAGTCTCAAAATGTCAAGGGCGACGCTATTTGTCACGAAAAGTGAATCGCGCTGACTGTTTCTCTCGTCGGTATTTATTTGAATTTATATAATCATGGGGAAATGTGCAGTTCCAAGCTGTAAAAATGATTCACGAAAGCAAACTAAAACGAACAAAGATATTTTTGTTCATCGGTAAATAATATTTTAATCAGAAAACGCTAATTTTAACAAAATTACACAGGCGTGAGCGGGTGTTGCTTCGACACAACACGTGCTTCCGCGCCCCCCGCTTCTCACTTTCCCTCATTAAGAGCTAGTGTTGTACCACGTTGTACTACTCGAATATTTTGTATAACCATAGTATTATGAATTAAGATCCTTTGTATTTGTCAAAAATAAAGCCTTTAAATTTTAATGGCACCAAAGTATCTTACAATATTAATTAATTTTAAACATTTTTATAATTTTAATAAGTTTAATAATTGCGTTGAATTTTATTTATTTCTTTTTAGCTGTTATTATTATAATTATTTTTATTTTTTTTAAACTTTATTCACTATAATGTCTACTGCACAGAAAGACCACCCTGGGCGGTTATTTGGTCAGGATTGGCCGAGCTAATGCTATTTTTTTTTCTATAGATTGAGCTAGTCTTTTAACATCACACGAGGGCGCGTGAACAGCAGGACGGCCGTGGTAAAAGAAATAGCGGTGGTGGTTGCCCCACAAGATCACCCGAGGGCGTGTGAACAGCAGGATGGCCGTGACGGAGGAGGATTTAGTTACCTTTTTCTGTTATGAAACCTTATTGTTGTTTAAAGTCACTATGTTCTTTAATTTACTTTTTATTGATTTTAAAGTGATTTTAAATTTAGAGCAGAGATTTATTCTCGAGCGGGGTCGAGACGCCATCACGACATTCATTCGAGATAAGTGGCTTAGTAACGTTGGTTGATCATGTTGGATCATAGAGAGTTATGTTTGGATACTGAAGTTGGAAGTCGATGGTCGGCGACTGTGAACCCGGTAGCTCTAAATCATTAGAATTACCATTTCATGTCTATAACATTGTGATTTCCTTGATTAAATTGTGTATTGAGCATTGAATACTTTATTATTTGAGCCCTGATAACGCCCACAAGATGAGTAACCACCAAAGATGATGTTCGTAGTATATGGATAAGTCATCTTATTTAGTGTTGTCATTATTATATTTATAATCATAAAAAAATTATAATCATAAAATTCGAGCCACATTATTGTTCTATGTAAAAATAAAAAAAATAAAATGTTAAAATTAATTAAGAATAATAATTATATAATAAGTACATTACGGGATTTGAACGCTTGAATTCATCTTTAACTCCCGTAATTTGCGTTTAAGTCCCGTAGTGTAATTATATAATTAATTATGGAACGCGAAAAGTTAAACATAATAATATATAATTTTAATTTAGTTTACTATTATTTAAAAAAATCAAAATATAAGCAACACTATTACTATATAGATTTACAAATGAAAGATATTAATTTGAAATACTGTAATCTTAGATAACAAAGTCTATATGTGCGTAAATAAATGGTTATGTTAAATAGTTTGTATTAATATACTTCTTTTTTAATTAAATTCTAAAAGTTTTACTAGGCGCATCACTATTTAACCGCTTTAGCTACGAGTATGTATCAATAGGTATAGGTATAATCAATATGGTTTATATTTTTTTTATTTTCAATATAATCTCCCTCACGTGAAATACAAATTCAAAATATTTTATTCAGCATTAAATTATTACAATTTTTTACTAAACACTAACAGTTCTGAAACAACCCTCAGACCTGAGAAGAACTGGTGAAAGAAACTCAGCAAGACTAATAATAATTATTATTACTTTATCTTTGTTGTGCGTTAGGTAAATTATAATTTACAATATTTTCTATAATGTTGAAGTAGCCTGGAAACGATCAATTCATTCCCAAGGCGTGCCATCTTCTTTAAAATCATTAATTGTATTCGAGTCACAGGCATAATGCCTGTGGATACTCTTTGGTAGTCTCCATAGAGAAGTAAAGGAAGTAGTCTCCATTAGACAATGACTGTGAGATATGACGTGAATGACAATGAGATAATCTTCCGCGGTAAAAAGTAGCCTTTATCACTCTCCAGCCCTCCAACTATTTTCACCCAAAAAATTACCCCAATCCGTCACTCCGTTTCGACATGAAAGAAGGACAAACAAACAAACACATTTTCACATTCATAAAATTAGTATGGAGTATGGATATTATAACACTGTCATTCGGTTGAAACGCTATGGCGGGAGTACGGACGACAGCCATTTAAGTGAAACACTGTGGCATCTTATTCGGTTGTAAAAGGGGCGATTTTCTCAACATAAATATATAGTCTGAAGTACTGATGACTGTACAAAGCATGCACACAACGAACGAATCGCCGCGCTTGCATGAGAGTGCGTCAATCGCGTACTCGCTTGATTCGTTCATTTACCACGCCAATCCAAATTCGAGTCAGAGAGAATGCAACTCGAGTTAGTTCGAGTTAAGCCCAACTCGAGTTAACTCGAGTTAGTAAATCGAGTTGACATATCTTTAGTCTCCACAATCTGTTTTTGTACTATTTATATAAAGATAATAGTTTGTACTTTGTGGTGAAATGTGTAAATATTAGATAACTAGGTTGAAAGAGACATTATATTAAATCTTATAATTAAATTGAATTAAACTGGAATGGCAATAGGCTTAAGATATCTTATACGTTCTATGAAATATCCTAAAGATAACTATCGCTTAATAATGACAACTTCTACTAAATTAGAAAAGGCTTTGGAAGATCTAGAAAAAAATCCTTACTACGACAAATATGCTGAGAGAATTGCTGCCTTACAAAAAACTTCACCAGAAGAGTTCCTTAAAAGAGTACAAGATCAACAAAAAAACAAGGAAAAAGAAATGAAAAAGAAATTTGCACCAGTTGATACTAGGTTAGGATTATAATGGTTTTATCATGCTATGGTGAGTCGCTAGTAAGTATACAATTATATACTTACTAGCGACTCACCCTCGCTCTGCTTGAGTTCGTCCCTAGGTGATTCTTTAAATTGACGTAACTTTTTTATTTATGAACCGATTGAAATAAAACAAATACTAAATGTTAAGTGAAGCTTACCACAATATAACACCACATCAGAATCAGTTAAGTCGTTTCTGAGATTAGCGCGCACAAACGCACAGACAAAGCGACAAGCGTAAATAAAGACCCCCCAATGATAGTTTTTCTCAAATATCTTCCATGTACAGACAGTGATCAGTTACACTTTTATTATATGTATAGATTAGGAATTTTGTATTACTGATGTAATATATTATATTTTTATTAATAGGCAATTTTCATCAGCCCTGAACCCTAAACAAACACTTGGGGAAAATATGTCTGCAGAAGATAAAAAATTAAATGACATATTTAAATTGGAACTTGTAGCTGATAAAGATGCAGATGAAATTCAAGTTATTTGGGAAGAATATTATAAAAACAAAGAAGTTATATCTGCAACAATACCCAAAGATCTCTATAACATTATCCAACACAATATGAAAAAATATCCTACTTTCTTGTTTCCACTACCAAGATCAGAGGGATATGAATTTATCATGTGTCAAAGTTTTGGGAACGCAGTTCATTTTACACCTTTACTAGCTTTTCAGGTAAGTTATAATATATTTTTGAATAATAAATTGCAACTCTATGTACACTGCTATACTCTTATAAGCTCTAATAAAAAAAAAATAATTTAGAAAATGTAAAAAATGTTGAGGAATAATATTTTTAATGTGAAACATATTAATAGGCGTGCCTTGGCAATAAAATCGACTCATGTTTTTATGGCAAACGGTGTCGTGACGGATATGCACTGTCATGCGATCATGCCTTTCTTTATGTCACCACCCTCGACTCTCTTGTGTGTGCACAGATATACTTTGTTCCTATGAATAAATAATAAGTCAGGAAGTCTAATTCAGATATTATTCTAATTCAGAATTCAAACAAATTCCATACAAAAGTGGCCCTATGACGATGTTATGAAATAAATAGACAGGAACAAGTCAATAATAAAACTATTACTGTACAATTTTTTTATATTAATTTATTTTAGTATATAATATTTTCATTTTTGTGTGTGTATATATATATATAATTATAATTAATATTGAAGATCAGTTTCAAATCTATAAAAGACTGTCCCTATTTGAAATAATAGGGTTAAATATGAAATTGCCGATTTGTACTGTAAAATTGAAATTCGTTTTTTTTTTTATTTAACATATTTATTTAATCAAAACAATTACCTTTATTATCTATACATTGCTGCCATCTAATAGGAAGGTCATTTATGCCTTTGCGATAGAACTCTGGTGAACTAGACTCGACAAACTGTGTGAAAGCATTTTGTACTGCCTCCTGAGAAGAAAACTTTTTATCATATAGAAAATTGTCCAAAGCACGAAAAAAACGGTAGTCCGTTGAAGCAAGGTCTGGCGAATACAGAGAGTGACGAATGGTTTATAATTGCATTTCCTGTAGAGTTAAAACGGTTTCTCGTGCTGTATGAGGTCTCGCGTTATCATGGAGCAATAATGGTGAAGATCAATTCATGAGTCGGGGCTGTTTCACTGCTAGTTTTGCTATCATTGTTCGGAGTTCGGTACAGTAGACATCTGCCGTTATTGCTTGACCAGATCGGAGAAAGCTATAGTGAATAACACCATGCTGAGACCACCAAACAGTTACCCTTACCTTTTTATTGGTAAGCTTTGCTTTAGGACCCTGTTGCGGCGTTTGACCTGGGGTCAGCCATTGCATTTTTCGCTTACGGTTATCGTAAAGAATCCACTTTTTATCACATGTCACAATTCGATCCAATATTCGTTCATTTCTGTATCGATTCAACAAGGCAACACAAGTTTCAACACGCGTTTCTTTCTGTAGATTAATCATATCATGAGGCACCCATTTTTCATATTTTTTTATTTTATTGATTTGACGCAAATGAGTCAATATTGTTGGTAAGGTAACGTTAAACCATGGCGCTAAATCCTGGGTAGTTTGGTTCGGATCGGCTTCCACCATCTCTTTCAATTCATTGTTATTCACCTGTGTGGACGGTCTTCCAAGTGGTTCGTTATTCAAATCAAAGTTTCCATCACGAAAGCGTTGAAACCAAAACTTAAAAAAAAAACTGACTTCCAGGCACTAAAATGTAAAAAATAACTAAACGGGGGTTTTCATTTAGAATAGATACCTAATCAGATATTTTCGAAGTCGGTGCCAGCCGACGCATAGGAAATCTAATATATTTTGATACGTAAAATACATATATACCTATTAGATATTCATATCTTAAAATATTGTAGGTTGTATGTTGTTCTATGTTGTGGTACTACCACTTCGGAAAGAAGAAGCCTCACACCTGAGAAGAACTGGCGAAAGAAACTCAGCGAGACTAATATTAGCTCGTTATCTTTTTTTTTAAAGTAAAATTATAATTCACAATATTTCTATCAAGTTGAAGTAGCCTGGAGGCGATCATGTCATTCCCAAGGTGTGCCATCTTCTATAAAACATTTATTGTATAATAGCCTTTAGCACACAAACGTTCTTTAACAAAAAATTTGAATTTGGTGATGGAAGCCTTTTGAACTTTTTCTAGGATCCTGTTGTACAAGCGTATACATTGTCCATAAAAAGAATTACTAACTCTTGTGTACGACGAGTCACAGGCATGACAAGTTTGTGTTTGCTCCTAGTATTAATGTTGTGCATGTCACACTTCTTGGGAAATTCGTGTATATTTTTATGGACATACATAACATTTTCGTACACGTACTGAGAAGCAATAGTAATATTTTTATTTCTATAAACTTATCTCTTAATGACACTCTAGGACCTAAACTATAAATTGCACAAATAGCTATTTTCTGCAGGACAAAAATCGTATTAATAGCAGCTGCATTTCCCCATAGTAAGATACCATACGACATAATACTATGAAAATAACTAAAATATATACTATGCGAGCTGTATCTTCATCAGTAAGAAGTTTTATTTTTTTTCCGCGAACGCTGCAGAGCTGAGTCTACTCGCTAGCCCCTCAATAGGGGAAAGGTAGGGACCCCACTGCAATTTCGAATCTATGATAATACCTAGGACTTTAGTGGACTCTACAGGTTTTAACACTTCCCCATTTAATATTACACCATTGTCAACAAGTTTAACATTAGGTGTTGAGAATTTTATTAATGACTTCGAAAATATCTGATTAGGTATCTATACTTAATGAAAACCCCCGTTTAGTTATTTTTTACATTTTAGTGCCTGGAAGTCGTTTTTTTTTTAAGTTTCTTGAATTCTAATATTAACCTAGATGTTTCACATCTGCCAGGCGTCTCGTGACGCCAACTTTTTATTTTAAATGATAATTATTAAAGTAAAATAATTTATAAATATCATTTTATCTCCCCTTGGCATATAAGGAGGTCAATATGTAGTAGTGAAATCTTAAAAGAGTTAAATTATTATTGTTTTAATTCTAGGTTCATAAAGAAAATGCACCAGAATGTTTAACCATGGTTCATTATACAGAACTAGCAGAAAAGGGGATAGTTTTAATGCGAGGAGATTATGATAAGGTAAAGTGAACATAAACATAATTATTATAATGAACAATGAAACCCTTATTTAATGTTGTGTAAATATTATTTTTTCAGAATGTTTTAAATGGTAAAGAAGCACAGTGTTTGGCAAATCAATTTCAAATGTTCTACAATGGCAAAGATCAAAATAAATTGCAGATACTGGAAACATTTACTAAAAGTCCAGATTCATTTAAACATACAGACTTAATAACAGAATTAGAAAATATTGAAGTAGTTTAATAAAATGTAGACAATACAAATAAAACTACATGACGTAATGAAGGGTTGTTTCCATTGCCACTGGCCCTTAATCATTCATTAAGTTTATGTGGATAGTAGGGGTATTCTGGTGAATCACAGTCAATGGTATATAGGGTTATAGGTGAAGGACATGTAATAAGTGAGGAAAAACTATTTGCAGTGCTTGATTCATCATCTTTGATATCTACAATTTCTGATTTTGGATAAGAGCACCCCAAGTAGCTTATTGGATTTTCTATTATATTTTCCATTGTAGAGGAATTAAAGTCATTTGTAAATTCATATTTTTTTGTAATTTGTTCATAATTCTGATTATTATCAAATTCTAAGTAGAGCTTCCTAAGAGATTCTATTTTCTTTTCTACAGTGTCAGTTTTAAGCAAAATGGGTGCAGTTTGATATATATATTTTGGAATATCATTCATAAATCTCACATAACCATGTTCACCATAATCTGATTGTAATTCTGAAGACAAAGAGTCTGACTTTACAGAGTATCTAAATGAATTATTTTGATCCGTATCAGATGAATCAGAATTAATTCTTTTTAAGGGCCTAAATAAGTGAACACCATTTGAAACACTTCCCTTAGTTTTTCTGTCAATCTTATCACTGTTACAATCTTCATTATTATCACATTTTAACTGACATTGAGTATTAACTAAATATGTATTCCCATCCGAACATTCTGTTTTATATACAAAGGACCTAGTTACAGTTTTTGATGTGACGGTTTTATTAAGTAATGTCAAACGATTGCTTGTTATGAAAATAGAAGATTTAAAAGGATCACGTTTCTTATCGACACCAACATTCGTTTTAAATCTTGTATTGAAAGTCGAATTGTTAATTTGATATGCTCGTTTTCTTATTTCATTGAGATTTCTACGAGTTCTTTTTAATTTACGCTTAGTATTTATTGATTCCATATTTTGTCATTAGATAATGAACTTGTAAATTTACATGAAGTATTGAACAATTTGAATACAAATACTGTTAGAAAATCGCGGTTTTATACCTTACCTATATATGTAGCAATATACTCTATGCCTAGTACCTACAGAGTACAGACTACAGTCTTCACATAGAGTATATTGCTACATATATAAAAGACTTCACTTTTCAGTCACCTGTCACCTTTATTTTTTTTCTGTATAGTCGGTCGTCGATGTCGATGTAAATTATACATATAATAAAATTGTAACTAAGCCGAATCTGTACATTAAATATTTTTGGAAAATCTTATTGAAATAAACATTATCGATACAGAGGCCGAATCTATAGTTTTTAGAATTTTTGTGTCTGTCTGTTACCGCATCACAGAAAAACCATTGAAGGGATTTTGATAAAATTTGATATGGTGATAGCTGGTTATCCGGTTCAACTTAAAGGATACTTTTTACCGGCGGAAAATGTCTCATTTCTGAGAAAAAATACAAAAACTGCAATGTAAGAGTATACTAATATGTAAAACCTAAAAAATTGGTTTTTGGTCATGTGAACGCGGACGGAGCCGCGGGCAATGCTAGTCTGTAATAATATTATAAAGAGGTAAAGTTATGAGTTTGTCAGGTTGTAATTTCTGGATCTACTGAACCGATTTAGATGAAATTTGGTAAGAAGAAAGTTTAAGAACTTTGGAAGGACATAGGATTTTTTTATCTTTTAGAAAAAATTGTGGGCTAAAGCAATAAGATGACTAAAATTGGCAAAATCACAATCTTTATATTTAAGGCATTTTAGAAAGTGATTTTAAAACTGTTAAATCGTCTACTTTTCCCACAAGAATACAATAAAAAATAACTAAACGGGGGTTTTCATTTAGAATAGATACCTTCGATCAAATATTTTCGAAGTCAGTGCCAGCCAATACAAATCAAAGCACCCTATATATACGGTCGAATTGAGAACCTCCTTTTTGGGAGTCGATTGACAATTAATATAAAATATTTGTATTGTTTTTTTAAGGTTAAATTCCACTTTGTGTGCATTAAATACAGAGTTTCACACAAACTTTCCCCCATTTTACTCCCTTATAGGATTGATTTCGAAAAATTCTAAACACGTACTTATTTCTTGTATTGAATAATAAATAATTCTTTGTCCATATAAACTTTATTACCCCCTATCACCGCTTTAAGCGATGAATTAAAAAATATATTAGGTACAACACATTGCACAAGTAAGATGCGAACACAATAAACACAAAAAATCAGGCATAAAGAGATTGCGCACAATGCCGAAGTGTGCTAATGCTTAATTGGAACGTGAATCCGTGAATTAAGTTTTCAAGTGCACCAGCAAGGGTCAGTGTTGAAAGAAAAAATATAATTAATATTTATATATTATAATAAATAATAATATATATAGTCGATATCATAAATTGTATAATAATATATATAATATAACTAATTAATATATAATTTAAATATGAACAAACATTACTAATGATAATGTAAATAAAATTTTGATCAATGCCTCCTTGAAGCTTCACTCATAATTATATATTTTTTTTGAACACAGTATAAATATAATTTTTGTATATTTTATCAAGCTTCGTCGAAATATTTACGAATTAGTTCAACAATAATCAATATAATTGTAAATAAAATTTTGATCAATGTCACCTTAAAGAAAAAACACTTCATATTTTCTGCTATTGAGCTGGTATCCTTGCGCGCATCACGCCAAACTGAAAACTCAAAGCGATAGCTGTAATTTTCAAAATACTCGATTGAGCGGAGCGTTGCTTTAGTTGAAACATTCGAAGGTTTATGCCGCATTATGCCGCATAACGCGCTATAAGTGCTCTAATCGGAAAACAGGGATAATAAATTGTTTGACAGACAGAATGTAAATAGATCATACGTGTAGCGCACTCTTTTTAAGTAATCTTCCCTATATACTTCTGTCATGTTTATTTAGTCTGTAGTACACTTGCAGTAGAGCTGTCAAACTAAAAGTGTACTAAATCGGTGGATCACATTGTTAGCATAATTATTACAAAATGATGAGGAAATAAAGTATATTTCGTTAAATTTTATGAGAATGTAAGTATCAAGGCACCTTACGTATATCTTAAATATGGTTGAACTGTATTTTGGTTATAAAAGTGGACATTCAAAATATTTGTGGCCAATTAGAATTATTTTTTTAATTTCTTGTATACAAAAAGAAGAACAGTTAATTATATTTAAATATCTTCAATATTATTAAAATCAATTTATTATAATTTGTATTTACATTTTTAACATCATAAACTCCTTTTATTATAAAAACTTACTAAATATTTAGCAAAATTTAATACATTACTTTTACATTTTCAATGAATATATTTTGTTATATTATTTTAAAAGATATTTGAATTATTATTATTTACTAGACGTAATTTCGACGACTAATAAGTTTATTCCGTTAAGTTTTCAGAGATTATAATAATGGGATATAAATTAAATTATTCCATTATTAGAAATGCTCTAAAAAACAATGTGACAAATAATAAAATAATAATTGACAAATTTACTAAAGTAATAACTATTGACAATTATGTATCAGTTTCTGATTTAATTATATTCAATATTTTTCGCAGCATATTTAATAAAAGGCATGGCAGTCGTCGTGCAGCACCGAGAGATACAGGCACGGTGAGGAGCGGCGCGGGGCCATGGCGGAGCCCGAGCCCGCGCCCGCCGGCCTCGCCGACGCAGTGCTGCTGGCGCCTCTCACTGAGGATTCTTTTCTACACAACTTGCATGTGCGATATAAACGAGACATCATATATGTCAGTATCTATCTAACATAAAATAATATGTATAGATGTAATCAATAGAGACTCCAATGAATAAATATCCTTTATACCTTTATGCTTTATGAGACAGTTGTACTAAATTTTATGTTTTTATAAAAGAAATCTATATAAATAGCCATTATATATACTTCATAGTTTTATATCTATTTTTGGGATTCCCCAATTATATACTGGACCTTTTGCTGTTTCAGGATGATAATAACCTTATTTCAATTCTGTAGTGTAATGTATGTAATGTAATGTGTATTTGTTTGTTGTGGCTGCAGACATACGTGGGCAACGCGCTGGTGTCGGTGAACCCGTGCCGCGCGCTGCCGCTGTACTCGGCCGAGCTCGTGCGTACGTACCTGGCGCGCCCGCCCTACCTGCTGCCGCCGCATCTGTACGTGCGCCTCGTACTTTTCATGAACCTATATTTGTGACATTTCCGATTTTTAAAACAATAATTGGTTTACAGCTACGCCATCACCGCCACCGCTTATCGCTGGGTTCGAGACAGGAATGAAAATCAATGCATTGTAATAACAGGTATCAATATTTTACCACATGCTAGGTAGCTACGCCCCTCTATATTTTAATGAGGTTATCTTTATTATTTTATAGTAAATAAAATGTCTAAAGCAATTAAATACTAGAAGTACTCGATAAACGATTTAAAAAAAGGAACAACGGTAATTTGGCGTGATGAACTGTCGGAGAGATATTAGAGTAGCGTGTGTCGCATGTGGCAGGCGAGAGCGGTGCGGGCAAGACGGAGGCGGCGCGCGTGTGCCTGCAGTGCGCCGTGGTGGCGGGCGGCGGCGGCGGCGGCGGCGGCGCGCTGGCGGCGGCCGGCACGCTGCTCGAGGCCTTCGGCAACGCCGCTACCGCGCGCAACCACAACGCCAGCCGCTTCGTGAGTGCTGCCCTCGCCCCCCGGCTCACTTCCCACTCTCTGCTAGCTAATCTGCACTGCATGCATTTCATTTTCTCTTTTATTATATGTTTCTCGAAATTAAATCTCTGAAAACGTACCCTCTTAAACTTTCAGGGCAAGCTACTAGATATAGAATTTGACTTCAAGGGCGAACCCGTCGGTGGACACATTACTCACTGTGAGTATTCGTACTTATCGTTTATAATTAAGTATTTAATCATTAATATATTATTGAATAGTAACAATCCATTTAAATTGCGCATGCAGACCTCCTGGAAAAGGTAAACAAAAAGTTTTAAATTATTGTATTATTATTATTAAACTTTTATTGCTGATGAGAGTTAACGTTTCACACAATTCATGTTGATTAACAATATTATATATAAAAGAATACATGTTAACATTTATCTGCGTGTCTTTGGGACACAAAGAGTCTCCTCCAACTCTTTCCATGGATCGAGATCCCGCTGCATGATTGCTACGTTCATAGCGTATTTAATCGAAATCAATTTTTTGTATACAATAATAAAAAGGACAATATGTTTTGACCGAGGTGCCTATTAAAATGTGCCCGCTAGTATGTTTAATTAACTAAATAATAGTTGACTTTTTGGAACAAAAACGATTCATTTGTTATTACAATGAATTATACTCCTACTAATTAGAAAAAAAGGAAAGAATATAATATTATATATCATTTGTCAGACAATGCGGGATCTTACTCCACCACTTTTCTCTAGATAAGGCAATTCTTTGCCATAATGGGCCTGCAGTTTTCCTAATTTCATCCGACCATCGTTTTCTTTGTTTTCCCCTTTTTCTTGTAGTGTGAAATCTAGGGGTCCATTGGGATTCATCCTTCGTCCATTTGTTTCCACTTTCCCTGAGCATGTGGCCTACCCATCTCCATTTCAGGATTTGTTTTTGAGGTGCCATCTTCCACTTTTGTTATTTGTCTTATATCATCAGCCCTTCGCGATCTCGTTTAGTGAAGCCCAGTATGCTTCGTTCCATAGTCCTCTGACAAGTAATGAGTTTTTAGTCTAGTTTTTGTGTTGTTGCCCAAGTCTGGCACCAGTAAGTTAGTATTGGTTAGTATACAGGTGTTGTATATTTTTCTTTTTATGGCCATGTTATACTGTTTGCCTTTCAACACTTCCTTCAAAGTCCAGAACCTCTTTCATGAGTTGGCAATCCCTCTTTCTATCTCAGTCCATTTGGTCGTTAAATGCAATTATTTGGCCCAAGTAAATATAGTCCAATCGGAATCCGGTTTGGGAACAAAATATTGAAAACCTGAAGTTTTATGATTTTTAAATGTTAGCAGGTATATAAGAAATAGAAATTCGTAAAATGCCCCACATGCCCAGCTACCCCCGAGAAATGGGGGGACGCAAAGCGTTGAAAAATAGCTTTTTTCGATTTCCGGCTTACTGTGACGTTCTATCGAAAAATGTTTTCTACAAAAGTTGTAGGTCTAGCAAAAATCTACACTTTTATAAGTAACACTTTTTACAATAATCTTAAAGTTTTCGTGATATTTGCAAAAAACTAGCTTTTTAACTGTTTCTGTTTTTTATTTTAATAAAGAAATAAAGAAATTGAAATGTTTAGCCATTTCCGAGAAAAGTATGTTTTATGGTCTCGATAGGCTGAAAATCACCCCCGAACGCGTTTACATTAAAAAAAAACGTTCAATTTTTGATAGGGCTCATTCTTTTCGTCTTGAACTCTGCTTTTTGAAAATATAAAAACATGGTCATCTTGTAAAAACACCCTTAAAAATTTTAAAAATTGGAGGAAACGATAATTTTTACTTTGTAAACTACATTTTTTTCAAGTTTCTCATACGCAGTTGGCTAGTCTCAATGAGATTGGCCGCCGTGGCCGGAATCGGTCAGAAGAACATCATTATGTTATATTTTTTCCGAATTTATCGATATTTTATTAGGTTTTGATCGATTTCGGAGTTACTTTTATTGATTTTTCTGAATAAAAATCATTTTAAGGTAATTACAGAAAGAAGTGAAATTATTCGTACTCTAATCTTGTTTATTCATTAGTTAAAAATATATTTAAAAAAATTAAGATGATATTTATAAAATTTAGTCATAGTTTTATTAAAAAATCACAAAAAATGTAAAACGTAAAAAAACACCATTTCTTTTGTTTTTTCCTGAAAAATACATTGGTGTAATGAGTTTACAAGATGACCATACAATGTTTATATATTTTCAAAAAGTAGAGTTCAAGACGAAAAGAATGAGCCCTATCTAAAAATTGTACGATTTTTTTTTTATTGTAAACGCCCACTTGAAGTTGGGGGTGATTTTCAGCCTATCGAGACCATAAAACATACCTTTCTCGGAAATGGCTAAACATTTAATTTTTTTTTTATTTACTATATGTATTTCGAAGATTATATTCCCTTAGTTTCATGGAAATCAAAAGATTATTCTAAAAATAAAAAATAAAAAACAGAAACAGTTGAAAACCAGTTGTTTAGTATTATTTTTGAATATATGTTCGACATTAAAACTAATCGGACGATAGTTGCTTATTTCTGCTCTGTCTCCTTTCTTGCGAATAAGAATTATAGAGCTTGTTGCATTGGTATATTTTCAGTGTGTAGGATAAGGTGGAATAAGTTGGTCAGTCTTGTTATTGTTTCTGGCAGTCTTGCTTTCATCATCTCATTGATTATGTTGTCGGTTCCTGGGGCTTTCTCGTTTTTGTGATATTATTGCATATTGAACTTCCCTTTCTGGAATTTGGGGTATTTCTTCAGGGTCACCTTCGATGTCAACGTTTATTTCTTGGGTATTTTCAGATAAATATAGTTTTTGATAATATTCTGTTGCAAGTTCTAGAATAGACTGTCTCCTAGTTTCATGTTTGTTTTTATTATTGGAATCCAAAGTGTTTCCTCTCTTAATTCTTTCAAGGCTTTATTTATGTCTCCTGTGTGGTCCATGTGAGGTTTCATACATTTGTTAGTGGTTCTCTTTGGTTTTGCCCTTGTTTCTGGTCTATACATATCGCTTATCGCTGAGTTATAGTTTTCTTGCGTCTCATTTGTTTGTTTGGAAGTCTCTTTTTTATATGTCATTTTGTGCATTTTTGAGGCTGTTGCAATTAGGTTAAAGTACTTTCGCTAGTTCTTATGTTGTTTTTGAAATAATGTTGCCCTAAACATACGATGGTTTGTATTACAGTTGAGGTTGTTTATTACATCGACATTTTGGAATGATTTAGGTTAGTTGCTCATTATAAAGTCTATCTCGTGGTATCTTTCATCAGGTGACATCCATGTCCATTTTCTGGATGGTTTTTCTTAAAGATACTATTCAATATGGTTACATTGTTTTGGAGGGCCATGTTTATGACTATCTCACCATTTTTATTTCTCTTGCCTATGCCGTACTTTCCTATGATAGATTCTTCACCTTGTTTCCTATTGCCTATTTTTCCATTAAAATAACATTTCTAATAAATTATTGTATATCAGTGAGTTAAGTGATATATAGTCTATTGTACTCGGGCTATGTCGGCGTGTGTGTCGCAGGAGCGCGTGTGCTGCGTGGCGGAGGGCGAGCGCAACTTCCACGTGCTGTACCAGTTGCTGGCCGGCGCCGACGCGCACCTGCTGAGTGAGTGTCGCGGGGTGGCGGGCCGCGGAGTCGCGGGTGGTGCGTGTGGCGCGTGTGTGAGCGGGTGTGGTTGTTGTTGCAGAGCGGCTGAAGCTGCAGCGGTCGTGGGAGCAGTACCGCGTGCTGCGCGGCGGCGCCAGCTGCGCGGAGGGCGGCGCGGGCGGCGCGTGCGGCGAGTGCGCGGCGGCCGGCAGCGCGTCGCCGCGCCGCGCGCCGCCGCCGCCGGGCCCGCGCGCGCCCGCTGCCGACCGCGACCATTTCGCCTTCACCAAGGCCGCCATGGGCGCGCTGGGCTTCAGCGCGGGCCAGTGCGGCGCCGTGCTGCGCCTGCTCGCCTTTCTGCTCAAGCTCGGCAACGTGCAGTTCGAGCCGCAGCACAACATCGACGGCTCCATCGGCACGCGCTTGCAGCACGAGTATGGTGAGACAACGCTCTGATATTATTTATTACATTTGCTTTTATAAGTTCCAATAAAAAATCTTGTAATGATAGCTATTTAAAAATCAAATTTTATGATTGGGTTATTTGACGAATTTATTTTAAGAATTAATATAATACTCGTATATTCTAACTATGGGCTTCTATTCTACTATGATAATATTATTAACATTCATTTGTTACTATTAGTATAATTTCTTTTTATATTTTGCCAGTAGGTATAAACCAATCAATGTTTTAGTTTTTCGGAAATTATGTATATACTTATTTATTTTAAAATCTTGTATAAGACATATGTATTTTTGTTTCTTTTTTAGTAGCTTCAATTTAGTTTCATTTAATATTTTTATTCAATTTAGTTTCACTTATTATTTTTGTAAAACATACTTATTTAGCATCCGTCACTTTTGATAACAAATCCGTTCATTTGCAATAACTTAGGGTGATATAGGTCTAATTGTATTCTTACTGTTTAAGAATTTTTTTTGTATACGACTGTTTTCACCTAAATAAATAAAAAAAAATTAATAATATCCTGATAATTTAATTCAAATCCTCATCTAAATAACGATTCAGACTAACTAAAAAAAAAGTTATAAAAAACAGTCATAAGGACTGCCAACAGAAATGAAAACTTAAAACTATAAACAAACAGTTGTTATTTTTGGATATTCAAATTAATTGTTTGATCTTAAATGAAAATTTGTAATTAAAAACTGTTTACATTTATCTGGTTTTGGCATCTATCGACACTGTAGAGTGTAGCGTTAACACGTCACGTGACCATGTCGATGACGACTTCCATGAATAATTCATTCCCCGTCCAAACCTGTCTATAGAAGTTTTCACTTCAAAAAATCCACTTACCACCTGGACTCGACAAAATGTAAGAATACAGTTTTTTATCGACATTCAATAAAAATACCCTCAGTAATGTGAAGGTCGTTTGTGGTGGATACGGACAGAGCTGCGGGAGGCGTGCGCGCTGGTGGGCGTGGAGGCGGACGCGCTGGTGCTGGCGCTGGGCGTGGCGCGCGACGACGACGCGCCCGCCGACGACGAGTGCAGCTCGTCCGCCGGCTCCGAGGCCGAGGGCGCGGGCGCTGAGTGGGCGCGCGCGCTGCGCGACCGCCTGCTGTGCGCGCTCTACTCGCGCCTCTTCACCTGGCTCGTGAGCGCCGTCAACGACGCGCTCAAGCCGGCCGCCGTGGGCGCGCGCCGCTCGCTCGGCATCCTGGACGTGTACGGCCTGGAGGCACTGGCGCACAACGGCCTCGAGCGGCTGCTCATCAACTACGCGGCCGAGCGCGTGCAGGCCGCCGTCACCGCCGCCACGCTGCGGCGCGAGCAGGACGAGTACGCGCGCGAGGGGCTGGCGTGGGCGCCGCTGCCCTACGCCGAGCACGAGCCTTACGCCGACCTGCTGGACGCCGGGCCCGACAGCGTGCTGGGCGCGCTGCGCGAGTGCTCCGCGCGCGGCGCCAGCGACGCCGCCTTCCTGCAGCGCCTGCAGCGCCGACGCCACCCGCGCCTGCTCGTGCTGCCGCCCGACCGCTTCCAGTCAGTACCGGCGATCACGAGTCTCGTTCCCTTCGCGTCGGAGGTCGTTAGATCGCACTATAACTCCGTCGTTTGCGCCGCAGAGTGGTGCACTTCGGGGGCGCGGTGGTGTACAGCGCGCGCGGCATCGTGCAGAAGAACCGCGACGCGGTATGCCGGCGCTGCGCGGCGGTGCTGGGCGCGGCGCGCGAGCCGCTGCTGGTGGCGCTGTTTGCGGCGGGCGCGGGCGCGGGCGCGGGGTCGCCGCGGCGGCCGTGCGCGCTGGCGTGCCGGCAGCGCGCGCTGGTGGGCGCGCTGGTGCGGCGCCTGCCGGCCGCGCCGCGCCTGGTGCGCTGCCTGCGCGCCGACGCCGCGCTGCGCCCGCACCGCTTCGACGCCGCGCTGCTGCGCCACCAGATACGCACGCAGGGGTACGATTCGCTTCGCCTTACTCGTATCTAGTGTTAAATATAGGGGGTGAAACCGGGACACGGCACCGACGTGCGTGGGTGCCCGTTGGAAATTTTTCAGAAAAAAGGTTTTGAGGAAGGTTTGATATAATATTAGGTAATTAGACGCATTTCAAAGGTGTTTTATAATTTGTATGTCAAAGTAAGTGGAAATTGTTTTTGTTGTAAAGGTTAAATGTGTTGATGGTAAACGAACATTGGTTGAATCTTTATTGCGACTTGTTTTTAGTTTGTTTAATTATTTTGTTTCTGTTCGGTGCGCCGGGGGTTAAACCCGTGCGGGGTGATATTATTTTGTATGATGAGTTGTTACAGTTCACAACAAATTGTCACGAAATTTAAATAGAATGACGAACCGACAACCTTGGAGTGAAGAAATTAAGAAGAATGTCATTTTAGAAGTATGTAATAGACGGCTAATGTGGATATCGTCTCGCTTCTCGACAAAAATCCAAAGACGATATGTGATGATGGGACTAAGATTAACTGGATGAGTTCCATTGCTTTCTTGTTAAGGGGTACAGTTGGGTATAAAAATGGGTAAAAATTGTGCACCCGGTTCTGGACCAGGTATGGGGTGAAACCGTAAAAAGTTAACTTTTGAAAATTATCATTTTTTTATTGCTTAGAATAATGAAAACAATGATCTTGTTGATCAAATATGTAATTAATAAGTTAAAGTAAACGAAGTCTAATAAAGTTATTTTATAATGTTTGAAAAAAATTTTTTAATTTATATTTCTCTTTGTACAATCCAATGTTGTCCTTGGGAGTAGGGTTCCCTCTGGGTTTGTAATGAAAGTTCAGTGATTGGATTGTGGTTAAAAATTTATTTCGTTCAACACCATTTATACAAATCATCTAAACCAAACGATAGCGCGTTATAGCAGACTCCCAATGCCATCTATTACAAATATATGTACAACCTCAATATATTTAAATTTTGAATATAGAATGTGCTTTATACTATGCCAATATTAACTTATATCGAAACTTATACACTCTTTGCGTTCCGGCTTTATCCCACTTTCTCATACATAATAATTATATTATATTCAGGGTGGATTTTTGAGACGGGACAGTAAAGGCAGGGGTACCTTAACTGATATAGTTATTAGAAAATGTTCCTAGGAGACCATCCATAATTTTTTGAGATATTCTGAACTGCATTTACAGATTTTGGAAAAATGTACAACTCGAAATATTCTTTGTTACCAAACTGTCCTATATCTTAATGTGAGGCCAGGTGCAGTTTGAGTACAGAAACGGTAACGGTAAGTCACAAGACCGAGCTTACACGCAGGCATTTTATGCAGCGGGCGTAAAATATATTTTTTTCATTTTTTGTTTGTGTTTGTTAAGCCTATCTCGTGGCATACTGTACTTAGAAGCCAAACTACCTACCTAAGTAGAAAATCATGGTTGTATCGACCAATAAGAATAAAATAAAATTAAATGAACTAAACGTGTATTTTTAAATACGATATCTATACTAGAAAATTATCGTCTGCTACTTTCTCAGTATAAAAACGAGTGAACTTATGTATTTGTGAGAACGGCAGTCATTTTAAACAATTTATTTTGTAGATCACCTAAATGTTACCTATTTACGTTTGTGTTTAAAAATACATGTTTAATTGATTTAACTATTTTTTTTTAGTTTTAATGTTGTACAGGATTATGGATGCAACTATGATTTTCTATTTAAGTAGGTACTATTGCTTCTAGGTACAGTATGCCACGGGACCGGTTTAACAAAAACTGAAAAAAATTTTTACGCCCGCTGTATAAAGTGCCTGCGTACAAGCGTGATTTTGTGACTTACCGTAGTTTCTGTACTCAAACTGCACCTGGCGTCTCATTAAGAAATAAGACCCTTTGGTAACAAACAATATTTCGAGTTGATTAATCGTTTTTCCGTACAAAATGTATGAGAAAAGTATATAAGTAGATTAATTGGTCTTATAGTCTTTTGATCCCTACATGAAATAGGATCGATTGACATAAAAAACAGTTTTTTGATATTTTAGCATTTTTTTTCGCTAACTGTACATTTTTTCCAAAATCTGTGAATGCAGTTCCGGATACCTCAAAAAGTTATGGATGGCCTTCTAGGAACGTTTTCCTGTAACTATAGCCGTTAAGGTACTTGGCCTTACCGTCCCGTCTCAAAAGTCTACCTGTATATTGATGTTACAGAATAATGGACATGGCCTTACTACGGCGCGCGGGCTGGTGCGAGTCGATGTGCGCGCGCGCCGTCCTCGCGCGCTACGGCGTGCTGCGCGCGGGCGCGGGGGCGGGCGCGGGTGCGGCGGCGGGCAGCGCGCCGCCCTCGCCGGCGGAGCGCGACGAGCCGGTGCGCGCGGCGCGGGCGCTGCTGCGCTCGCTGCCTATACCCAGTGCAGAGTTTGCTTACGGCCGCACGAAGGTGTTCATCCGTAGTCCCAGAACGGTAAAATATATTATTGGTATGTAATATATAATATCTAAAGAAATAGGATCTCTTTCATATGTTACTATTCTAATCTCTTATATTATATTGGAATTGTGGCGCCGTCCAATGGATTGGTGTCATGAATAAACATTTTTAACTGCGAAGTTATTAAAAGTTTAATAATTTAATTTGTGAAAAGGAATCTACAAACCTAACGATAAACTTGAAATGTCGCTTCTTTGTATTTTAGGTAAAATGTTGAGTTTTTCTGTGATGCGGTAACAGACAGACAGACAGAAAGACAAAAATTCTAAAAACTATAGATTCGGCCTCAGTATCGATAATAATGTTTATTTCAATAAGATTTTCCAAAAAATATTTAATGTACAGATTTGGCTCAGTTACAATTTTATTATATGTATAGATATGGAGAAATACATTTTGCACTGTTGTGCAGGTGTGGGAGCTGGAGGCGCTGCGCGCGGCGCGCGTGGAGCGCCTCGTGCGCGCCGCGCAGCGCGCCTGGCGCCGACATCGCGCGCGCCGCCGCCGCGCCGCCGCCGCGCGCATCGCCGCCGCCTGGCGCCGCCACCGGGTACGCACTGCACACTGCGCGCGTATGCGCATTTACCGATCTTTGCTTATTCAATAATTGCTCACTTTTATTGCAGGAAAGACAAGCGACGCTAGAAAAAAGAGCGACTCGGCGTCTGCTACACCCGAGTGTAAATATTTTCTAATTTAAGAAATACCTACCCGTACAATCCTTATAATTTAAGACAAAAAATATATATTTTTCAACAATTTATACAGCGGAACACGAGCGTGGAGGAGGCGGAGGCGGCGGACGAGAGCGCGGGCTCGGTACGCGTGCGCGCTGCCCGCGCCATCTGGCGCTGGTGGTGCGCGGTGGCGCGGCGGCGCTACCTGGCGGCGCTGTGGGCACGGCTGCCGGCGCGCCACCGCTCGCCCGCCTGCGCCGCCTGGCCTCCCGTGCCGCAGCCCCGCCTGCTGGCGCGCGCCGACGCGCTGCTGCGCCGCCTGCACCACCGCTGGCGCTGCCAGCTCTACCGCCGCGCCTTTGACCAGACTGCGCGCAACCGCATGCGCGAGAAGGTTACCGCCAGCGTGCTGTTCAAGGAGCGCAAGCTGAACTACGCGCGCAGCGTGGCACACCCCTTCGTGGGCGACTACGTGCGGCTGCGCGCGTCGGCGGCGTGGCGGCGCGGGCTGGGCGCGGCCGCCGCCGACCGCTACGTGGTGTTCGCGGACGTGGTGGGCAAGGTGGCGCGCTCCAGCGGCCGCGTGTCGCGCTGCCTGGCCGTGGTGTCCACGGGCGCGCTGCTGCTGCTAGAGGCGCGCTCGCTGCGCCTCAAGCGCCGCGTGCCCGCGCACTGCGTGTACCGCCTGTCGCTGTCGCCCTACGCCGACGACCTGCTGGTGGTGCACGTGCGCGCGTGCAGCGCGCTCGAGAGCTCGGCCGAGGAGCTGTCGCAGTGCTCGTCGCGCGAGCCGCTGGACGCACCCGGCTGCCTGTTCGGCGGCGAGGGCGCCTGGCGGCGGCGCGGTGACGTGCTGCTGCGCACCTGCCACGTGCTCGAGCTCGCTACCAAGCTGTTCCTCGTGGTGCAGAACGCCGTGGGCGCGCCGCCCCACGTCAACGTCGCCACCGAGTGAGTAGCCCGCTAGACTAGAGTGCGATGGGGAGGGGGAGGAGGCGGTGGGGAGCGAGTGCTAACGTGGGCGTGCGCGTTGCCGGCAGGTTCGAGGCCAACTTCGGGCAGCAGATGGTGACGGTGTCGTTCCATGCGGTGGGCGGCGTGGCGGGCGCGGGCGCGGCGGTCGGCGCGGCGGGCGAGGGTGGCGCGCGCCTGCTGCGGCGCGGCAGCCGCATGGACGTGCTGCTGTAGCCGGGCCGCCGCCGCCTACGCCTTATGACACGGCGGCAGCAACGGCACTACTAGAGTAATTTTATTCCTTTGCATCACCTTCAATTATTTGATGCAATTTTTTCTGAAATTAGTAGTTTCTCTTCTATAAGATATTGCAGTATTAGATAGTAATAATTTCTTGTGCCGATGTATTTTATATTCGACGAACCGCAGCCACGAACGGACTCGCCGACCAAAGACTGACGTGTACGTGTGAGCGAGCGCTACCGGCTCCGCGCAGCGTCTCGTCCGCCTTCTTATGACACGTGTTCTCTTTCTCTCCGATGGGCATTTCGTTGTTCAAGGCCTAAAATCATCGGAAATTATAAAACCGCCAATCCTAAGTCTGAATTTACGTGTAGCGACTTATATCTACAGTTTAGTGTTCCGTTAGCCCACAGTGCCAACTCGCCGCGCCGCGAGGGCGACGGGGCGCGCCCGACGGCCTAGGTTAAGAGTTGCCAATTTTAACACGATGTATCGAAGCGTTTTTATTTTACACAACACTGAGTCGCCGAGACGTCGTTATATTTTGTGTGTTGTTTGTTTTACGGTTTAAATGTAAGCGGATTGTTGAGTAGCGCACGAGCGAGCGCGAGCGCGCCTCCGCGAGGCTGCTCCCTATTTGTTATCGCACTATTGCGGCTCCGTTGCACGTGACACTCGGCGAGGTCAATATTGTACTTTACGCCGGACCTGCTCACACCTACATATGTATATACTGATTGTGAAATGCAAACAAATGTTAACTCACAGGCCTAAATGTGGAGTATTGAATGAATCAGATCCGTCATGCTGCGCCCTGAGCGCGCGCGCCGCGGCGGAGCGAGAGCGGGGTGCTCACTACACATAGTTACGTTACGAATTCTGTATGTTTTAGTCATAAAATTGTGTCTTATTCAGATTAAGGAACGTTCTGAGCCGCAATGCGCGCGCTCGTGGCGGTCGTGGCGGTCACTGCTACGGATCCGCGATGTCTCATTACTAATGTTTCTATCTGTAGGATTTATGCAATCCTATCGTCGTGCTCAAAACCTTATACCGAATTATAATTCGGTGGCGTGTACAGTGTTTTGAGAAAATGTTTTCATAACGTTATACTTATCGCTCAAATTTCACGAAAAATGAAGTATTTAGTCTGAATGAATCCTTTATCTAGTGTGGCAGCAGTCCTCGTGCGGAACGCGCTCGAGCCTGAGCTCTGTTAGAGTCTATTGCCGCGAGTGCGCGGGCGCGGGCGGGGAGCCTCGGGCCGTGGGGCGGGGAGCCACGGGCCGCGCGCGGGGAAGCCCCGGGCGCGAGGCGGGGAGCCACGGCCGCGCCGGCGCACGCGCGGATGTTGTTAAGACGAACTATGTAAAATGCATGTTACGTTTTCAACGATTACTTATTATGAAAATGTTTTATCGTTTTTAATAAAATTTAAGAAAGTTTTTACTTTGTAATTTTTTTTTTTTAATTACATCCTACCCTCGTCATATCCTTTTTCGCTTCATATCGATTGTTATTATCGAACACACTTACGCACTTATATTAGCACGACCTGCGGCGTCACTGCACCACCAAGCAGTAGAACAAGTTCCGTTAAGCCATTATTCGCAAATTTTGCGACTAAATTTTACAATTTGAATGAATTACTTCATTCTGAGTCTATCTCAAACTTCCTCCGATTATAGGCCGTGTTATTTGACGACTTGCAGGTTCAATTAATCGAACAATAAGAATTTTTCAATCAGTGTGTAAGGATGGATTGAATGATTCGGATTTCTGAATTATTTTCGTTGAATTGCCTGTGCCCAAGGCGAATGACTGGAAGGGGACGTACAGTTTAAAAAATTGTTCAATTAATCTAATGACAACAATATCCAATTCTTTATAGTGCTATTCTATCGTTGAGTTGCCGCGCTGAGGCCTACATTTTACAATAATAGAAATAGAAAAAAAAATAAAGTTTTCACACAGCACTGTGATAGCATTAAAAGCATATCCCATAAGTAACATTAAAACTCGGTGGACGAACACGATTAACCCTAAAATTAAACGCTGGTCTTTATTGACCACTTTTGGTATTCTATAACATATAGTAGTAACTAGACTACAGTAGCGACTCACTCTCGCTTCGCTCGGGTTCATCCATCCGTATTTATTATTATTAGTATTATATAGTAATAACAAGATTTTATTATTAGATAGTAATAACAAGATAAAAAACATTGGCGAAAGTAATATCGAAGCTGTAATATCTAATGTTGAAATTGAACTATTCGCCTCAGCCGAAAGACATCTCCAGGAAAGTTTCCGAGCATACTTGAATTGAAACAGCCTCCTGAAATTGAATGAAGAACATTATTATATGTTGGGACATTAACACACAGCACCATCTAGTTCCATGCTAAGCTACGAGGCTTGTGTTATGGATACCAGATAGTTGATAAACTTTAAATAAATACCTATCTATACATATTAAAAATTGTAACTAAGCCGAATCTGTACATTAAATATTTTTTGGAAAATCTTATTGAAATAAACATTATTATTTATTATCGATACAGAGGCCGAATCTATAGTTTTTAGAATTTTTGTCTGTCTGTCTGTTACCGCATCACAGAAAAACCACTGGAGGGATTTTAATCAAATTTGGTATGGTAATAGCTGGTTATCCGGGTCAACACATAGGATACTTTTTAGCGCGGGAAAATATATCATTTCTGAGAAAAAATACAAAAACTGTATTGTAAGAGTATACTACTCGTAATATGTAAAACCTAATGATTTGGTTTTTGGTCATCTGAACGCGGTCGGAGCCGCGGGCAATGCTAGTATATTATAAATATAAACATTGGCTAGAGTACAAACATTCGTGCTCATCACACAAATGAAGGCCCCCCCAGCGGGACTCGAACCCGTGACCGCTGGCACAGCAAGTAGGGTCACTACAAACTGAGCCAAACGTGTCGTCAAAACAACATTGTGGCGACTCACCAAGTCGCCGGTCACTTCTTAGGCCTGACTATGACCCCCCCCAACGTGCGTTCACCTTGTCGTGGTGGGGGGGCTCAGTAGTGCCCGGCAATCCAACCGGGCGCGAAGCTAAGAAACGCACAGGGAGGTTGCCCACTTCGGTGGGCGGTGGGTGGTGGCCCTCTTCGGAGGGCGGTGTGCCATGCGGGTTGCTCCTGGTACTTCTCTGATAGCAGAGTGGACTGTGGAGCAACCCCATGGTTGTGGTGGTCTGCTTCGGCAGACCTGCCGTCGGGGCGTCGTAGTTGAATGCGTAAGCGATCCTGCGACGCCCCATTAAGACGGGGGAAGGTTTTGTTGGGTTTTAGTGGGTAGTACTGGCCTGACTATGACATCGCTCGCTTTTAGCCAATATGGATTCGTAAACGTTTTTATTAGAATCATTTACATGCAACAAATTTTGTGATTCCTCGATGTTCGATCAAATCGTACCAAGGTTACTTTTAAAAGGCACTAGGGTCTAGATCTCGACAATAGAACTGCAGTAAAAGAATTTTCGAATCCTCGTCGTTTGATCCTGCTGTATTCTCACTACTTATATCAAGTCCCCATGAACTTATTTCGCCAGTTCTCAGGACTGCGGCATTTTCTTTTCGTAGTTAGTAGAGTTATGACGTTCAGTAAATAATTATAATAATTTAATGGTAAATATTTTCAATTGGATTATCGAACTTTGCTTACTTCTAAAATACGGGGGGGGGGGGGGTGTTAGACCGGGGCGCCAGGTTATACAGGGCGCCGCGCGCGCTAGCTCAACTTAACCATTTAATTTGAATACTTATTTTTATCGATCTAGTATAAGAAAACTAGACTCAGCGTTTTATCGTATCTCTCACTGAATAATTCTATATACACGTTTTTTTAATTGTAATGAAATAAGTATACCTAAAAGGGCGCCAAAGGCATGACTCGCCCGGGGCGCCCAGATGGCTAAAGCCATGGATGGGTTCCGGAATAAAAAATATCCTATGTCCTTCCTAGGATCTCAAACTTTCTTCTTACCCCTAAATTGGGTTCAGTAGTTTTTGAACAAATGGATGGAACATGGAAGAAAATTACCTTAAATATTGAAGTTATCAAGTTTTATTCAAAGGAAACATTTATTTTAAAAATATTAGGAACTAGATGGCGCAAGTATCACTATGGGCTAGCTATTTGTAGATATGCGAATGCCATTGAAATGTGCATTTTACTAATTATAGTGTACCTACTAGCAGAACCCGCGGCTTCGCTCGCGCTAAAACTACAAAAAAATCTAGGAGTAGTTTCATACAAACTTTCATCCTATTTTACCCCCTTATAGGTTGAATTTCTAAAAATGCTGAAACACGTAATTATTTCATTTTATTGAAGACCATTAATACCAAGTTTCAAGTAATTCTGATCATAAATATCGTTTTGGATTGTATTATAACGTTAATAATGTTTTCCCGAGGGAGTTTGATAATCTCCCACGGTAAGTATGTTACTCTCCAGCCCTCTAACTATCTCTACACAAAAAATCACGTTAATCCGTCACTCGGTTTGACGTGAAAGAAAGACAAACAAACGAACCCACTTTCACATTTATAATAGTAAGTATAGATGTATGGATTACTGCAATTTGCAAATCACACTTACTTACGAGAGAAACATTTTAAAGCACTTTTGTTTAAAATTGGCTTTGCTTAAACTCTACTGTAATTATCGTCTCAAAAAGCATAATTACCTAATAGGCACCAAAATGATTTAATCATACATTTATCAGTTTATCGGATATCGTATATCGGATATATACTGGACATTTCATAAAAATATTTTCGTTTAGTATCGGTTTGTGTTTTACGTTGTGACGTACATACGAGAGTAGGTCTAAAAGTTCGTGGAATGGAGAGGTTTTAAATAAAATGAAGCAATAAATCTATATTTCCTTTTCAATATAATCACCCTTAAGCTGAATACATTTATCTATACACAAGCATTGCCCGCAGCTCCGCCCGCGTTCTAATGACCAAAAACCAAATTCTTAGGTTTTACATATTACGACTGGTATATACTCTCACATTGCAGTTTTTGTAGTTTTTCTGAGAAATGAGACATATTTCCGCGGTAAAAAGTATTCTATGAGTTGCCCCGGATAACCAGCTATTACCATACCAAATTTAATCAGAATCCCTCCATTGGTTTTTCTGTGATGCGGTAACAGACAGACGAACAAAAATTCAAAAAACTATATTATTATGTTAGCGATAATAATGTGTATTTCAATAAGATTTTCCAAAAAATATTTAAAGCATAGATACGGCTTAATTAAATTTTGATGTATTTATAGATGTAACTAATTTATAAAGCCAAAAAGATTGTTTTTTTGATAATTTGATCACGGGCGGGGCCGCGGGTAATTTAGTAGTAATTCTAATAAAATCATAGATAGGTCAAATTTGTACATTCAATTTTTTGGAATTAAAACTACGTATTTTAAATGTAAGTTGCCCCGGATAATCAGCCATACCAAATTTCATCAAAATCCGTCCAGTAGTTTTTCTGTGATGCGGTAACAGACAGACAGACAAAAATACTACGTGGCCTTAGACGCCCCTGCCCGCGACCAGACTGCAGTGGGTAAATGTACGTAATATAGGTCATAAATAAAACAGACTCTCACACCAAATTTTTTATTCTACATACAACAAAAATGTATTATATAAATCTATACAAGAAATGTTTCAAATCCATTTATTTAAAACGAGGGTATTTTGTTGTATGCCTACAGTTTGTTCCTTTTAGGCCAGTAAAAATAGAATTTAACTATGCACTAAATTTGCAATCCATTTTTTTTTCTTTTATAAGATTTAGGATCACTTACTCAGTATAAAATCACAAAATGCTGACAGATTCCGATAGAGCTTCAGGCGCCATCTTGAAAAAACGTTTTTGGCCGATACCTCGGCAACTATGCACTTTAAGGCAAAAATCATTAAGACCATTTTTGTAGCGAATAAAATTTCGCATCTTTAGTTTTCTGTTATTTTTTTTTGTAAAACTTACCGTTTACGACTTATGGCCCATTTATTGAACCGCATTTTATTGATTAAACCAATATTATTTTAAAAGTTATTGGCCGAGATAGAAAAACCGGTACTTATTTCTAATACCATAATGATGCAGTTTCCTGATCAGCGTCTCACGATGTACACAATCAAAGGCCTTGGATAAGTCACAGAATATCCCAAGTGCATCTTGTGACCTTTCCCAAGCCCCAAAAATATTTTTCATTAGCTCAGCACTAGCATCTGCCGTGGAGCGGCCTTTCGTAAATCCAAATTGTTTCTTATGGAGTAGTATATGTGCATTGAAATGCGTTAACATTTGCGCGAGTATGATTTTCTCAAAAATTTAACTAAACGTTCTACGATTACGAACGTTAACGATCCTAAAACTTATAAAAAAATAATTAGATCGGAAACTTAGTGCAAAATTGACCAAAAGACACGTCTAATTTTGTTTGTATTCCAGACTAGAGATAGTAGGAGGCGTACCTACAGATCGCAATATTCACCTTTAGGTATTACTACAGAAATATCACGCCAACAATTGTCGTATCTAACTAAACGGAACGAAACACCCCGAGACTTCACGTCGCGCGTCGCAGGGCATGTCCCAGGTACATTTAACATACATACATTTGCTGTTGTTTAATTATAGAAAACTTGATGAACTAAGGTTCATTGATAGGTATCTATATATTTTATGTAGGTAATTCGCGCGTGCATCATTAAATCAAAAATATCCAACCGTTTTTTTTGTCAAAAATAATATTTAAATATTTATTTAGCAAATGTACTCCTGATGACCAGGGCTTGGAGGCAATACATATTATATAGTTCTAGTTACAAGTCAACACATCATTCAGTCTTCTCGTTACACTCAGCTCATACAAAACACGACAAGCACTGAACGCCAGCCGCGCGCCCTCGGTCGGGCGACCCCGCGCGACCCCGCGTCACCGCTGCTTGTCATATTCAGATATACCTAATACAAAGCATTTATAACACAAACATTATATACTCTCTCTTAACCTATCTCATTAATGGCAGCACAGATATGTGTATGGGGGTTAGGGAGAAGGTTTATGTGAAGCTTTGCACAGGCTTAGCGTGACCGCGCCTTGCGAACTATCAGACAATAAATAGCTCTCTGTAATATTTTATATCAGTAGAGAAAATACTTAATACAGGAATAGGGTCTTGGACTGTAGTATTATAATGATGTGATGTTTTATATAGCGGTAGTTTTTGGGGCTAGAATTCATTATTAAAAGGAATAATTAAATAAAATCATGAGTTTTCTTTATTTTTAACATAATAATTTTTATAATATCAAGATTACGTGACTACAAACGCCAATTACGGTGCGTGACGTCACTTATCATTGTCACTAGTGTCTAGTATAGTATTATATTATGATCTGTTTGTTGTGTATACAGTGTAGTTTCGAAACCTCAATTCTCTGTAAACTCAAAGTTTTAATCCTTTAGGTAAAGGAATATTTAAATTTACTTACGTTGTTGGTCAATAACATAGCGAACAAAGTTCAAGCTGACAACTCAAATTTACCACGTATCGATGTCAAGATGGTGGCGAAATTTATCGCTGAAACCCTGATTTTATCTCGGCGGAATTCAGAAATGTAAAAACTGTCATATAAGTAGGTACTATTAGATAGATTAAAAGGTTTAAAAACCTGAATAGTCTTAACATAATCCAGGGAACCTAAATAATCTCTAAGCATAACATCATAACAAAATACAGATTAATAGCATACCTACAGAAGTGACCAGTGTCGCGTCTGGCAATATGTAAGTATAGTTCAGTGAATATTTTGTACTGTAATGCATACTTACATCAAAATTATCTTCACAGACGAAATCATTGATTTTATGGATTGATTTTTCTAATCTCGCCTTGCCAGATTCATCGACTTTATTCGCATATTTTTATCATGCGGCACAGGTATAAACATTTCTCAGTTGTCTTATTGGTATTATTTTTACATAAGGGCACTGAACAATACTGATAATACTTATTGCACTCATTTTCGATATTTTGTTCCCTTTTCAATATATAATTAATATTTTATTTAATAATTAATCGATCGAGCCCACTGATTACGGAATATAATCGAGCCCTTTACAGTCTACATACGCTCTATATGATAAGTGACGTCACGCTCGACTATTGTTAAAAGAGTATGGTTTTAGCGCCAAATTCAAACGCAAAAATAATTTTCAATTTTTTTACATAATAATACAGTAATTTCTGCGGGAAAATATTTTTAGCAGCATATTATTTATGTAAACAATAGACTAAGACACTTTTCATAAAACAGTCCAAGACCCTATTGCATGTTATCGCAATCTTTAATAAAAATTTTTTTTTAATAATATTGTTCGGTCCAAAAGTTGTTACCGAACACCTAAGCAATAATGCTTAGGCGATGTGTTATAAATGCATAGAAATCGGACAGCAATCAAATCAGCTGCATTTATTATAATTATACCATCAATGACCTTTACAACGATCTTAAACTGTATTTTTTATAGCAAGAATTTAGTGGTAGGTCGCGTCTCCTACAAATATTTTTTTGTTGTTTTCTTGCAGTTTTATAAAGCGGTATAGTCTTTGGTGGCGGTCACGTTAAAGCGCGCGAAGATTTTTTTAATATAGGTACATACATGAAATTTTCATAGAAATAAAAAAGTAGTTTCGTTGTTTCTATAGACTTATACAATTTTGAAAGAATATCACGAAGACATCTAAAAAAATATTAGTATAGAAAGCTCCCAAGATTGGAGATAACGTGTTGTCGACGCTCTAAGTTCTAACTTACGAATCTAAACACCGAATGAGTACAAGTGGCTACGACACTATGTAGTGCTACCACACTCACAGCCCACAGGCGTCAACACATCCGTTACCTGCGAGTACTTATACTACACCATAATGAAATCAATTTATACGAGTAAATAACTTTCACTCAAATCTATAAATTCTGTTCGAAAAGAGAAGATGACGAGTCGTTAAAATAATGTAATATCACAAACAAATAGATACACTCGTCACTCCGGTGAAGTCCCAGTCACTGGCCAGTACAAGGTCATTCTCACACGTAGTACTCGTTGAGATCAATCATACGACTAGGAATTTATATGCACTATTAAACAAAGAGAACAACGAGAAGCGTCGCCAGAGCGGCGGCGGCGGCGGCGGGAGTGCGCAGACTGAAATTATATAGTATATTTGTATACTAATTAGGATTAAGTACTATTTTATATGCATTACAAATACGAGGGTCCCATTCAGTGAAGGTGTAGACTTGAAGATATCTACATTATATCTGAATATATTTTTTCATTATATAATTAGTGTCACGAAAGGTGCGACTGCCTTACGACGGTGCAGGTGTTGTATGTAGTTTAGATTTTTATAAGTTAGGCCAATCAAGAATATTTGTAATTTTAGGCCTTATGTTTGTTAGGTATCCATGTGAAAACTTTAGAATGGAGAGAAAAAAGAGCGACAGTGCGCGAGCTCTCACGAGCCTGCGACAGCGGCGCACGCCGCGCGCTGGCGGCACCGCGGCGGGCGCCAATGTTACTTCTACATGTTATACAGTCCTCGAGGCGTAAGCTCAGCTTCGCATTTGTGTGAGTGATAGCCAAAAGTAAGGTTAGTCAAAAAATCACATAAAAATAAAAACAATATTTTATCAGAAGGAAATGCTGACATTTTAATGATTAAATAAAAGCAGTCATGAGGACTGCAGACAGAAGTGAAAACTTAAAACTATGAACAAACAGTTGTTATTTTCGGATATTCAAATTAATTGTTTGATCTTAAATTAAAATTTGTAAATTAAAACTGTTTACATCTATCTGGTTTTGACATTTATCGGCACTCCGAGTGTTAGCGTTAACATATTCGTTTAATTTGCACAAAATTTCTTTCGTTTGGCTGCTTAATGGTTTTCATGTAGTCAATTTAGTTAGAGTAGAAGCCATTTCACTAATGATAATAATAATAATATAATAATTCAAACACAACAACAAAATAATTTTATAAGTCAAGCTGACACGCAAGGGACGCGCCCCGACTCAGGCCGCGCTTCAAAACCAGTATATACGGGTTTAAACCATGCGCGGGACGCGCTACGTCCCGAGCCGCACCTCTCCGTACACTCTGTGTGAACACTCACACAAATGCAAAGCTGAGCTTAAGGCGGCAGGACTGTACAATATTTAAAATTAAACTTCAAACTCATTTAATTCAGTTACAATTTGTTTACAGTTTCCGCATACGCACAAAAATACATGGAAATAAAATGCAGTTCTAAATATATGTTGGAAACAGCAATAAAATGTGCAATGTTCAGTGCGGCGACACGACAGCGACGCGGCGGCGGCACGACAGCGACGCGATGGCGCCTCACTTGATGGTGCAGGCGAAGTGCGCGCGCAGCTGGCGCAGCGGCGACGCCTCCGCCTCGCTCTGCAACACACACATCACGTCTCACGAGCAACAATTTATCTTCAATATTAACATGTTATAACTTTACACAGTGATGAATGATAAAAGAATTAGTTAACACAAAAGTGCCGCTATATTTGAACTGATAGGCAAAATATGTATTGATTATAAGATAAAAGAAGTAAAGCTTAAATCAAGTAACCATCCTACGACAAACGACAGGCTTCCCCGTGTACCTTTATATGAGCGTTGTGCAGAGCGCTGGCCGCATTGTCGTTCTCCGCGTCGCCCGCCGCCGCCGCCGGAGCGCTACCCGCCGCCTCCGCTGCAAAGTCGACAGGTTATTGTAATAAGATATGTATATGTACTCGTACGTCGTAACAAAGCTCACAGTGCTAGCGAGTGCACACTCACCACACAGCGCCGGGTTGCCGTTGTCGTCGCGCTCCGAGCGCTCGCCACCGCTCTCCCAGCGCCACGACGAGCCTGCGCACACAACACGTTATGTTACACTTTATGAAGTCGTCGGCATCATCGTGCGTTGTGGGAGATTGCTCCTGTACCGTAGAAGCAATCCCCAGTTTGTTGCGGTCTACCACGACGGTGATTGCGCCGGGGGAGGTTCCGTTGGGTGTAAGTGGGTAGTGCTAGGTATTTAGCCGGTGAGTCTGCCCGTGGGCCGTGAGCACCTGTATGCGAGGACGAGCACGTACTGTCGGAGGGGTCGGAGCGGTCGGAGCGGGCGGCGCGGGGCGCGCGGGCGGCGGGCGGCGGCGGCGACGCGGACGAGTCCAACTCCAGCGAAGAGCACTCCGAGCCCGAGCCCGACGAGCCCTGCTCCATCTCCACCTCCTCCTCCGCCTCGTCCTCCTCCTCGGTTTTGTCCTTGGACGCGCTCCTCTGCAAGTACACGGGAAACTGTTATACACTCGCGCAGACACATCGCGCGCTCCGCTCAATGCCATTGTTGAAACAATAGTACCTATATACCGACCTGTCTAAAGTGTGTATTGAATAGCCCTCCGCGTTTTGAACTTGTATCATCGCTGGAGCTCGTTTCGTCTGTAAATATTTTACAAGTTGCTTTAAAAAGAACATATGTACACGTGTGTGTGTGTGTATGTGTGCGTGCTTGCGTGTGTATGTGTGTTTGTGTGTGTGAGCGCGCGTGTGCGTGTGTATGTGTGTGAGCGCATGCGTGCGTGTGTGTGTGTGCGCGTGCGTGTGTGTGTGTGCGCGTGCGTGTGTGTAGTGTGTCGGGCACCTTTAGCGTGCGCGTGCAGCTTGTGGCGCAGCAGCGGGTAGAAGCCCTGCGCCGTGGCGTTGTGCGGCTCGTACTGCAAGATCAACTGGCAGTATTTCAGCGCCTCCGCATACTGACGCCGCATTATCGCTGACAGGAACTGCCACAATCAATCATTTATACGTTAGAGTACGAGAAATGACAAATATGAAGTACAAAATTATTGTGGCACTCGGAGACTGCCGCGGTAAAGCTATTGCATAGCATTTTTTATCAACTTATGCAATTATAATTATTTTATTAGTATTTCACGCCATCTAGTTCCATGGTAAGCTACGAGGCCTGTGTTATGGATACCAGATAGTTGATACACTACACATATATAACTTTAAATACATACATATTATAAATATAAACACCCATGACTGGAGTACAAACATTCGACAACACACAAATGAATGCCCCCACCGGGACTTGAACCCGCGACCGCTGGCACAGAAAATAGGGTCACTACAAACTGAGCCAAGCGTGTCGTCAAACGTGACTTAAAACATAAATAAATATCAAACTACTATTTTGTTTTGTTGCGCCATCTAGTGATCATATTCTTATAGCTGTGAATAAAAGTAGCGTAAGACAGCTAGTTCGTAGTTTTTATACAAGATGGCACTAGCTCATAAAAATAAACTTTCTCACAAACAGCTGATTACGGTAGTTTTCCAATACAACCAATGCCACCTAAAGGCGGGTTGCTGAACTAAAGAGACAAGCGTGATATTTCAAAAAGTCATTAAAAGTTCTGGTATTTATCGATAGATGGAACTATCACCGCTATGCCGGTCTGAGTGGAGGGGGGTGTCAGGTTTTTTTCGTTACGGAATTTCTGGATTCGGTCCCCACGCTCAAAGCCCGCGATAGAAGCTATGCAATAGCTTAAAAACTCTTTCACTAATATAATAAATAATTATTAATAATAAATAACTCGTACTAATATCTGCAATAATAATTGTACTGGAAAATCTTGTCCTACCGTTAAAATGTTTGCATCTCCCATTCGTGATAGAATGGAAACAGTGGCAGCGCTTACCTCAGCCAGGAACTCGCTGGGCGCGGAGGAGGCGTCGGCGCCGTCAGAGCAGTCAGGGCTGGTGGAGTACTTGCTGGCCGCCATGCCGCCGGCGGCGCGCAGCAGACGCAGCGCGGCGTGCGACGCGGTGTCTAGCGCGGCACGCGGCACGGGCGCGAGCCAGGCACCCGGCCGGCACGGGGGCGGGCGCGGGGGCGCGCGCGGCGCCGGCCGGTACAGCCGCGAGTTCGGCACGGGCCGAGTGAACCTGCGTCGCCGCTTCTGGCTCGCGTTCGCTCGCAGATGTGTGTTTTGCTGGCTTTTTTGTGCAGTACTAGGATACCTGTTTAGTAGTATAATATATGTATTGTGAATTATTAAAAATCCGGGGGCTCTGATGATACATTTATCGCGATCTACACTCACAGGCGAGGGTTGGGCGTGTACAGGCGAGGTAGGCGCTGCGTGCGGCGGGCACGGGCGTGTTGTGGAGCGCCGAGATCTATTACATCGGTCTCCGCTTCGACCGCTTGTGTTCTATAATCAAATTATATTATACTAGCATTGCCCGCGGCTCCGCCCGCGTTTAGATGACCAAAACCCAAATTCTTAGGTTGTACATATAATGGCCTAAGACCCTGTGAACGCCAGACCTTCGTCATTTTATAAAATCTGAAAGTTTGTCAGCGCATGCTCCCAACACAGATAAGAACGATGGACCATTATGAAGTTCAGGTTATGGTGGCTTTGGCAGGTACACGGTACTAAAGGTGTGTAAAATACCGATCTAAATTCGTCAAATAATAAACTGTGATTTTTTGGTATTACCTTCAGAATATTATTAAAAATCACGTCATTCAATGCCAGACACTTAACATCGTGGCAAACCCTTGCCAGACACCCTTTTTATGAAATCATAATTCTACTTACGTTATAGTATAAAAGCTGATTTTTATATATAATAGTTGGGTAATAATTAGATGATTTATAAGACTGCTAGCATAGCATTTATTACACACCATCAAAAATAAAGTCAATTCTTAGCGCTTTAAATTTGGTGACCATTTGCAACATTTTCTTAGAAATGCCTCCCAACTAGTGTTGCCCAAACGCAAGAACAAGACGAGACTTAGCCAGTCTTGGTCTTGGTCTTGCGCCAATACACCTGGTCTTGGTCTTGGTCTTGCGCTCCCAGTCTTGGTCTTGGTCTTGCAGCAAGAGTCTTGCAAGTCTTGCAATTACCTATTAGTCTATTACTATTTATTAAAGTTTACTTTAAATCCTAGAAAAACGTATTAGAATTGGAACATTGTGAGCTTGAATGAATATAGCCATAGTAAAGATCAAGCAGATTAATAAATAACTGAAGATTTGATAAGAAATTCGAAAAATCAACTGACCTATATGTCGTTTTCCATGGAAGTAACTGTTTCTTAATAAACATTTATGATTTATAAGCTTACATTTGCTAAAACATGTAAAAAAACAAATTAATTACAATAACTTGACTGTATTTTAAAGAACAATACTTATCTGTCTAAAAAGAGATTGAACCCTCAACTTATAAGAAATTTAATAAAAGAGTTTTACGATTTATCATTTATTTGAATAAAAAATAAAATACAACACAAATCAACAGCTTTATCATTAGGTTATGATACTTTATATCAATTTTTTTGACCAAGAATTAATACAAAGTAACCATCTGGCTGACTCATCACTTAACCTATTTCTATGTTTTCTAATTACTAATGATGCTTTAGAAAATAACCTCTCAGCAGGTACTGAAGTTGCAGGTATTGAGAGAAAATTACGGGCCATTTTTGATAAAATCGGATACTCTGTCTCATGCGTCCTCCACCAATCTAAAATGTCTTCCGAGCTGGCAGTTCTTGGTTTTCTCAGGTACTCCTCCAACTCGTCTATCACTAAGCCTTGAAGACAAGATCCAGATGACGTCGAGGGACATTCATAGAGTTTATCAAAGTCTATTACGTCTTCATCTTCATCACATACTTCATTTTTTTTTCTGGTAATTCCAGAGATTTGTTCAGTGAGTGTAGACTTTTATATTCTTCATAAAGTTCCTTGAACTTGCGCAGACTTTCTGTTTTAAGTTGCTTCCCCCACATTGTCAGGTCAAAAGTCTGAGCCTTATGCCTTGGGTCTAAAATTAAAGAAGTACAATAAATCCAGTTGCTCTTCTTGTAATGTTTAAGCATTTTGTCTCGAGCTGCTTGGAAAGCTAGAATGAGCCTTTCATCCACTTCAGATCGATTAGGTTTCTCATCTAACTGTTTTACCATGGATTCAATTTTATCTAGCAAGAGATTGAATGATACAATGACTAGCGGTAATGTAACATATTTGTCTCCACCAAGTTTTGTACTTAAAAGTTTAAAGTTTATTAGAAATTTATGTAATTTTTCGAGTACCTGCCATTCATTAGCTGTGATTTGAAAATCATTTAATTCGGTGACAGAACTGCACAATATGTCAATGCCCGCTCTCACTTTTAAACCAAATCCAATCATATCATGTGTGGAATTCCATCTCGTTGGACAGTCAAGAATGGCATTTAGATTTGATGGCACGCCAGCTGCTTCACAAGCAGACTGAAACTTCTTCTTGACTATCTCACTTCTTTTTATTTTACTGGAAATACTGCGTAACTTTGTTACAGATGTACGCGAGTCAGCAATATTTGGTGCAGATTCTTCATCTTCCTCATCCTCAGTTTCGTCTGCATAGTCTTCGTACTGCTGATCTTGCGCGTTAGTGTCAGACTCACAGTGTAATGCTAAGGTCTTTAATAAATCTTGTACACCAAGGTTTAAAATGTGAGCAAAGCACCGGAAATGTTGATTGTCTGAATCAAAGTGTGGCGGCAGCTGTTTGCCCAGTTCATACATAAATTTGGTATTTGCAGTTGCGTTGTCGACCGTGATACCTTGTATTTTATCAATTATGCCATATTCCAATAAACATTCATGGAAAATCGTTGCAATATCTTCCCCAGTATGTCGACCGCGTGATGGTATAAAATCAAGAACTACAGATTGATACTTCCATTCGTTGTCTATATAATGAATAGTAACCCCGTAGTAACTCCTACCAGCAATTGACGTCCACCCATCAATGGTAAAAGACATTTTAGATGATAATTGTTGAAGTCGTTCCTTGAGATTCAATTGGAGCTCTTCAAATCGCTCTTTGACTTTCCTTCTAAGTGTAGACCTTTTAGGAAACACCATATTAGGGCAAATACGTCGAAAATATACTTGTGTAGCTTCGTCATCGAAAAATGAGAAGGGAAGATATTTTTTCACCACCCAATCAACTGTAGCTGTCGTGATGTTGTCACTGCTGTTTTCCGACTTAAACAAAACAATAAATCTTGTATTATTATTTAAAACATACTAGGTTTGAGCGTATAAGAGGAGGAGGTTTGTTGTTGTTAAATCGAGAAAATCGTTAAATTGATATTTGTTATATTAAGGTTGCACTGTACTGTAATTTACCAAAATAAAGTACTTAGTTGTTACTGGCCGATTAAATGAAAATATGGGTGTTTATAAAAAATATTTAAGACGATAATTACATACTTAATATGTCGCACCCCTAGATGAAAACACCACTAACTCAAAAATACACTGATAGAAGGATTTTTTTGTACCTAATAAGATTTGTTACCAGTTAAGAAATGATTTGTTAGAGAGAAGACTCCTAATAAATATTTATTAGCAGTTAATAAATCATTTTTTACTGCCAACAAAATATTTATTAGTATGTAATAAATGATTTATTGACATATAAAAAATAATTTATTAATATTCAAAAAATCCCTTGAACATTACGTTCATTGTTCTAATTATTAAAATTACAGAGAATTAGAAATTTTGTGAAACGAATAAAGTTAAAATATAATAAATAATGAATTGATTAATAGTATATAATTCATTTTTTTATGACAACGGTATACATTTAAAATTAAAATAATCACTATTATAATCGATACGTTGGTATTCGTATACGAGTCAATAAATCAAATTTCTTTGAGATATTACATAAGAGCCATCTGACGATACATGAATTTTTAACGGTTTAAAATATTCATCGAAAATTGATAGGATAAAGTTTTCTGGATCGTTTGTTTTCGGTAATATTAATTGATAGCTTTTTATATGGGGATTGAGTCCAATAGTTACACATTGTTTGGAAGAAATATGAATAGTTTTGCCATCAGATATAATTGCAGTAATAAAACCAAATACATGATTATTCTCAGAGTCATTGGAAACGTGGAAGGCATACGATGGCTATTATATATACATACAAAGCTACACATGAGTGCCGCCATCTATCAACAATGACCACAAATAAAATATTTGTTAACCGTAAACAAATCTTATTTGGTGGAAATAAATAATTTTTTCAATACATTAAAGCTTTTTAACAGTAAAAAAATTTTTGTTTTAATAAAAAAGCGATTTAATTAATCCTAAAAAGTGTTGGTAACAGTAAAAAATATTTCTTCCATCCAAAAAGATACCTTAAAAAGTTTGTAATAAATTGATTTATTACTCCCAAAAAAATCCTTCTATCAGTGTACTTACGTAAGTTAATGGCGTTTTTGAAAGTATCGCATGAATAGCTACGCGGAGTTAAAATTCTTTTAACTGTTAAATAAATATTCTTACCTGTCCACTTCTTCCAGCGGTTACTAAAAAGCTTGTGATATCTCCACTGAATTTTGGTTTAACAGGAAGAAATATTTCTGATTCCTTTTTATGGAAAGATATTAGATGTTTCCTTAAGCCTGAAGTGTTTCTGTTTTTCATTTTTATTTCAATCTTTTTATGTTGGCACAATTTACAGAAGGCAGTTTGGGATGCATGAATTATTTCGAAAAATTCCTCAAATTTGCTTTTGGGTCTTTTAGATCTGTGACTCAAACTCTCGTTACTCGGACTAGAATAATTTGAATCTTCGTCACTCATATTAAATTGTACACGTGATACGTTTTTAGAAAACAACGAGAATTAGTAAAAACAATTATTAAGTTAGACTCGAAGCACAGCTCAATTGGAAATGACTGGAATTAAAATAATTCCTTTATTTATAGTACGTTTCCTTGCTTTCTACCGCGCCGCCTCGCCACGTGCCGGCTCTATGATAAGGATGCCGCCGCAAATCAAACAATAATATAAAGCGTGTAAAAAAATTCGAAATTACGGCCTGTCCGCACTGCGATATTTCACCGCACGTTTTTATTCCCGCAATTCTGTAACATAATGAATCTTAAGGAGTATCCGCACTGGCGGTTAAAAATTCGCGCGGAAAAAAAATCTGTGATTTGATGCAAATTGAACGCGATGCGGCGCGGATTATTTCCGCGCGAATGTTTTGTACAGTATATAATATGTATGGCTATGGCCGCACTGCGAAATAAAATTCGCGCGTTTCGCTCAGTCGTGCACCGACGCTATTGGTTTATCGAATGATTTTGTAGTCATTCTGTAATATCCGAAAACCTTTTTACTGTATTTTCGCAGCCCTTGATATTTAATGTAGAAAAACATCATTTTAGATTACTAAAATGTCTCAGTAGATATAGTAGATTTATCATTTTAGACGTTTGTCTCAGTCGGGAACTGCATCAAACTGACAAAAATCGTACGAAATTTTATTCGCAGTGCGTAATAAGTACAATTTCGATCACGGAATATAATACGCGAGAATAAAAATCGCGCGGTGAAATATCGCAGTGCGGACAGGCCCTTATTTTGCATGAGTATACCTACGCCCTATGGCGGCAATCAAATAGTGTCAAATGTTATGATTTCGGCGTGGCGGCAACGATTGTTTTAGATTTCAAAAGAAGCCGCCGGCCCGTGTATCATAACCATGTACTTCCGAAAAGCGGCAAATTTCTTTGAGAAGTAAGTACAAAACCTTTGATGCCGCATTATCAAAGTGCCGATGGTTAAAACATAACTATGCATGCACTCAGTTTGATTTTAATAATTTTTTTATTCGCTATGTTTATGGTATTAGTCGTAATGCGCATAGGTCCAGTTTTTCATATACTTTGATACAGTTTTTTGCGTCTCATAGAATTCCTAAGCGTACCTACCTATACACCGAACTGTTACACCTAACTACTCAGTGAAATAGCGCTAAGTCCTAGCTGCAAGACGCAAGAGTCTTGCAGGCTATGTCTTGTTCTTGCTCAAGTCTTGCACGGTCAGTCTTGGTCTTGGTCTTGCTAAAAATACGCGGTCTTGTTCTTGGTCTTGGTCTTGCAAAAACGCAAGAACAAGACCAAGACTGCAAGACCAAGACTGAATTTGGGCAACACTACTCCCAACTTGTTTGGAACATTTTTGTTCATTTTGTTTCATGAGGAAGACATACATATGTACATATTATGTACATGTATCTATACTTTAATAAAACAGTAGAGGTCGATAGTCTGTACATAGCAAAAAATGCTAAAAACCGAGTCAGGATGTAAGAAAACAAATAGAACAAAATATCCAGATTTTTTTCCATTTTTTTTGTTTCCCTGTCTATTTGTCTGTTTGTACGGGCTCTTCTCCGAATCTATTGGACCGATTTAAATGAAATTTTGCATGGTGGTACCTTATATCCCAGGTCAACATCTAACATACTTTTCATTCAACAAAAGTAAAAAGTTCCCGTGGGATTGTTTAAAACTATAGTATCTTATACAGCTTAGTACACAACAACTTATGCACCTAATTTAGTAAAATTTAACATTCTGATACCTTATATTCCCGGTCAAACAAGAGGTTACTTTTCATCCCGGAAAAATAAACGGTTCCCTTGGGAACTAATAGATCTCTATTAGTGTTTTTCTAGTGCTAGTATAATTGTATATCTTTTTAGGCTTTGTAAAGTTTTCGTTGAATTGAAACCTAGCCTGTGACGGTGAAGACTTGACAGAATTTCCGTAGTGAAGCCACGCAGCAGGCGTTCCGCCATCACTTCAAGCAGCGCACATCACCTCTCATGTCACGTCACAAGTGCCGGCTCTAAACGTCCCGCACACACTTCACAAGTACCTAAGTAACGGGTTGTCTACCTATGCGCATTACTTACATGTAGGAGGCAGGAGCAGGTAGGTAGAGCATGTTAGTATGAACCCACTATACAGTACTGAACTGTACGAATAATTAAATTATTAATATTGTTACTGTAAGACTAATATCATTTTTATTAATCCGGCTATTGATTATTATTATATTTTTTTATACAATGAGGTAAGAGAAAAAATGTGGGTATTTACAAATCTAGGGCCGCCATCTTTAATTCAGAGCTTTCGAAAGAGACAAAATACATATTTATTTTGGTCTCTTTCAATCATTGTTTCAAAAATTGGTGCGTATCGTAAAAAAATACATGACACTTCCAAGTCTTCTGATATTGTCCGACACCTGTAATTTTAAATAACTATATATGTACGTACCTATTAGTCTAGCAGTAACTGGAATAACAGTCACTTCCATTTTTTTAAATTTTATGCGTTTACTTTATTTTCTGCAAATATACGGTATACTTATACCTACTTATATAATTAATTAGTAATAATTCTTTAACTTTTAATCTGTCTATAGAAGTTTTCTTAACGTTTTCTTGGATCCTGTATGTTTTGATCCTGTATGTGAGAACTTCTATGAACAAAAACATATAAACCTTGCCTATGAAAAATCTACTGACTTTGTGTATTCGAACTTCGAGGCATAGGTAGGTATTACTAGTATCGACTATCGAAAGTCAAAGTAGGTACGTTAGGTTTATGTAAGAAAATATATTATTAAATAAAACTATCTTTTCGGATTATTTCGCGGATTTATTTTGATTTTTGGTTCCCGACGTTTCGGAATTGCACCAATTACATTTTGTTAATTGTGGGTAGGCTGTCTGTAACAACTATATCTTTAAGACATGAAACACCTCAGTCTCTCCCGTGACCATGGATGCTGTAAAGCATTCGAAACGTCGGGAACCAAAAATCTAAATAAATCCGCGAAATAATCCGAAAAGATAGTTTTATTTAATAATGTCAAACATTCGCGTAAATCTAAGAAAGTATTATAAGAAAATATATTTCTTTAAAAATGTATATGTGTAAAATGATTTAAAAATGTATATGTGAAAAAAAAACAAGTACAGTACAGTACAGTAACAAGTAACAAGAGTCATTTAGGATGTAATAATGTACGCAGCATATAAGATGGCCATAAACCAGGGGTGAATGCTCGCGGGGCGGGGATCGATGCGTCGCCGGTGCTGTGCCTGGTCTGTGCCTGGAGCCCGGACTCATTCCCACTAAATTAAATATCAGCTGAAATATAACTAAAATTTCTACCTAAACTAAGTTTTATAAATATTGCTACTAATTAATACAGCATGTCGTATTCGTCCCAAGATGACCATAGTCTAGCTAATTTTTATTAAAATGAGATAATTTTTTTGTATATTATATGTACCTACGTCAAACCTGGATAAGCGAGGGCTCAAGGGACCGCGATCTCTTTCTCGCTTGTGGTGGTTTCTTACTAACCCGAGTTTCTAGGTTACAGGAGTTAGTTTACAGGAGTGGCCTTTCTCATTTATAGAGGTTTACAAAAACACAACAAATGCGTAGTGATAAACTTATATGTATTGTGTCGGTATTATTCATCAGAATTTGACTAGGAACTCTTATAGAGTTTTCTGTTTCTCTGTTATACAGGTTTTAGAGCGATAAAATTACGGGTCCTGGCTACTCTCACAGAGTTTTCTCGCTTACCCAGTTCTCAATCACTCAGGTTTGACTGTATATGAAGTTTCTTGTCCTGGCTAAACCTCTGGAACTAAACTATTCAAATTTCAAATGTTCCACAGAAACAGCTTAAAAAATGTCTTTAATTAAAAAGTTAACCTATAAGTACCCTTCTAGTAGTAAGCAATTCCAGTCCCTGTCAAAGCTATCGAATCCAACTTCTGCCGACTCTCTTTGCCTCTCTTAAACCAGATGGATGATGGATCACTGGATTACTCAGCGGTAGAGAAAGCAAATTTACTTGCAACTCTGTTTGCAAGCAATTCCTGTCTAGACGCTGGCTCTAAAAATCAGGCAAACTTTGCCTCAATGTGATTCTTCGATGCCGAAGATCACAATCCATACGAAAGTCGATTCGACTGTGAATGAATTTCATTTCTTTCTGTAATTATCTTAAAATCAATTTTTTCAGAAAAAAATCATTTTTTATTTATTATATATATATTTCAAAGATTACATTCCCTTAGTTTCATGAAAATCAAAAGATTATTCTAGAAATAAAAAATAAAAAACAGAAACATTTAAAAAGCGAGTCTTTTGCAAATGTCTCGAAAACTTTGAGGTTATTATAAAAAGTGTTATTTATAAAAGTTGTAGATTTTTGCTAGACCTACAACTTTTGTAGAAAACATTTTTCGATAGAACGTTACAGTAAGCCGGAAATTGAAAAAAAACTATATTTCCACGTTTTGCGTCCCCCCATTTCTCGGGGGTAGCTAGGCATCGGGTGCATTTTACGAATTTCTATTCCTTATATACCTGCTAACATTTTAAAATCATAAAACTTCAGGTTTTCAATATATATTTTTCTCTTAAAAATAAACAGATTCCGATTGGACTATAGATAGTGATTTGATTCTTAAATCCTTATAAGTATTTTTCAATACATCCCTGGAACTGGCCGCGACTAGATCCGGATCCAGATCCTGGATCAGACCTGCAGTCGGACCCGTTGGCAAGTCTGCCGTTTAGGAGCACAACAACCAACGTTGCTCCAACAGTCCACTCTTCTATCAGATAAGTACCAGGCGCAACCCGCATGGCACCAACTTAGGCCGCCTCCCAGTGCGTTTCTTGGCTTCGCACCCGGCTAGATTTCCGCACACTACCTAATGAGCCCTTTCACCATGACAAGAGACAACATCGCCTAAGCTAAGCCTGAAAATTTTTTGTCGTCACTGAAGAGTTAATTGATTCCTACTCAAATGTACGCTTTGTGTAGGCATAGGGTTATAAAGTTAGCACAAGTTGCTATTCAGAAGCATACAGTCAGCAAGAACAAACGTTTAAGCACGCTCTACCCACAACTTATGTACAGAACAGTATACAACATATTGTACTATTCAGTTTTTTATCACTAAGTCCTAGTTAATTAATTTAAAGTGTAATATAATAAAATTACTAAAATCGCTTACAGCGAATCTTGGCGATTGGCGTTTAGTGGCGCGCCAACGATGATGAGGTCTTTTTTTGATAGCTTGGCAGAGGTCTCCTGGCGCCGCCTGGTTACCATAATTGTTTGAACTATAGGAAGTCTATTACCTACATTATTAAGTGTTAAATTGAAACTATTGTAAGAAACTGCCTGAGCCCTTACACACTTTAAATAAGAAAACGTGTAGAGATTAAGGTGATTCGAAATCAAGATACTTTTGTAGCCAGGCATTAAAGTTAGAACAAATATTAACGTCGACACATTTATGATGTTCATTAAGTGTACTTATAATGGACATCATAAATGCATCGATTGCGGAGAAAACAACAGGAATTTACTGGACGGAAATCATCCCTTAAAGGGGCGAAAATAGGGATGAAAGTTTGTATGGGGAATCAACCTAGAGACGAACCCGAGCGAAGCGAGGGTGAGCCCCTAGTACTTACATATAATAAAATTCTAACCGAGTCGAATCTGTACATTAAATATTTTTAGGAAAATCTTATTGAAATAGTTATTATTATCGATACAGAGGCCGAATCTATAGTTTTTAGAATTTTTGTCTGTCTGTCTATTACCGCATCACGGAAAATCCACTGGAGGGATTTTGATAAAATTTGGTATGATGATAGCGGTAAAACATCTCATCTCTGAGAAATCTATACTAAACGTTAAAACGTAAGTAAGGACGAACACGAGAGAAGCGAGGGCAAGTCGCTAGTTAAAAATATAAATAAAATAAATAAATATGTCAGGACATTAACACACAACGCCATCTAGTTCCATGGTAAGCTACGAGGCTTGTGTTATGGATTCCAGATAGTTGATACATTATACATATATAACTTTAAATACATACCTACATATTATAAATATAAACACCCATGACTGGAGTACAAACATTCGTGCTCATCACACAAACGAATGCCCCCAGCGGGACTCGAACCCGCGAGCGCTGGCGCAGTAAGTAGGGTCACTACAAACTGAGCCAAACGTGTCGTCAAATAATAATAGGAGTCCCCATAAAAGTGAATTGTTTTTAAGTTGTGTTTCTGAGGTTTAAATAAACTTGTGAGTGGCGCTCACACAGCCTTTTAAGTAAGAATTGTACAGTCCTTTGTGACATAAAAACAAAAAAGAGGTTTCAACCGGTATTTTTTTTTGGTCCTATTAACGTAACATAGAATTTGTAGCACGGAAGCCGCGGTGCACCGGACCGACTCGCGGATTTTTACTGCTAAATAATAAATAAGCATTTGTACTTACATAGCGTGACGACTCTAAGATAGGAACGGAAAATTATACCTTAATCATGGGAAAGGTGGGCTGTAAGCAGTTTAGCGTACAATATGCATGTAAGGTAGATCGTACATATACTTACAGATATAGGCAATAGCGATGTAATCACTACGAGCACTACCACCGTACCAGTACCGTTTGTTAAGCAACAGAAATGTCACATGTTTCTACAATCCAGAAGTTTCCTTAGTCGAATAAAGAAATAAACTTTGCCACATTGAAATTACTATTTATAACTTTTGATGTAAAACATCTATTGGCGCGCTTTGGCAGTAAAATTGACTCGCGGTGTGACGGCAAACGGTGGCGTGACGCTGTCATGCTAACATGCTCCTTCTACGTCACCACTCTCGACTCCCTTGTGTGTGCGCGCGCGTTTATTAGACACGCTCCATTGTAAAACAGTCTCTATTAAAAATACTTAATATTTTTTTATTATATTCATGAATATATATTTTTTGTAATTTTGATTATAAATAATTTAAATAATAAGAAAATTAAATTGTTTTTATTAATGAAACTATTTATTTTTATTTTATTATAATTCTTATATTAACATAGATGTTTCACATCTGCCGGGCGTCGCGTGACGGCCATATATTTTAACTAAAAAGTTGATATTAACTCATTAAAGAAATTATGAACATTCTCCATTGATGTTTTCTTCGCTCGCGCTAAAACTACAAAAACACTAGATAGGTAGGTTACATACAAGCTTTCATCCTCTATTTTACCCCTTTATGTGATGAATTTCGAAAAATACTAAAACACGTATTTATTTAAATGTATTGAAGAACATTAATACCAAGTTTCAAGTAATTCTGATCATAAATATTTTTAAGCTATTGCATAGCTTCTATCGCGGGCCTTGAGCGTGGGGACCGAATCCAGAAATTCCGTAACGAAAAAACCTAACACCCCCACTCAGATTTGACACCTGACGTTTCTGACGATCTGACATTTGACATCTGTTTCGGTAACATTTGCTTGCCTCGTAACTGAATCTTGTAAATCGTATTTGTGACTATTTAGACTTTGGCAGTTGAAAGTAATTGTTGAAATGCCATTTCTATGACTAATGAAACCGAATACACTTTGAGCTATCGTCTGAACACTATTTAGAGACAGTCTTTTGAATTCTTGCAACAAAGATGCAGTCGATGCAGCTTGCTTTCGAAAATATTGAATTTGAAAATGAATAATGATCCACAAGAATCCACAACAAAATATGGAACCACCATTGACGCGGTATTTTCCAGATATTTAGAAGATATCAAGTCTCAAACTTATGTTTCTTATTTCAGTTACCATAAACCTATAGTTTCAATGATAAATATTCCTGAAGAACCGACATGTATTGAAAGATAATAATTTTTTTTTAACAATATTAACATCTCATTTATTTAATAAAAGAAAAAAAATTGTTTTTTTATCGGTCACCACGCTCAAAGTGTAACTTGAATTAATATCAAAGAAAAAAAAACAAAGGAAAAAAATACTGCATTAATAAAATAAATAAATAATTATAATTGCATAAGTTGATAAAAAATGCTATGCAATAGCTTTACCGCGGCAGTCTCCGAGTGCCACACGTCTTTTTCATTATTTTGAGTTGTATAATAACGTGTTTTATCGTGGGAATAAGATAATCTTCCGCGGTAAAAAGTAACCTATGTTACTCTCCAGCCCACTAACTATCTCCACACAAAAATTCACGCCAGTCCGTCACTCCGTTTCGACGTGAAAGAAGGACAAACAAACAAACACTTTCACATTTCTTAAGGAATCCCGAATCGAATTTCTGGTCGTTCGGATCGGACCATCAAAATATACTTAAATAAGGATTATTTAGTTAGCTTGTGGATTTAAGCAACCTTAAATAAAATGTTGAATTATGAGCATATTTATTTATTTATTTAATTAGGATCATCAACATGATATATACAGAGGTCTCATTACCAACTGTTACCTATCATACTTATAGGCAGGGTTCGAAACGATAATTATCATTGATAAATATGGGTTGATAATTATCTTTGATAAATATAATTGAAATTATTTAATTTGTAACTCTTCAAATTGTCGATCAGCTAACTTGTAGTGTGAGCCGAGCCTTATATGATACTTTATAAGATGTTACTTATGTTAAGATATGGCTATTCAATAAACGCGCTTCTAATAGTAAAGTCGTAGTCTAATCATTACCTGGCTTTGAACCTAACAATACATGGCGACCCTGCCAGGATAGATAATTGAAGATGCCATGATAGATAATTGAAGATGCCAGGATGTAGTGGAATTAATTAAATCAGAAAAAAAAAAATAAAAAAAATATAAATAAATAAAAATGAAGTAAAATCCTAAATAAAAGATGTGCCGCTCAAGTGCGAGGAAGGAGGATATTATAATAGCCCAGAATGCGGCTGGAAGCAATTCTGGAAGTATTGAAAATATAGTGGGCCATCTCAGTACTCAAAATATACTAATGAGTATTTTTTTGGTGATTTTGGCAGTTTTCATGTTATATGGAATATACCGCGCATACAAAAGATGCCATACAAAAATGATTAGGAGAGAAGTTAACCGAGAGATCATAAGATCTACGTCTTCACGAAGATCTAGCCGAAATAAAGCAGAGAAATCGAGTATTAGTGAGAAGTGAAGTGTTAAAGAAAGTGTTAGAATCAGTGTACTAGTATAAATACTATAAAGTTTAATATTAGTTATAATTATCAATACCCTCTTTTTACTTAATCGGTTTAAGACGCTAATAAGAGACATAAAGATCATAGTTTATAATATCTCTCATCCTAATAAGGTAACTCATCGCATGCCAATGTTATTTGAGCGCATGGCGCGCCGGTAAGTCGATGCCTTTATTAAGGCCCGTACACACTCTTGTATTTTAATAAAAATTTATTATGTTATTATAAAATGTCAAGTATTATACAAAAGATATACAATGATTTGATTTTAATTAGAACTTATTTGATTAAATTAGGTCCTAAAAGAAGGCGAGATAAGGATTTAAAACATAAAATATTGGAAGCAAATAAATTGAAAGTCGCTTTTGATAACGAAATAAAATTATTTTTAAATAAATTTGGAAAAGAAGAAATAGCTAGTGAAACTTTTTCTAGAATTACTTCCTTGTGTGAAGATTTGGATAAAAATTATAAGGATATTGTAGTTTTATGTTCAATGTCTAGCAGTAATAGTGGTAGTGAAGAGAATTTAAGTAGGATGGAGGATTTTAATTTAAAGACGGCATGTACATTATTACCAGTTATGACGGGAAATGAGGAGGTCACGAAACAATTGATAGAAAATATCGAACTATATGATTCTATGTTAAAGGGTGATCGCAAAAAATATTTGATAAATTTTGTTTTAAAAAGTCGCCTTTCCAGTAGTGCAAAACTAAAACTTACGAAAAAATATGAAAATGTAATATCGTTAGTAAGTGTTAAAGCGTTGACCGGAACGTGTGGGGAAAGAGGCCGTTGAAAGAAGCCTGTGAGAAGTATTCGAATAGCAACGTGCTCGCTAGTGAACGCTAATAATCTTAAGGCTGTAAAGACTATTGATTGCACTATATCTTGTACAATTAAACTAATAAACAAGTAAAAATAAACCAATTTTTCAACATTGGCGCTTCGAGCCAGGATTTACAATTAACAAGAACCAGAAATATCAAGAAATTGAATAGACGATCTACTTATTCTTCGCTATACAACTATAAACTACATCACTCGGTGAGACGTTCCAACCAGATTATT